GTGTGATGACCTCAGAGCTGAGTAGTTCATACTGGAGACTGGGTATGACCTCAGAAGCTAAAACATTTACTAATCAGCCCGTTTAGTAAAACTTACGTTGATTCCTGAACTAGAACCACACATACCTGTGGATGGATGACTCAAACAAGGACGGGGTTGAGAGCTGCATCTGCAGTCCCAGCACTCAAGGGGCTGAGGCAGGAGGATCGCCATGACTTCAGGGCCAGCCTGGGCTGCATAGTGAGACCCTGCCTCAAAAAGAAAAAAAAAATAAGGCGAAACAAACATAGAAGAACAAGTTGCAGGTCGAGCGACTTAATAAAGGGTTCAAAGCACGTGAAATACTGCACTGCAGGTTCCTCGTAGGGATCTGTGTGTGAGTGTGGGAATTCAAAGACAAACAGCGAAATGAGGGGCGTGCCTGAGTGTGGGGTGCAGAGTGGGTTTCCTCGCCCGGCCGGGTGGTGTGTAGGGGTGTTCCTCAGATCACCTTTGCACCTTTCTCTGAGGCTGACGGATAGCGCGGTGGCATCTTCACAGGGGTCAAATGTTCAGGGCTGTGATGGTGACAGTCCTGAGGCCCTAGGGAAAAGCAGGGGTGAGAGGCTCTGAGACGGGGTGTCAGGTTGGAAGGAGATGCTGACGGTGAGGGGGACAGAGCCTCCGTCCGGGGTGTGGAGCCTCTGCTGCAGGGCCTGGGCCCTGTGCTGTGCTGCGGGAGGCCGCCGCTTTGTCCCTGGCCATCTGGCATTGCCCGAGCTTGTCATGAGGTCGCAAGTCTGCCACGTTATCCAGATGGCAGAGTGACAGTGACGGTGTCATCCTGTCCCCGTGCCAGCTCCTTAGACATAAAGGCGGTGGCCCGTGTCCCTCGTCCCCAGGGCTTCCCTTTGGCTTCCTGACATCCGGTCTCGTTGGTCAGTGTCCCTGTGGCAGCCCATGTGCTCTGTGGCTTCCGAGCGGAATGGAGCAGCTGGCCGCAGCGTGGTGACCTCCTTCTGCCACTGCGTCTCAGGAGGACAGTGCTGGGCGCTTCTGCTTATGTTTGGGGTCAGCTAAATCCTGGCGCTGACCTTTCTCCCGTGACACAGTGTGTTTTAAGGAAAGGAAAACACACACACACACACACACACACGTGAGCACACACATGCAGGCACACACATGTGAGCACACACACATGCAGGCACACAAATGTGGGCACACACATTTCAAGAACCTGTGTATAATTTCCCAGATGTTAAAAGCAGGCGTCTAGCTAGTTGCAGACGGGACTGTCTCCTTTAGACGCCTGAGGTACCTTAGCAAGGGCTTCCAAAAAAAGGTGCACTTTGTATTTTTGAGGTCAAACACTGCACCCGATACAGTGCAGACAGCGCAGGGCAGGCTGGGATTTGAGGGGCAATCTCTTCTGTAGGGATCGGGTCCCTAGTTCTGAGTAGCTCACCATTCAGCTCATTGGGGTCTGAGGACTGTGCCACGCTAACTGAATCTGACTAGGTATTGACAGTTGTTTGCAATCGAATTCATTTTAATTTGTAGTTAGAGATGGAACTCTCCAAGGAGACTGGAATTTTTTTTTGGTTTTGTTTTGCTTGTTCTTTGCTGTGTTTTGAGGGGGAGAATTGACGTGGGACACACTGGTAATGTCACAGTAGCAGAATGTACCCATGGAGGGCCCCTCCCTCATCACGTTTTTGTTCATTTTAGCACATGTTTTGAGAGGTGCATGCGCTGCTGAGATGGTGGGGCCTGCTGCCGGCAGTGAGGCAGCAGTTTTCAAACCTTTGCCTGGCCTTTTTATACACTTGAAAAAAACGCAAAGATCCTGGAGTTTTAAAGCACTTAGATTATGGGGCCGGGGTTTAGCTCAGTGGTGCTGCCTTTGCCTGGCAACGGTGAGGTCCTGAGTTCCATTTCCAAATGTATGACTACATTTGAAGTTGAAACTGAATTGTTATTATTACTTTTGGTACTGGGGTTGAACTTACAACCCTGCACGTGCCAAGCGGCACAAGTGCCTGTGGGGCAAGCGTGAGGTCGTGAGTTTGATCCCTGGTACCAAAAAAAAAAATAGTACTTGCTAATTTATTTAAATAACAGTAACAGCATCCTTGTTACATAAGTGGCTTACTTTTTTATGAAAAGTGACCATTTCCCAAGTTAAAGATGCTCAGGGGAAGGCCTGTTCACATCTTAGGCAGTTGCTTTGCTGTTTGGCTTCACAGCAGGGAGCTGTGTTGGGGGGATCCTATGTTTGGTCTGTGGCAGTGTGGACGTCATGTGACCTCTGGAAATCTCCACTGTACCCAGAGAGGGGAGGAGGCCAACAATTACTAAATCTTTATCACTCCAGCTGGGCATGGTGGTGCACCCTGTAGTCCCAGCACTGGAAGCTGAGGCAGGAGGATCACTGGGGGTTTGAGGCCAGCCTGGGTACACAGTGAGACTTGTCTCAAAAAAGCAAAAGCAAAAGCAAAACAAAACAAAAGATCTTGTCACTCTTGTAGTGTGTCACCGTCAGGAGAGCCTTGTGGTTTAACACACATTTGCTGCCTCACTTGGGTTAGGCTCGCCCTGTCCCGGCCCCTTCCACTCCACTCAGAGCCCCAGTGGCTTCTCACACCTCTGCCACGGAGTCCCCGCCTGCCTTTGGTGCCTTGAGGACCCCGACAGTGTGCTGGGCTCAGAGGATCCAGCCGCATTTCATCTTCTGTCTCTGATCAGCAGCCTCCCTTCCTGTGGAGTGAGGCGGCCTGGGCACAGGTTTCAGGGACGAGGGTGTGGGGACCTTCAGAGCCATTCCCTGCCTGCCACACCGAAGGATTATAATGGTTTGGATCACAGAGATCCCCAAAGGAGAGGGCGATGTGTCCCTGGGCACTCCAATAACCCCAAGACGTACAGGTTGAGTGGATGAATGGGAAAAAGAAAAGACCGGCGTTTATGACGCACAGACCTCCTCCCTGGGTGTGCAGTGGCTGAGCGGCTTCGAGCTGCTGCTTCCCAGCCTCATCGCTGTCGGGGTGGCACTGATCCTGTGGGATCCTGTGGCGTCATCTTGGCCGTCATTGCCAAGGCCCAGTGTGTGGCCCAGGACGGCACTGCATTCTCTCTGTCTCTCATTTTCGGTACCGGGAATTGAACTCGTGACCTTGCGCTTGCCAGGCAGGTGCTGTGCCGCTGAGTGCTGAGCTGTATCCCTGGCCCCTGCCTTGTTTCTTTTTCTGTTTCCTCTGGGATGAAAAGTTCCAGATAGTTTGCCTGGCATTTGTTTGATCCTTGAATGTGCATCGGCTTTCTTTTTCTAAGAAAGTTTTCCCTTGAAGGGAAGTGTGCTTTTCCTGGGAGCAGCTGAGTTTGTTTTTCATAAAGGGACTTAAGATTGGGTTGTCATTGCACCGTGATTATGCTTCATCTGATTCAGGTGGAATTGTATGGAGTTTTATTTTTGGAACTGTAACGTAATGGACCTGGACAGAGCAGTAGGAATTACAGGGAGCATTTTACGGAGAACAAGGTGTAATTTTAACTCTGGGTGGGAGTCGTGTAAATGTCGTGTGCATCGCTAATTTTTCAGATGAGTAACTCTGCTTGTCGTGAGTGCTTTTCCTGAAGATCGTGCAGAATGTATAACAGAATGAAGGTGCCTGTAGACTAACGGAGCAGTAAATCCACTTGGGAGCTGTCCCCCAGCAGCACAGCCCTTGTGGGGTGCCAGTCTCGGGTGGTGGGTGTCTCCTGCATGTGGCCCTGCCGTGGTGTCCCTGTGGGTCACGGTGATTGTCACCCCGTGTGTGCCTCTCTTAGTGCCTCCGGGGAGAACTCCCCTGAGGTTAGCAGGTGGGCACGGTCCCGTAGGGAGGCGAGCTGGGTCAGTGTCTCACAAAGTCACAGATGGGATTGGAGGACGTGGACAGCAGATGTATTTATTAACAGGTGGGAAGCAGCTCCTGACAGTCAGGAGGGGACCGTTTGTCTGGCAGGCTTTTTTGGTACCAGGAATCGAACTCAGAACCTTGTGGTTGGCAGGCAGGCGCTGTGCTGCTGAGCTGTATCCCCAGCCCTAGTCTAGCAGCTTTTACAGCAAAAATGACCAGAGCTCGGGCTGCTCTGAGTGGAACTAAGGTCAAGCCACAGGATTAAAATAAGCTCACCTCCACTAGAAGCGGCCTGAGGAGTCGGGGCATGGGGCCAGGCCGTGTCCGCAGGGGCCCCTGGCCAGTCTTAGCCAGGTGGTTCCCTAACAGAACATAGGGAGAAGGAAAACTCGATTTCCTGCCAGGGAGGGCAGAAGCTGTCACGGTGGGCACCCATCGTCTTGCCCGTGTGTCCCTGGACTGCTTGGCCTCCCGGCTCCCGCTATCCCCTGACCTCGGGCTGCTGCTTATCTGACCTAGCCTGGTCCTCCGACCATCTCGGGCCCTGGCCTCGAAAGCCGCCTGTCACCTTCTGCCTGCCTCGTCCATCTGTAATCACCCGGTTATTTCAGTGTGAGAAAATGCAGGTGGGTCATGGGGCTGCAGGAGGAGGGCTGGAATCAAGGGTGGGGGCGCAGGTCTTCCTGTCCGTGTGGGGACTCTGCAGTCTGTGTGGCCGTGTGTCCATGTGTGCGTAGGCCCTGAGGGGGTGCGGTGGGGACTGACGTCCAGCCCAGGCCACAGCTGCGGCCCTGGGAACAGCGGGTTTGCCTGGTTAGGTGGAGTCCTTTCTTCTCCTAGGGGCTGGATGTGCTGGCCGTCAGGTGACCTGGTCGGTGGCTTCCCTTCGTCATAGAATACATGAGGAGTGGTTGGTGTCTTGGCATGTCACTGGACAGCTGTAGAGGCAGACATGGTTTTCTCATCGAGCATTTTTTTTTTTTTGGGCAGTGCTAGGGATGGATCAAGCCTGTCGGGCAGGCACTGTACCGTACCACTGGGCTCTGGGTTTATTTTTAATTCACACACAGCTGTGCAGACTTGGGGACCCAGGGTGGCACAAACACTGAATTGACACCAGAATTCGGAGGCGGATTTATTTATGTGGACGGGCACCGATCGGGATGATTCCCAGGACATCAGGCCCTGATCTCTGGTGGTTTGGGGCTTGCGTGGGGTAAGCATGCAGGAAGGACAGAGGCAGCGTGGCCGTCAGCCGGGGACGGTTCTCACAGTGCGCATCACGGAGACAGCCGTTTCTAGGAGACGAAAGTAACAGGAACTGAGCGGAACCATTACCTGGGCACCTGACGGTGAGCCTCCTGGCTGCATTGGAGGGGCGCCCGCGTATCTCCTGCTGCTGTGAGGGACCTTGCAGAACGCAGTGTTCCGGTCGGGGTGGCTGGCACTCCTTCACCGCACGTATTTAATTTACTCTACCGGCAGTGCTCCCCTTTCCTGTGACCCAGAGCCCCTCTCCTCAGAGAGTTTCTGCCCCAGAGGTTAGCGGGACAAGTGGAGATGGAGTTTCTGCCTGAAGAGAGGCATGTGGCCGTTCTCAGGGAGCAGGTTCCCTGGACCTCTGTGCCTCACCCCGGCGGCCAGCGTCACAGTGCTCTAGGCCACTGTGTCTCTTCCTGCAGCTCATTAGCAGCAGAGAGGGTACACATAGCCCAGCTGTGTCCACTTGGCAGCAAACACAGCACCAAAACATCCATCTGATACCTGCCCGGCGGTCAGATTGCTCGAGTGTCCTCAGACAAGTGGACATTTCTTCAGACAATCCTCTGTAGTAGAACTGACTGCAGTCTGGCTGCCAGAGCAGAACAGCACCAACAAAGGATGTTTCTTTTTGTTTTTTGTTTGTTTGGGTTTTGAGACAGGGTTTCACTGTGTAGTTCAGGCCAACCACGAACTCCCTGTCTAACCCAGGCTGGCCTTGAACACTGCAGTGATCTTCCTGCCTCAGCCTCCCGAGGGCTGAGGTTTCTGGCATGTGCCATCACGCCTGGCTTCTACTTTTCCATTTTAATCTGTGGCTCTGTGTATCAATACCGGGAATCGAACTCACGACTGCCTGCTTGCAAGGCAGGTGCTTATGTCGCTGAGCTAAATCCCCAGCCCCTCTTTAGGAAAGTATTATGCTCTGAACCCCAAAGCCCCTGTTCCTCCTTTTGTTCCTCAGGGCCTTCTGATCTATATCTATTCTTTTTTCTTTTTCTTTTTTTAAGAACAGTAGCTTGGAATCTAGGGCATATCACAAATGTAAAAGCAAAGGATAAGTGACTTAAAGATAGTCACACCTAGGCGGACTTAATCATGACACTGGGCCCGGGACCTCCCTGTGGGTTCCTGGGCTGTGACCTGTGGGCCCGAGTTTTCGGCCCCTGGCTGCTCTTCTCTCCCCGGTCCCCCTCTTGCTGATTGCTCCGGTTCCGAGTGCAGAGTCTTTGACAAATGTGCCCCTCCCCGGTCTTCATGTCTGAGCCGCCGTGACAAGTCAGCGCCCTGCATTTGGGCTCACGCCTGGGGTTTCCTCAGCAGCGATTCCTAGAGAGGGAATTGCTGGGTCAGAGGGATGAATATTCAGAGCGACTCTGGGGCCTGCTTGCCGCCAGACTTCCTGGCCAGCTCGCGCTGCGCCTTGGCCTCAGACACCGGCAGTGCCGTCCCCGTGCCCGTCCCTGCTCTGTGGGCCCCCTCACGAGAGCAAGGACCCCAGCAGCGGCCCAGCTGCCAGCCCTGCCGCACCGCACAGCCCCGCCCGGTGACACATTTTAGTGCAGAAAACCTGCAGAGGAGGGAAGGGCGGCAGCAGCTGGTTGCTTCAGGGCCGGCTCTTTCTGAGATAGGGTCTCCCTGTGCAGCCCAGAGGTCACTGCGGGAACCGGTCCCTGGGCTAGGGCTGTGTCCCTGGGGCCTCCTGTCCCTGGCCAGCCGCGCACTCCTAGGCCCCAGTCGGGGGAGGCTGCTCTGTGCCTGAGATTCTCCAGAGTCCGGGCTCAGGGAAGGGTGTGGGGTCACTGCGGGGAGTCTCAGCGCTCAGCCGAGCCCGTGGGGAGCCGGTCACCCTCCAGGGCCCACAGAGTGGCTGTCACACGACTGTGTCTGCTTTGGAAGCGATGGGCATCACCTGTCACTTCTCCACGTGATCCGTTGGCCAGGACTGACCAGTGCCGGGATGGGACAGCAGGAGAGGGCAAGCGAGGGTGGTGACCTCCTGGGCGTCCCTTACTCCCTCCTGTCCTGTCCTGTCCTGTCCTGGTGTCCTGCGAGGGGAAGCAGAGCGCTCCAGGATGACCAGGCCACCGTAGTGAGGCCTCGGGGAGCGTCCACCTCCACACTGGGCAGGCCCGGGGCTCTGTCCCCGCCCCAGCCATGTGACGCATGTGTGGTCCCTTGGCTGGAGCCTATATTGCGGGACTGGTGCCAGCCGTGCTGAGCGCAGTGGGTCACGGCCATTGGCAGGAGCTGTGTGCGGAGCGCAGGCCTTCAGAGCTGACCGAGGGCGCCTCTGAGCTCTGTGCGGACTGCTGCCCGGTCCGCCCCAGCCCAGGTGGGCTGCAGCAGGAGGGGCGCGGCGAGGTGATCTGGAGAGCACAGCAGAGCCGAGCGGCTGCTGTGGAGAGCAGCGTAGCAGGTCCCTGAGAAAGAAAGATGGGATTCCTGTGGGACTCCACAGTTCCATTCTGGGTGTGTGTCCAGGAGGAAAGCGGGGCCCCGGGCCCACAGCTGCACCCCGAGGTCACAGCAACACTGCTCCCTGGGGACGGTGGAAGCGACTGAAGAGCAGGGTGGGTGGAGAGGCAGAGGGATGGGCATTCGTGCGGAGTAGTACGCAGCCCCAAAGAGGGTGGAAAGCCAACCTTTGCTTCACCGCAGATGCCCAAGGACATTATGTGAAGGACAGGTGCTGAGGAACTCCACTTCTGTGAGGTTCCGGGCGTGGTCAGATTCCTGGAGATGGAGCCGAGCAGTGGCTGTAGGGGAGGGAGAAGTGTTTTTATTTTTATTTTTTGGTACCAGGGATCGAACTCAGGACCTCATGTTTGCCAAGCAGGCACTTATGTCGCTGAGCTAAACCCCCACCCCCCAGGGAGAATTGTTATTTAACCTGAGCAGAGTTTCAGTTTTGCAAGCTGGCAAGAGTTCTGACCTGGGTGTCAGTGATGATAGCACAAGGGGGTAAGCACACTTAGTGTTGCTGAGTGTTAAAGATACTGAAGTTGGTAAATTTATGCCGCATGTGTTCTACCACAATGAAAAATAATCTCCAGCCGGGCATGGTATAGTCCCAGGACCAGGGAGGCCAAGGCTGGAGGATCACCAACAGGTCTAAGCCAGCCTGGGATACATAGTGAGAGCCTGTGGCCAGCCAGCCAGCGAACCAACCAACACCAAAGTCTGTAGAAACTCACCACTCAGCGAGCCCACGCTTCGCTGAACAGTGGGCTGGTTGGCACATTTCTGACCGGCGCAGCTCCCCAATGAAACAGGAGACAGGAGACGCTTTTGTGGACGACAGTTAACTGCTAGTTTATTTACGCAGGCTCTGGTTTATATATTTGGCCGTGACCAATCACAGGCTGCCACAAGGAAGCAGGGCGGGAATGGGATGCAGGCTCTGGCTACCATATCCAGCTGTGGGCAATCAGGAGTTGCCACAGAGTATGGAGTGAGCGCGGGGTGCGCACGGGTTGGCTAATTTAAAGAGGGACGTAGCGCATTGCGGAAGCTGGCGTGGTCCTTAGTCCCGGCTGGGGTATGGTATGTTGAGCGCCTGCGCCCAACACATTTCCCCGTGCGCTTAGTGGGGCTGCGTTCCCGCCAGACCTGGCTCCCCAGTATTGTAATCCCAAATGTTCAGTTCAGTTACCAAGTACTGTAATCCTCTTTCTAGTTCAGAAGGTTATACCTGTAATCTCATTGAGACGTCATTGGAATCCCAGCAAGCTAATTCCAATCCACCACCTCCAATGCAACCCACAGCGAGAGTAAAAACACCGAGACCTGTTCCAGGTTAAGGGCAGCCAAGGGGACCTAAACCCAATCCCGTAAGGACATGCGGACCAAGGCCCTGATCCTAGGCCTCTCCCAGCATTTATTGTCTTGGAAGAAGGGGGTGGCTCAGGGATGAGTGACGTGAGGATGGTGGGAATCATGTGAGTAACTTGAGCTGGGTGGCCGGGTGCAAGGTGGCATCTCTGTAAATTGCAGAGGTAAGGATATGCAGAAGGATCAATTTACATAATCCAATTAAGGTAGCAGTGGAATTGTGTTGGGGCCTATAGTTTGGTTTTTGATATGCAGACTCTTGTGCCCTGGAGCTCCTACCCAGCTGACATTCCGGAGCAGACAGGCTCTACCATCCCGCTGTGCTCATATCCATCTGCACTATGCGAGGAGACAGGACTGCCTGTTGGCTTTAGAGATTACATAGCAGCACCTCGGCTGGCCTTATTTGCAATGCTCAGAGCCCAATGCTCAGAGAAGAGAGGGAAATACCATGCCACTCTCTGCATATCAGTATAAGGAAACGAGTCCCCAAGTAATCAAAGCTGCAGTAATTGAGTCATTGGAGTTTCACCCACACCCTGCCCCTTGCACTGGCCGCACCGCGCTGTCCCCATCCCTCTGCAGGACAGGAGCTCGCTCTGCAGCCTTGAAGCCGCTCCGGCTCCTGCTCTGGGAAAGCCCCAGACTGGCTGCAGGGGCCCGACCCGCGTTACCCAGATGGCTTCTCTCCGGAGCACGGGGCTTGCTTTCCTGCCTCGTGATCAGTCATTCCTGCCGGCCTCGGCTCTCCCCGGTCACGGTTGCAGGGGCTGTGATCCCTGCCGGGCCCTGACGCTGTCACTTGTGTGCTGCTGGAAACAGGCGCTCAGGCGCTGGCCTCTGTGCAGCGGGTGTGACCCAGGCTCCCCTGTGCAGCCTGGCCGTGTGACCACGGGGTTTTCTCCTTGCAGTAGAAGTGCAGCAGTAGATGTTCTTGTCCATCAGCGCCGTTTCTAAATATAAACTTCCGTTAGAGCAGCTGCCGGGGCTTCCCTTGCAAAGGTCCTCGTGAGCTGGGGCTTTGGGCCACTCTGTGGCGACACTGCACAGAGTTGCAAGGGACGGCGCCACAGGTCACAGCCTCGACTGTGGTGATGCAGCTCTCTGTCCCTCACCAAGAGTCCACCCTTCTGGTGACACCCCGATATGCTCAGTGGGTTAAGCCAGGATGACTCAGCACCTTTGGGATCCAGGGGCCTTCGGAAGCCGCAGCTCCAGGTGCATGAGACCTGGGGGCGTTTTATATGTGAACGATGGCATCTGTGGCTAGGCTGCTTCCCTCGCAAAATACGCAGCACCAGAGTTAAAGGGGAAAGGGCTTATCTAGCTCACGGTGTGTAGAGGTTTTAGTCCATCGGCGGCTGGCTCCAAGGCAGGGGGCACAGGGCAGAGGAGGTTCATGTGGGCAGCAGACAGCGAGAGCCACTGGAGGGCCTTAGCGGTGTCTTTCTGCCCGTTACCTCATCCGGGCTACTCGGGGTGGAGGCGCTCACACCCTTAACCTGGTGCCCCCCAGCCTAGCGCTGCACATGAGTCAGTCCCAGCATCACACACCAGATCCGGCATCTCTGAGAAAGCCCCCCAGTGACCACAGGAGGCTCTGGGGACAGCCGGACACAGCCTTAACAGTCCCTGTGCCAAAGACGTGTGTACCAGTGCAAGTTAGCGTTCTTGGAGTCCATAATCATGTGAGTGTAGGGTTGTGCGGTCCTGTTAAACACAGGGCGTAACAAATAACCTGTATGTTGTGTGAGGTCTACTGTGCCACCTCCATAGCAAATATTGGTGCAGATACATAAATTAGTAGTGGTTTTCTTCCCTCGGGGTGGTAACATTAGATTTCGTTATTTTATCTTCTAAAATCTGTAACCGCGTGCATTTTTAATTAGTACATGTCTGCAGTGCAAAATGAGTCCGTCCATCCTAAGGAGCTGGCACACATACAAACATCTGAATTCCCTTTCTTATCCCTTCCTCTCCCTCCCTCCTTGGGCCCCTGACCCCCCTTTTCCTGCATGTTCCCAGGGGTCATCACACTCCGTAGGGAGTCCGCACCTACACAGACACAGCCCGAGTCCCTTTCTAAAACCATCCAGTTCCCCTCCTCTCCCTTCCTCTCCTCCAGCCCTTGGTCTCCTTCCCTTACACAGAGATCTGTCTTAGCAGCTATGCTTAAAATGAAGCAGATCTTTCTTTGTGATGTTGGTGGGAATACGCTTCCAGTAACTGTTTCATTCAGATACATTTAGATGCGACCTAATTCATCTTGAGTGGTTTTCGTCATCTGCCAAAGAAATTCCACTCCCCCGCCGTGCCGCTCACCACCCAGCCCCTCGGTCCTGGGCACCCCGGTACGTCCTGTCCCTGTGGGTCTGTCTTCTGGGGGCACCACAGGTGTACGCAGCTGTGTCCCCTGAGGTGAGCGCACTTTGGGGATCAAGCTCTTGGATGCTGTTTTACTCTTTTAATTTATTTTGTTTGCTTGTTTCAGGACTAGGACCGGAACTCCTGAGCTTGCCAGGCAGGCGCTGTGCCACTGAGCTGTACCCCCGCCCCCCTACTGGTTTAATTTAGAAACCACAGTAACCGCATTTATTATGTGGCGTCATGCCTGACCCTTTCCCTTTACTCCCAGAGCTGGTTCCCTCCCTCATGAGCAACCTGCTGAACCCAGATGCCATTTTCTCCAACAACGAGATGAGCCTGTCGGACATCGAGATCTACGGCTTCGATTACGACTACACCCTGGTGTTCTACTCCAAGCACCTGCACACGCTGATCTTCAGCGCGGCGCGGGACCTTCTCATCAACGAGCACCGGGTGAGGCCTCCGGTCTCGCAGAGACAGGACCCTGCAGCCCAGCGCTGTTCATTGGCTGTGCGCCGTCACGGGAGTTGGGTGGCACCCAGAGGGCCGTGCGGGTTTTAAGCTAATGAGGGGCATCGTTAGCCCTCAGTGGGCGAGGATGGCCCATCCGTCATGGGAGGACAGGAGTCTCTCAAGGATGACACCTGTGATCCCAAGCCTCCCGCCGTCCCAGCCCTGTGAGTTCCAGTCCCGACACCCCAAGTGCTTTGCAACCCCTTCCCTCCCCACGGGCATTAGAAGATGGGGCCTCCCTGGCCGTGCCCCACGCCTGGCTCCCGGAAGCCAGTGAGTAGACTGTTGCTGAATGGTGAGTCACGTGCGTCTCATCACAAATTTCCGGGTGACACTGATCTGGAAGCCAGTTGTGTTTAAAGGAAATTGGCCTTTTTTTGTCTCCATATTCGCTTAGGTGTGTTTCTTGGGCAAAGTAACACCTGCGGGAGGCCTGGGGGGACTCAGCTGCTGCTGGCTCTGCGCCCATCGAGGACAGCAGCAGGGTCCCTGCAGGGCCTCGTGACGTGACGCCTGTGACTTCGGTTAGCAGGGTCCCTCGCATGCTAAGTGATTGATTCTTCCCTGCCACACCGGCTCAGCCCCTTTGCTCGTGCAGAGAATATTTGAAGGTCTTTGGACACAGAGCATTTTTGAGCTTTTAATGAGGAAAAAGAAAGCAAACCCAGAGTTCACGACCCTTCCTCCTGGACGGGCTGAAGGCACAGTCAGAGTCCTCCCAGGTGTCCAGGGCCAGCTCCTGCGAGCAGCGCCCCCGCCAGCCCAGGAAGGAGGGGACTGCAGCCCACCCGTGGCCCAGGGTCTCCTCCATGCGGGGCGGGTTCCGCCTTCACCCCGGGCGGCTTCCCCTCTGCCTCTGTCCCGTTGCCTCCTTCCCTGGTGTGTGTTTCCCGGAGCCTCCGTTCCATCCTCCTTGGAGCAAGGCTGGTGTAAAGCAGGGAGGGCCCGGATGGACGGGTCCTGGTGTTGCCATGGAGACCAGCATGCTTGGGAGGTGTTCACCCAGCTGGGCAGGTGCAGTGCGGAGCTACTGGGGGGGCCTCGGAGCACAGGGACAGGTCACCTGGGCGGCAGGCGTGGCCTGGGAACCCAGACCTGCACACTCCTGTTTTGTGGGCCCCCCATTTTTCCAGACCCCCTGGTCTCCGGCTCGTTCTCTGAGGCCGTCTCCCTGCCTTGCATGCGCTCTGGTGTGTCTGTTGGCTCTGATGACCGTGCCACGAGGCTCTGAAGGAGGGGGCAGCTGTGTGCGGTGGAGGCCTGAGGAGGCCTGAGGCCTGGCTTGGCGGGAGACGCCCCTCCCTGGTTCTGGGGTTCTGGGTTCCGGATGGGGTGCTTTTATCCATGCAGCCACAGTTGCCGCCAGCTTTAGTCCCTGACCGTTTGCTCCTGTGTGTTTGCCGACCCTTGGCCACTTTTCTGAGACAGGGATCGCTTGCTGTGATGACAGCGTCCTGCACCTGCCCTGACCCTCGGCTTTGGTGTGTCACCGGGTTTAAGCAGCTCGTGTTTTCTAGATCTGAAATGTGGCGGTGGCATTGGCAGAGGTGACCTCTCCTTGCTGCCGTGGAGGAGGTCACGGGCTCCCTGGCCTCCTGGGCGCTGCCCTGCCCCGGGGCTGCTGGTGGCTCGTCCCAGGCTGGCTGCTGCATCTTCCTTCCTTCCTTGCTTGTCTCCTTCCTTTGCTTTTCTTTTGTCCTTTTGTTTTTGAGATGAGCTGTTTGTGTGACGCAGGCTGGCCTTGAACTCACCAAGTACCCAAGTTGGGCCTCCAGTTTTCCGAGACCCTCCTGCCTCAGCTCCAGAGGCCGGGACTCCAGGTGTGCACCACCGTGCCCAGCACGCTGCGGCGTTTCCTGGCACCTTGATGTCCCTTCTGGAGTGCAGGCTGCTGGCCTGACCGTGTTGCTCACTGGTTGCTCCGGGTGGAAACTCGGGGCTCTCGGGGCACTCACTCCCCACATCACCCTGACCAGATGGCCCAGTGTCTCTGGACCTCGTCCCCCCTGTAAAATGGGCCTAGTGAGGACTTCCCTCTGGATGCCTGGAGCATGTGTGGCGGGGGTGGCCCGTTGCGATTTTGATTGTTCCTAACTGCATGACAGCCGTCGCCCCCCTACTTTACATCTGAGGAAACTGAGGCCCAGAGCCTTGAGCTGCTGGCTGCGCCGTGGGTGAGCAGACAGCAGGATGTGAGCCCTGATCTGTCTTCCCGTGGGGTTAAGAACACTTTTCTGCCCTGTGGGCGTTGTTTTTGTTGTTGTTGGCACTGGGAATCGAACTCAGGGCCTTGCACTTGCCAGGCAGGCGCTTGTGCCGCTGAGCTACATCCCCGGCCCTACCCTGTGGGTTTTTAGGTGAAAATAAAATACTCATGAAAATGAAACATTCATGAACATAAAACAGTTATGAAGTCAGGGGAGGTGGACAGAGAGGAAATGGATGATGACGTAGACGGTGGGGGCACAGCTCCCACACGGAGGAGCCCCTCACTGTCCACCTCGGCCCTCGCTGCAGGAGAGATGGCCCGGCCATGAGGGCAGCGCTGGGCGGGGCCCGCGGGGGCTGCACGTTTTCCTCCTGCGCTCAGGAGACAGGATAATTCTTCCAGAAGGCGTCGGGCTGGGCCCCACTGTCCTGCCAAGCCCGGAGCGGGAGCAGTTCTGGAACGGGAAGTCCGCCATTTAGAGTCCTTCCAAAAGGCGCTGTGACAAGTGCCAGTTCCTTTGTAACAGAACAGAGCTCCATACACGTGGCAACTTCAGAAAGTCAGTCTGTACCGCGTGATCGCCGCCTGTTTCTGCTCCACGTGTCCACCCGGAGGCGGGAGGAGCTGCGTGTGGGAGGGTGGTCGGCGTCTCCTCCGTGGGCACCAGTGGTCACCTGCTCCTCGCCCCCAAGCTGGCCATCCCGCCCCTCCCTTGGTCTGGGCCCTGCACCCACGCTGTTGGCACGTGCTGTGAGCCTGGTCTCTCTTTGTAAAGGAAGAGCTCGGTTTTAGGTTGTTAAAGGCGGGGTCCAGCCCTGGAGGCTGAGGCAGGAGAACTGTCATGAGCTCAAGGCCACACAGCAAGACCCTGTCTCAACAGTGCAGAGCTGCAGGGGTGGTGGAAGCCCCTGAGCCTGCCCCGTGCCCGGTTCCTCCCGCTGCTGGCATCTGACTTTCCTCGTGTCACGGTGGAAGTGGCAGCATCTGTGCACTGTTAGCCGGCGTCCATCCCACGCCCTCTTACGAATGCCTGTTTTGAACCCAGTGCCCAGGACCCCAAGTTGCAGTTTTTTGTGTCCTTAGGCCCCTTGTGGCTTCTGTGACTGTGTCCCATTTGGTGGCCTTGACAGTTTGGGCTTTGTAGGATGCTCCTGCCTCACGATTTTTTTTTTTTTTTTTTGGTTTGCCCTTGAATTTTCAGTGATCTTCCTGCCTCAGCGTCCCCATTGCTGGGATTATAGGTGTGTCCCACTGTGCCCTTTCTCATCTTGTGACCCTTAAAGTAGACACTTGGAGCCCCTCTAAGCTGGCGGGGGACCATGCATGTCACCGTGGAGTCCCCCGAGTTGTTTCAGAGTTGATTACATGGGTGCTGGGGTAAAGCTCAGGTGACACAGGCCTGGTTCCAATCCTGGCCCTGCTGTTGCGTAGCTGGTGACTGCAGGTGGGTCCTCGGCTCTGACCCTCAGCATCGAGGCGGGTGTGAGCTGCCCAGCCTGCCATGCAGCAGTGTAGTCAGGGGTGGACAGAACCTTGAGGAGGTGCCGCCTGGGGAGACGCTGGGACCAGGCCAGTGCAGCTGAGCCCTGTGACGCCCTGCAGGGTGAGGTGTCGGGGCTGCAGCTGCTGCCAGCGTAGGCTGTGTCTCAGGGATGGTATTGCACAGGGTGACACCCACGGTAGATGGCCACTGGCGACTTCTTGGGGCCCCTGCTACCCGAAGGCCATCATGCGTCTGTCTGCTGGTGCCGGGAAATGTTGCCTGTGTGTGGCCTGGCCACAAAGAGGCCACCACGTGGTGGGTGGCAGGCAGCCCCCAGGGGCTGGATGAGCCGGGTCCTGCTTGTCCAGGCAGCTCTGGGGCTGTGTCTCCCTGGGCTCAGCAGTGCTTCTTCTGTCCCCAGCAGAGGGGCGAGGGCTGAGCTGGACTCCATCCATGGGCCCAGCGTCGGGGCCTGGCTGGTCCACGGCACCTCTGATGTCCCCTTGGGCAGGCCCAGTGGGCTCACAGCTCGGGGACACAGGGTGTGAGAGGACGTGTCCTGAGTTGGGGGGAACAGCCAGGCGGGGCACAGGGTGGGCTCACAGTGTGGTGGCAGGGGGTACAGAGTGGACAGTCCAGCTCCTGCTCATTACAAACAACAGGCCGTGGTGGGACCACGGGAGAAGTGGATGGTTCCGGGGCCCTAGAGACCTGGGGCAGAGGGAGGGGGGTCGGGGTCAGGAGGAGAGGAGACAGGCAGTGTGGGGGCCCAGGGGCCAGGAGGCGGTGGCTCACGCAGAGGGACAGTGTGCTCTGTCCCCCGCCTGCCTCCCCCAGGCGTCTCCGCTCGGGGGCTTGGAGGAGGGCAGGGCAGGATCCTGGGGTGCGCTGGAGGCTGAGCTGCTGTCTCCTCTTACAGTACCCCGCGGAAATCAGGAAGTACGAGTACGACCCCAACTTCGCGATTCGCGGGCTCCATTACGATGTCCACCGGGTAGGTTCCCCCGCTGCTGGCCGGCGGCTTGGCTTAAATCGTGTTCTTTGGGGCTGCAGAGCCGCATTGTTCAGATGGACTTGCCGAGTGGTGGGAAGGGAAGGGTGCCGAACCTCTGCTCTTTTGCCCTCGTGGTTTTTGTGGCTGGAGGAGGAGCCAGTTGCTGTGTCTGGTTTTCTTTTGCTGACCGGTTGTTTCCTTAGAAAGCACTGTAAGTGCGCTGTGGTGCACGCCTGGGAGGCTGAGGCAGGAGGATCCCAAGTTCAAACCTAGCCCAGGGAGTTTAGCCGTTCAGTGATGCCCTGTCTTAAAAAATAAGAAGTGGGTTGGGGGTGTCGGTCAGCGTTAGGCGCTGGATTCAGTCCCCAGTGCTGCAAAAAAACAAAGAAATGAAAATCATTTTAAATAACAAGCAAAGGCTCTCAGCCCGGGGTTGACAGGCTTTGTGGGGAAGCCGCTGGCTGTGTGACCGAGCTGTGTTCCTGTCGTTTAAAGGCTGTGCTGATGAAGATCGACGCTTTCCACTACATCCAGCTGGGCACCGTGTACCGGTAAGAGGCCGGGGCCAGTCCAGCCGGCCACAGCGGCCGGGCGCAGGGCTGCAGGCTGCGCCGAGGGCCTGCCCTGTGCCTGGCCGGGGTTTGGGGAGTCACAGTGGTCGGGGCTTTGGGGTAGGGAAAGTCCGTCCATGGGGCGCTGTGGGGGTGAGGGGTGCTGGATGTGCAGAGCCCACCCTGACCCCTGCCGCGGGTTAGAATCTGTGGCCCAGTTTCCCTGAGCCAGAAATGCCTGTAAAACGAGGCTTTGCCCTTTTAAAGCGTTTGTGTTGAGGTTCCTCCCTGCACTTTAACGAGGTGAGCCTGCCCAGCCTGGATTCCTTGCTGAAATTCTTTCTCTTTGATATAGAGCAGGGATGGAGCTAGAAACAATAGGCCCCTGGGGACAGCAGTAGAGCCTGCCCTCCCTCCACCAGGGCTTCGGAGGGTTTTACTCCTGGTCTCCCCCTCCCCTCTCTTCCCCTCCCCTCCCCTCCCCTCCCCTCCCCTCCCCCTTCCCCTTCTTCCCTTCCTTCTCCGTCCTTCCCTCTCCCTCCCATCTCTCCCTCCCCTCTCCTCTCCACACGGCCTGATACAGACCTAGCTGAAGGCCGGTGCTTCCTGCTCTCTCCCTCAGGACCTTGCCCCTGCTGTGGAGAGGGGGACTTGGCCCTCCGGCACCCACCCTCCTCCCCAGCCTCAGTGGTGGCCGCAGGGAGCCATTGTTAACAGCAAGCCCTTCCAGCCGGGGCTCTGAAGCTGCCAGGTGCCCCGGGGTTGTCTTCCCCTGTGTGTGACGGAAGTCTGGCTTTTCTTTTCTTAGCCGAGGTCCCCTGGTTTTCTGTTTGCATAGTTCTCTGCGCAGGTGTCTGGGGCCTGTGCAAACAAAATGAGACACCTGCGCTGGAGGAAGGAGGGGTTTATTTTGCCTGGGTTTGTGGAGCTCTCTGTCCACCGGTCCACCGGCTTCCGCGGGGCTGCAGGAAGCTGAGGGAGAGAGGAGCGGGGCGAGCCTCTCCTCCTGGCATTGTGCTGAGCCCAGACTTGGGAAGGACGCAGCTGGTCATGAGCTATGACAGGCCCCCCCCACTCCCCGTGTTCCGTCACAAATGTCAGGTGTGCATCTGCTTTCCAGTCATTTAAAAAATTCTTGCTTGTTTTTTTTTGAGGTGGGAATCGCTCTGTAGCCCAGGCTGGCCTTGAATTCATGGCAGTCCTCCTGCCTCAGCCTCCCGAGTAGGGGCACAGCAGGCGTTGTACTATCACGCTCAGCGTTTCAGATGTTTTTTAAAAACAGTCTATTGTTTTTCCTTGTTTTTAATGGCTTACCCCATCTTGCTCAGGGCCTTCAAAAAACTGAGCTACATCCCCAGCCCCTTTTAGTTTTTTTTAAAAAGGGGGAGGGGGAGGGAGACAGGGTCTTACTAGGTCCCTAGTTCAGGCCAGGCTTGAACTTGCAGTCTTCCTGCCTCAGCTTCCCGCAGTGGTAGGGTGACAGGCAGACCCCTGTCACGGCGTGCGGTCAGTACCTGCACTCTCAGTCCCAGGAGCCCTGAGAAGCTGTGCTCGGTGGCCTCAGGGTCACACAGGAAGCCTCCTGCGAGCACCGGCCGGCTGTCCTGGGCACAGCCGCTCTGCTCAAGGCAGGTCCCAGCAGAGGGGCACGACCACTGCTGTCTCCCACTGTGAGATGGGGACACCTTGGCCCACAGAGCCCCCATGAGTGGTCCAGGCGAAGGCCCTGGCCATCTGGGGAGTGGGGATTTGAACCTCGGAAAGACGGGTCAGACCTGCACCCCTCACCTGCCTCCCTGATCGCTGGAGGTGGGGCGGGGGGTGCTGTTTTCCTTGTGAGGCCAGGGCCGCTCTAGGTCACTGGGTTCTCAGGGGGCCCAGCTGTCCCCAGGCCGTCCCCGGCTCAGGCCTCTGGTGGCTGTCCATCCTCGGGGGTTGCCCCTGGGCTCCAGCTGATGGCTTCTTTGGAGCTGATGTTTGGTTGCTCTTCTTTGGAGCTGATGTTTGATTTCAGCCTGTGTCTAAGCAGTGGCTGAGTGGCTGGGCCTGAGCGTGGACGCCAGACACCTCCCCAGCAGTTGAGCCCTGTGTGCATTTGTTTTATGAGCCCAGGTCTCGATACGTAGCTCAGGCTGGCCTAAAACTTGCAGCAGTCCTCCTGCCTCAGCCTCCCAGGTGCTGGGATTGTAGGCATGCACCCCCATGCCCGGTCACAGCTGATACTTCCTAAACATAATGTTGGGGTGCTGGGCATGGTGTCACCTCGCCTCCCACCCCTGGCATCTGACCTTCCCCTGGGTGGTACCCATCAGAAGGCAGAGAAGACAGCAGCGGCCTGTGCCGTGGGGTGGGTCCCTGGTGACCTGTCCCTGCGCTGTAGGAGCCTGGTGTCACAGAAAGCCTGGTCCCAGCCCGTGGTGACTTCCTGTGCCTCAGTGGACCCAGCTGGGAGATGGGTAGATCTGGTGCCTGCCCGCTGGGGTGGCTGGGAGACAGCACCCCGGTCCCCGTGCGGCGGGTGCTGCAGTGACTGACACGGTCCCTGCCCCTGCAGCGGGGTCTCGGCAGTGTCCAGTTGCTGCTATTTCTGCCGCTCGCGGTGGCCATGGCGTCTTCCTCCTCGGCTGTCAGGTCCTGGCAGTGCTGGCCGGAGCCTGTCACTGCGGGGTCCCCGCCCAGCTCTGACAGTGCTGCCTGCTTTCCCAGAGGTCTCAGCGTGGTCCCCGATGAGGAGGTCATTGAGATGTACGAGGGGTCGCACGTGCCTCTGGAGCAGATGAGTGACTTCTATGGGAAGGTAACCTGGGGCTGGGAGGGACGGGGCTGGCCACGGGTGGGCCAGGCGGAGAGGCTTCCTGGGCAGGGTCTGCGGGTCCTTCCTCCCGGCTCCTCCCTGCTGTCCCCAGCTTTGCTGTTTGTCACCACCCCTTGAGGTGGACCCCCACTTTCTAGGGTGGCCCCGAGGGGCTGTAGGGACAGGATGCCAGAGGCTATGCCCCGCTGAGACCTCGGGTCCTCTGTCCTGAGTGGGGACCTTCCTGTCTTCCTATATGAGTCACCCGCTGTGCCATGCAGGGTGAGAGCCAGGTGAACACTTTACGTCTGTGAGGTTACAGTCTCCTAGTCACGCACAGTAGTGCAGGCCTGTAACCGCAGCTCCCTGGGAGGCTGAGGCAGGAGGATCCAAGGTGCAGCCAGCCCGGGCCATTTAGCTCCGTCCTGAGACGCCCTGTCTGTCTCTGTATATAGCATCGCCTTGTTTTGTGGACCGCCCGGGTCCTGTTTGTCCCTGGAAGCCTCCCACCTCCCCCTGGTGGGTCCCTGGGTCCAACCCCCCTCCTGTTGGCAGAGTTCCCACGGCAACACCATGAAGCAGTTCATGGACATCTTCTCGCTCCCGGAGATGACGCTGCTGTCCTGCGTGAACGAGCACTTCCTGAAGAACGGCATCGACTATGAGCCCGTGCACCTCTACAAGGACGTCAAGGTGCCTCCCGGGGCCTGGGGCAGGGCTTCCAAAACTTAGGGCTTTCTGGGCCTGGTGCCGGCGCACGCGGGTCATCCCAGCACTCGGGAGGCTGAGGCAGGAGGGTCGCCATGAGTCCGGGGGCAGCCGGGGCTGCACAGTGAGTCTGAGGCCGGCCTGCGCTGCATGGTGAGACCCGCCTCAGAAAGCCAAACCAAACCAAAGCGGAAAACACGTGAAGGGCCATGGGGGAGGGACGGAGACGGAGCCTTCATCCACACAGAAGCGCATGCGTGCGCTTTAACTTACATGACCACATGCACATATGTGTCTCAGTACCTGATAATGTCTGGGCGTTACTTACCTGATGTGTGCTTACACGTATCCGTACCACATAATACTTGGGGTGCATAGCTAAATATAATAGATATTAAAATGTGTGCATTTAAAAAAGATACACACTGAAAAAAATGCATTTTTTTTTTGTGTCTGAGGAAAGTTTCGGTTTTCCCAAATCCTGGGGTTTAGGAAGCTGAAGGTGAGCTGCTGTTGCTCGGTGTTCGTGTGGTATTATTTGGGCTGAGTGTAAATATCGTTTCTCCAGTTGTTTGGTTTTTCCGAGTCAGGATCTCACGGCGTAGCCCTGGCCGTGGCTCCTCCTGCCTCAGCCTCCCGAGGAAGTGCTGCCACACGGCTCACGCGAGAGGCTTGGCGCCTTTTCACACACAGGAAAGCCTTCCTCATCCTCAGGCTCCCTGTGGGAACCCTCCGCCTTCACGGGGAGCGTCCGTAGGGGGCAGGCCCGTTCTGCTGAGTGGTTGTGTGTCTGCTCAGCAGACCCTCGGTGATGTCCTGCTGTGGCTGCCGGGATTTCATCGTCCCCTCCCCATCACGGAGGAGAGCACGGGGCACAGAGAGCTCGCATCACCTGCCCCGGCTCACTCAGCTTGTGGGCAGCCGAGCCCAGGCAGTCCACTGTGTCTAACCGCTGGCCCCAGTCGCCTGGGCACAGGCGCTTTTGCCAAGCAGAGTTTCCTGCTATTCAGGGGTGGCTCCGAGTCCCCTGAGCCTGCACAGGTCTGGCCGCCACCTCCTCCCATCTCTTCCGCCTCCTCCTCTGTCATCAGGTCACCGCTCCTGCCCCACAGTGGCACCTGAGGGTGCTGCTGTCCATGCCTGTGCCTGCGTCCGGGTGGCTCAGTCCTGTCAGGGCTGAGGGGCAGGAGGATGTGAGATGCACAGGGCCGTGGCCCCCCACCCCTCAGGTGACCGAGGTCATCTGTCCACGCTGTCCTGTGGGATTCGGCTCAGTCGGGCTCCCATGTGACCTCCTCCTCATGCGCCTTCCCAGACCACCCTGGCTGCTGCTGCTGACTGTCCCCATGGAGCCGGGCTCCCTAGGGACGCCTGGTCGGCGTAGTGTGTAGATTTCACTCTGTGTGTGTCTTGCCAGCTTCTGGGGACAGACATTAGCGCCTGCACTCGCTCGTGTGGACCTCTGTGGCTGGGTGGCGGCCGCTGTCACTGATGGGCTGTGTGTCTTTGGACAGGACTCCATCCGTGACGTCCACATCAAGGGGATCATGTACAGAGCCATCGAGGCGGACATTGGTAGGTCCAGCATGGGACCCGCTCCCCCTGCCGCTGGTTCTGTGTCCGGTGCTGCAGGCGTCCCTTGCTGGTGTCACTTGAAGTCCCTGACCCGGCTTCGTGCAGGCCCTTCCCCTTTGGAGGAGCTGCTTGGTCCCGGGGTGGGGTCTTCAGTCTGGTGCACCAGTGTCCGCACCCCGGAACTCAGCTCCCTCCGGCTCCCCGCCCACGGTGCCCAACCCTGTGCTGCCCCGGTAGGCAGCGCTTCCCGGCCTGCCGACTTCGTCCCAACTGTGAGCCTCTCTCTGCCCAGAGAAGTACATCTGCTACGCGGAGCAGACCCGCGCAGTGCTGGCCAAGCTGGCCAACCACGGCAAGAAGATGTTTCTCATCACCAACAGCCCCAGCAGCTTCGTGTGAGTGACTCGCCCTGTCTCCCCGGCTGTCCTCGCTCGGTTGCAAGGGTAGGTCATCCCTGTAACTCAGGGTCACGTGGCCGCCCGGTGTTCCAGGGACAAGGGGATGCGCTACATCGTCGGGAAGGACTGGCGGGACCTGTTCGACGTGGTCATCGTGCAGGCTGAGAAGCCCAACTTCTTCAACGACAGGCGCAGGTGGGTGGGCGCCTCCCGGAGGGAGGGAAGGTCTCAGCTCCCATCGGTCTCCGTGGCAGCAAAGGCAGGGGTGGCACGGGGAGGTGGTTCCTGGTCTCCCTGCTGGGGGTAGGGTGCTACAGTCCGGGGTGTCGGGCTGGAAGGACGGGGTGTGCGGTGACCGAAACTCAAGCCTGAGGGGCGTGTAGTGAGCCAGGTCTTTGGCTGCAGACTCACTGCGAGGTGCAAGAAATAAGATAGTAAGAAACACTGCCTGGGTGGGCGAGGCAGTGAGGGACGCGTCTACCCTGTCTACACTGTGGATGGGACGGGAACCAGTACCTTCATGATGGAGCCCAGTGTCCTCAGGAAAGTAAAAACAGGAGTCCCATCCGACCCTGCTGTTCCCTTTCTAGTAACCTCCACAGGAGTTAAAAAGTCCACACGTTACGGTGACCCATGCACAGCCGGGCACAGCAGCGTAACTCACAACAGCCAAATCTTGGAAGCAGAGTGTATGCCCATCAGTAGATGGACAGAATACAAGGCGGTAGCTGTGTACAGAGGAGTATTACTCTGCCATGAAGAAGCACAGCCGTTAGTTATCTGTAGGGAAATGGAGGCACCTCAAGACCAAGCGTTAAGTCAAATAAATGAGACACATGCGCTTACCTATCGCAGGCTTTCTCAGTGTGAGAAACCCAGATGTGAATAGAAAGCCAGACAAAAGGTGGATGAGGAGAAATGGGAGCATGAGCTGGAGGGGAGGGAGAGGGAGGAGCGGGGAAGGAGGAGGAGAGAATTCAGAAGTGTCCTGTGGGCAGGCGTGGTGGTGCCTGCCTGTGCTCCCAGCACTCAGGAGGCTGAGGCAGGAGGGGTCGTGTGTATGCCCCAGTTCCCTGTGAGGAGGCCCAGCCGTGTGCCCTGCACACGTGGACGATACAGAGGAGACAGCAGCCCTCACATGGCTCCAGGGCCGCGTCTTGCCCGCTGCGGCTGGACTGGGCCAGCCTTGGCACAGCCCCGCCGCTGGGGCGCTGTGGATGGAGGAGTCTCGGGCCAGCAGGGTTCTTGGTGTCTTCTTACGGGGGCCTGGGTGGGGTGGGGTGGGGTGGGGGTGCTGTGGGGCCGGCTGAGCTGTTAGTATTTAGGGGTGCAGGCCCAGCGTGGTCTTTACCAGGAGGTGTCTCCGCCCCAGGGCTGTGGGCTTGAGATTTCCTGCCCGGGGCCCTGGAATAGCTCCCTTTTGCACAGTGGCCAGCTCGGGACACTTCCACCCTTCTATCTGTCCCCTGGAGTTGGTGGCCAGGCAGCCTCCTCCTTGGTTGCAATTCTCGGGGTCCCTGGAAGGAGATGAAAGCTTGCAGGGGGTGGTTAAGAGAGCACAGCGATGGGACATGACCGTGAGCCCTGTGGTGGCTGCCTTTCTCCTGACGCCTGGGCCCCCTGTGGCTGTCTGTCTGTCTGGGTGTGCACCATAGCAGGGCCGGGGATTGAACCCAGGGCCTCAGCACTGACCACACCACTTGCTTTGCTTTGGACCCGGACAGCTGGGACAGAGCAGACTCAGCCCCCTGTGTTTATCAGAAATCAGAAACTGCCTGGAGCCAGGGGCGGGGAGGGCAGGGGGCGGAGGTTGGGGCTCCCGGGTTCACAGCTGGGTTCACAGCTGGAGAGGAACCGCTTGCTGTCACCTGCCAGTCCGGGAGCGCTGGGTGGTGTCCAGAGCCTGAGCCGCTGCCCTGCGCCCGTCGTGATGCCTCCGCTTCTGTTGCCAGACCTTTCCGGAAGGTGAACGAGAAGGGCGTCCTGCTCTGGGATAAAATCCACAAGCTGCAGAAGGGCCAGATTTACAAGCAGGTACCCTCCCCGCCCCTCCCCGGCTGGGCGGTCAGCACACGGCCGAGCTGCAGCCGGCGGTCCCGGCCTCCCCCAGGGTCTTCCCAATATGCTAGTGTCCGAGTTAACTCAGAGTTGAACAGTTTTTAAACACGAAATTAAAGGGTCACTTTTCATAGCCTGTCAAGTTTAAGGTGCTGATAGGGAGCTAGAAGTTGTGCGGAGCACCGAGCGTGCGGGGCACACACCCAGGTCAGTCACTGTCCCGCCGTGAGATGAGTGTGTATTTTTTGGCACCGGGGTCAAACTCCCGACCTCGCGCTTGCCAGGCAGGGGCTTGTGCTGCTGAGCTAAATGTTCAAGGTGCAGTTTAACAAACTGAGTCCCAGAAGGTTCTGGAGTGTCTGGAAGAATGAATTGCTGGTCATTACTGTTACTGAAATTAGTGTTTTTTAACTTTCTAGGTGGTTTATAACAATGTTGGATTTGTCAGAAAGTAGTTCTCAGGGCCTTGAAAAATTAGATTTGATACACTATTTTACTTCTAGAAAATCAACTTAAGAAATTAAGATGTATCTAATAAAACTTTGCTACAAGAATATTTATTACAAAGTAACTCCAGGGCGTGGATAGAAGGACTCGGTGCTTTTCAGCTTCTCCAGTGACAGTGACGCTGTGTACGGCACAGAAAGCTGATCAGCGGGCGTTAATGGGTGCAGGGCAGTTACAGGAGGGTGAGGGGCTTTGAAAAGTACATTTGATGCTTTTCAAAAGCAAGTCAAAAAGATTCCCTGGGAAGGTGCTTTCACCTTATATTTTGTTACTTCAGATAAAAAACAAAATCAGCTGTTAGACCTTCTGAAGTAGACTTTCTGCACTGCTTCTGCTATTTGGTGTGAAGTCTGTGTCCCTCTCGTGTTACAGGGAAATCTGTACGAGTTTCTGAAGCTCACCGGCTGGCGGGGGTCCAGGGTGCTATATTTCGGTGACCACATATACAGCGACCTGGCGGTGAGTGCCCGCTCTCTCTCCCTGGTCGGGGACAGATGAGTTAATGCCACATGTTTAACGATTTCTCTTTGGCTAAGGTCACATTTATGCTTTTATGAAAATTTGGCGGGGCCACAGTTTTAAAGGTCTCCTCTTAGCAGAGCATGGTAGCCCAGAGTTGTGGGAAAGGTCAGTTTAGGGAAGTGATGGACGTTCCTCAGTTGATGAGGAAACTGTTCCTGGCTGAAGTAAGAACCTGGGCTGCTTCCTCTCCCTTAGTCCGTGGATCCAAAACCGTAAACACGTGGTCCTCAGCGGGGCGCCACCCTCCTCGCGCCTGGAGAACCAGACTGGTGCCTGTGGCCCGGGACCTGGGAGCTGGGTCTAACCCACGCGGAGCGCCCTCGGGTGTTCGTGTCTGAGGCCCCCCGTCCTTGTAGGGCTGAGTCTGCCCTTGGGAGCGATCCCGGGTCTCGGTACCGGAAGCCAGGGACAGAGCGGTGTCCGAGGAGGGTGGTGGCTGTCCCCCTCCCTGCTCTTCCTGAGTACCCCACGTAACGCAGCGTTTCCCTCCCTCCTCTCCGTGCCTCTGGTCTGTTTGCTCTTTGTCCCTGGTGCGTGTCCCCGTCTGGCACTGTGTGTGTACCTGCTTGCTGGTCTCCTGTGGACACAGGTGTCTGTGTGTGGCTGTGGTTGTTCACTGCTTTATCATCTTCGGTATCTGAACTGTGCTTGGCAGTTAGGAGCCAGCTGACCAGGTGTCTGGCCTCTCAGCATCAGGACCAAGTTTCTTACATTTTTTCAGATAAAACTGATCTTAGACGTCCTGGCTTGCGGTCTGGTTGTGGGGTTCTAATACCAGGAACGACAGATGTGGCCCTGGCTGCTTAGGTTGACGCCCAGCCTGGGGCTCTGTGCTGCCTGGAACCTGGAGCTCACCGAGGGGCTCCCCAGGCCTGCGTGTGGGACCTGTGGTTTTTCTTTCATGCTGTGTAGCCCAGGCTGGCCTCACAAACTCGTGTGATCCTCCTGCCTCAGCCTCCCGAGTGCTGGAACTACAGGCGGGCGCCTCCCTGCCCGGCATGATCTGTGTTCTGGAATGGAGCCCTTGGTAGCGATCAGGGGGGCCGCTGTCTACCCTCCGACCTTCCCCGCCCCAGAGTGTGGTTAATGGTCCCAGACCCTGGGTGTTTGGTTGCTGGTGTTGTGTTTTGTCCCTGAACCCCGTGTTCTGCAGGAGCCGTGACTCCCGGCAGTGGGTCTCTCGAGCCCCACCTGGTTTAACGAAGTGTGCGGCCCACTGGGCATGGCCTGGTGAATCAGGAACCACGCCAATTAAAGTCGTCTACATGAAGCCCAGCCCTGCCTGGGAAGGGCAGTGCTGACCCGCGGCCTTCGCCCGCAGGACCTGACGCTGAAGCATGGCTGGCGGACGGGCGCCATCATCCCGGAGCTGAGGTCGGAGCTCAGGATCATGAACACCGAGCAGTACGTGCAGACGGTGACCTGGCTGCAGACCCTGACCGGGCTGCTGGAGCAGATGCAGGTGGGCGGCTTGCTGGCCCCGCGGGAGCTGGTGGGTGGCTTCACGCGCTCACTGTCTATCTGGAGCCCTGAGGCTGTGGCCTCGGTGGACCCAGGGTGGCTGGAGGTTGTGGTGGGGTTGCTCGGAAGGAACTTGGCGCTGCCCATGGGGGCAGGGTGGGGCCTCGGGAGCAGTGGGTGCTGTTTACTCCTCGGGTCCCCATTTCTACACAGTCATGCCAGGGCGCATGGCCCGTCGCGGCCCAGGCCTAGGCCTGCCTTTAGCCTGCCGTGGGTCGGCTGTGTTCTGGGCCTCAGTTTCCCCATGTGTAAGTGAAGGACCTGTGCCAGGAACACCGTGGGCATCAGGGCTTCCTGGAAAGTCACAAAGCCACGGTCAAGATGCCAGGCCCAGCCTGGGTGCACTGTGGAGACCGCCATGGTGACCTGTGGACCGTACCCAGGCGCCTGTCTCTGTGGCTACAGGGCCATGTGGGGCTGTTCTGGGGGCCCCGTTAGCCAGCCGTCTCCCGGCCTGCGGATGCCCCCCTTGGCTGCTCCCGTGACCCCCTCCACCCCTCTCCCGTCCCCTCTTGGTACCTGTCTCCTCCTTGGTCACGAGGGTCCCCTGTCCTGGTGACAGTGCCACCTCCTTTACCCAAAGGGGCGTGGACACTGCTCCTTTGGCTGCCATCCTGCAGCCTGTGCCCGTGGCCTGATGCCCGCAGCTGGACCTGCCAGCAGCTTTGGTGGCCGTGTCCAGGCAGCTGGTCCCCTAGCGGCGCGTTCCAGGACGTGGGTCCCCGCACGTCCTCGGGCCTGGCTCCCAGCACAGTGTCAGTGCCCGCCCCGGCTCTTCCCCTTCTCTGCTGAGAGCTGGTTTGGTTTCGTGTACCGTGCTGGCCTGTGAGGTGAGATGGTTTTCTAAAAATACCTTTGGGGCAGCGTGGCCCAGGAGCCGAGCACAGGGCCACAGGACGCCAGTCACCATGGCTGGGCTCGCGCCTCACTTACTCAGGTCGGGTCACAGCCAGCCTGTGCGGGGGGCACGGTTTACAAAGGACAGTAAGGGTGCCGGGCCAGAGTGACAGAGAGGGCTTGAATCAGGCCGGGGTGGGCAGGCCCGGGCTCTGGAGCGTGCTCGCTGGTGAGGAGGCCTCGAAGCGGGCCGAGGCTTCCTGTGCTCAGGATGGGCTGTGCTCTCAGACGTGCTCAGCTGCGGACCAGGGATCGTAAATGGAAAACTCTAGAAACAATGTCTTAAATCACTTGCCTTAGACTGTGGTTACATTGGTTCTGTGTTGTTTTTGTTGCTCTCTCACTGTGCTGAATTTGTAAATTAGATTTGGTCGCAGATGTGTGTGTAGAGAAACAACATGGGCGTGGGGTTCAGGACTTGGTCAGGTCCGGGGTCCCCTGCGCGTGGGGGACAGCTCTGCCCACCTCACTGCCCACCTCGGTGATGGTGGCAGCCGCCCAGAGAGACGTAGCCCTGCAGCAGGACACTGCGTCTTAGCTTTGCTCTGCTTGTTTTCCTCTGACCCGGGAAGGCCTGGAGGTCAGAGGGGACGTGGGTCAAGGAAGGGAGGGGCTGCAGACCCGTGAGGTGGAGGTGACTCCAAAGCCCCGGAGCAGAGGGAGCCCCGCACGCTGTCCAGGGAGAGAGCCGGGCTGACAGGTGCACGGCTTCCAGAGTCAGAGCGGCCGGCCAGCAGTGGGCAGTGCAGAGGGGCACCCAGCTGACCGGCTGGACATGAGGCCTTTGTCCCCAGCGCCGTGCAGAGCGGAGCACGGCCCTGCCAGGCCTCGGGTGGAGCGCTCTATGGTGCTGTGGGTCGGGTGACTTAGAAGCGCCACCGGGGTGTCCCTCCCCGCCCCCTCCCCTGCCCGTGTCCTCCTGGAAAGTGCAGCAGGTTACTTTGAGAGCACAGAGTCGTTTTACCTGAGGAGGGAAATTTGAGTCTGCTGCTCTGGATTAGGAGCGTGGGGTTCTGGTTTCCAAAGAGGGATTTGGGGAGCGATTCTGCGAGGCTCCCCTTGAGGAGGGCTGGGGAGAAGCAGGTGCACGTGACCTGGGCGGGCCCGGGGAGGGGTGGAAAGAGGTCCCTGGGAGGGGAGGCCGTGTGGGGGCCGAGGGGACCCCAGCCAGGCTCGGAGCTGGCCCTGGGCCTCCTGTTTCTAATTTCCCCTGAGGGGCCTTGGGTTCAGAGGCCCCCATGAAGGTGACCTTAGCAGTCCTCCAGATGAAGGCCCCCACTAGCACAAGTTGAGTGTGTCCAGTCGTGGAAGGCGGGCGGGGACCACACGGGGCCCTCCGGCTCCTCCGGTGAGGAGATGGCAGCTGGGGCTCTGGCCGCCGCTTCTCCAGAGCCCAAGGGGCCCACAGGAAACCCCTGGAAACCAACATGCCGGGCCAGGGTGGCTGCCTTTCCCTGCACCCACATCTTGGCCCAGCCTGGAGTTTCTCAAACCTTTGCGTTCACTGGGGTGTGCTACCGTCTCGCCTCTTGCAATGAGTAATTCTTTCCTGTTATGTATTTGAAAAGGTAATGTGGCATTAAAGACAAAGTTAAAGCTGGTTAGTCCTTCTACCCTTACACAAACTTAAGAAAACACTGCGTGTGTAGCGTACCGTTCACGAATGTACCCCGTGTTTGCACACTTGCTGTGAGTGTGGGCACCGCTGTGTGTGCTGCTTCCGCGGCCCTGCCCTGTCACGTACGTGTGTATGACATGTCATATGTGTGTGTAATGACATGTTGGTCACCTTAGATATTTATGGGTGTTCATACGCATTACGTTCATACGCAGCTTTTAATAGTAGTCCACTAGCTTTGTGGAGTTCCGTCTTACCTTGTTGAACCAGGCTCAGGTGATGGGCATCGACAGCCATTTGATGTGTGCAGTGAGGGAGGGGGGATTCAGCTCCGAGGTGTGAGAAGGCATCGTTTCTCGCAAGTGCCTGCCTCGTAGGCTTAAAGGAGTAAAATGCACCCGAGGGGAAGCGCCCACTGGGAAACTCTCCCGAGCTGCTGGGTGCTTCGACGCCCCCGGGCTGACGTTTGGCTTCTGCCCCAGGTTCACAGAGACCCCGAGTCGCAGCTGGTTCTGCAGGAGTGGAAGAAGGAGAGAAAGGAGATGAGGTGAGAGCGCAGATTGTGCTTTGGATTTCGTTTAATTTTGTTTTATTGTAGAGACAGTGTCTTGCCCTGTACTCCAGGCTGGCCTGGAGCTCCCAGTGATCCTCCTGATTCAGCCTCCCAAATCGTGGGATTATAGGCGTGGCCTCCACGCCTGGCCAGAAAAGAAAAAAGCCCCACAGGTTTCAGTCCCATCCTGTGGGCCGGGAAGATTCAGAGACTGGTGGACAGCTGGGTTATGCTCTCGGGTACCTTACACAGCAGCTCTGGTTTGGAAACCTAAGTGCATATTTAAAGGGGTGGAATCTGGGCCCCAAACCGTGTCCTCTCAGCTGGTATAGGCAGGAAGATGACCAGAGTCAGTCTGAGACCTGGTCAGACAGACAGACAGACAGACAGTTTTCTTAATAAGTTAGCTCTCATCTTAGTTACATTGCTGGGACAAAATACTCTGATGCCCAAAATTAAAGGAAGAGAAAGTTTATTTAGCTCACAGTTTGTGGAGGTTTCAGTCAGTAATCAGCTGGCTCCAGGGCAGGGTGGTGTGCAGCAGGACAGCACTTTCCCTCCTGTACACCGTCTGCAGGCTGCCTGCCCTTGGGCAGGCACAGCACTCACACCCCCAGTCCAGCCCTGGACTGGGACGTCACAAACTCTGGATTTCACTGCATCCAGGAAACCCGCCCCCATGACCACGTGAGGCTGTGGGGGGGCTCTCCAGACGCAAACCATAACAGGCTGCTTTCATCAGTTTTTCTCCCACGTGACTTCTGCTTCAAAAGTTCTGATTTCAGTATCAAGCTTTTAAAAATCCCGTGTGGTGCCAGGTGTGGTAATCCCAGCAGTCAGGAGGCTGAGGTAGGAGGATTGCCACGAGTTCCAGGCCAACCTGGGACACACAGTAAGTTTAAGGCCAGCCTAGAATACACACTGAGAGCCTGTCTTAAAAAACCCAGCCACACTCATAAATAAATGTAAAAAGCTCATGTCCGCACACGTGTCACTGCCCATGATGAACGTGAGCGTTACATACTGCAGTGTATACTGGTAAAAATGAAAGTCGGGAATCACCCTGAAACACTTCGTGGGACTCACTCTGTTGCGTCTCCCTGTGTGCTGTGCAGAGAAATGACCAAACGCTTCTTCAACGCGCAGTTCGGCAGCCTGTTCCGCACGGACCAGAACCCGACCTACTTCCTGCGGCGCCTGTCCCGCTTCGCGGACATCTACATGGCCTCCCTGAGCTGCCTCCTGAACTACGACGTGCACCACACCTTCTATCCCCACAGGACTCCGCTGCAGCACGAGATGCCCGCCTGGGCCGACCGGCTGCCCCCGTTCAGGGCCCCCGTCCTGCAGGCTGCCCAGGCCGAGTAGCCGCGGCGGGGGACACTGCTGCCCGGCCTCCGGGCGGTCGTGGTGTGGAATGAGAGGACCCCGGGATGGCCAAGCTGCCCCGCCTGCCCGCAGGGCTGGGGAACTGATTCAACCTGCTGTTTACTGAGGTCCCTGCGCGGTGTCCCTGTCCCAGGGTAGAAGAGACCCCGATTCCACCTCTGCTCCTCAGCTCCAGCTAGGAGTGGGTTCTTCACAGAGTGTGCCCTGCCTGGATGTTTGCAGGCCGGCACTGGGCATAGCGACCAGCAAAGTATAGGGCTCATGGGCAGCTGTGACTCTGGGTGGTCCTGAGCTTTGGTGGGGTGCTGGGGAGCCGCATCTGTCAGGGGCCCCGCCTACCCGGAAGGGAGCATGAGAGAGAACATGACCCTTTGTCCTCACCGTGGGCCTGCTGTGTCCACCTCCCCGCTGGCCCAGGGCAGCGGTGTGGGCAGGAGCAGGAGATGAAGTGGCTCTCCAGCTGGTGGGACGGGGACGGTCTTCCTCAGAGAAGGGGCTGTGTGGGGTCAGGGAACAGGAAGCCTTTGGCTCCCAGGAAGCGCCCCTAAACCACCTGTGTGTTGGCATCATGTGTTCACCCTGGAGAGGGTGAAACGGGAGGCCTCCTAGTGAGACGCCCCCACACTGGCCTGGCGGAGTCTCGTGAAAACGCCTGCATCCTGAAAACCGACCAGGGCTGGACCACTATCATTGCCAGGGAGGTGGAGGAAGCCACCGTCGCCTGCAGCGCCCCCACTCTCCCCTCCCGTCCCCTCTCCTACTGTCCTCCTCCTCACTGTTTCTGGCCTGTCCCTGTGGCTCTTGGGACTTGGGGTGTTGCCTGGGGGCTGAAGGTGAAGGACATTGAGGTTGTAGGAGGACCCCCTGTTCTCTCCCCATCCCACTTTGCAGGACCCCCCGCCCCATCTGTGTTTGCATACCATGTGCTGTGTGCTGCCACATCAGCGTCCAAATGGTGATTCCGTTGCACGTGGTGCGTGAGCACTTCTGTTCAGAGGCCCCCGCGTGGTGTCCCACGTGGTGCCAGGACTGAGTGTGGGCTCATGCTGTGCTGGGGCAGGAACCAGCCGGTCGGAGTGAGCTTACCATCCTAAGTCACAGCTGCTGACGATGCCAGCTCGGGGCTGGTGCGGTTCAGCAAGTGCGGAGCAGGCTCAGTGGTGCCCTTCTTTGCCATGGGAACTGCCCGCGGTGGTGCAGGTGACCGTCCAAGCCCAAGCCGGCTCCCTGGCTCCGTCCACTGCTGCTGCACACACAGGAGGTCACGGCAGCGGTGCAGCCATGCTGCGTTTTAACCCAGTGTTTTGGGGCCTGGCATTGAAAGCCCACAAGTGAGGGACAGAAGTGCTCGGTGTGGGGTGTGGAGGGGGTCCCCGAAAGGCTGTGCTGTGCTGATGATTTCCGCTTCTAAGAAGCAGAGCCAGGGAGCAGGTATAGTTCTGAAAAGACTTCCTGGTCTGTGTCTAATCAGATGTTCTCTGGGTACACGCTGGGTGCCAGCCGTGGGAGCTGGGTTTCCTCAGCCATGAAGCAGAGCTCGTTCTGACACCCGCTCTAATGTCTGGGTCCCCACAGAAGCTTGGTGGGGGGACGTTTTCTGGTTTGAATGATGGATTTTGTGATTGACCCCCTTTTAAGTAGGGGTTCAGGCTGGGAGCCATGGGCAGGTGCTGGTACCTGCTGCATCAGGGCCCCAGCCGGCACCCCTGGGCGCATAAGCGCATGCATGCGGGTGCAGATCGGAGGTGTGGGTGATCCCTGTGCCACTCTGTACCCTTCCTTGTCCGGCTCCATCCGGACGGGTTGTGGCTGGTTGTGTCCTGCCCCTCCACCAGGCCTCGTTTCCTGGGGGTCTGCAAACATCAGAGCCGGGAAATAACGGTTCCCCACCATTAGAAGGTCAGTTTGCAAGGCAAACAGCAAATCGAATCTGAACAGTTAAAAATCACTGTCTTTACCATTGCTTAGGCCGATTCTCTTTCTTTCTTTCTTTTCTTTTTTGTACTGGGCATCGACCTCGCACTTGCCAGGCAGGCGCTTGTGCTTCTGAGCTAACTCTGCGGCCCCATCTGGATGATTTTCTGTGTGATGTAAGAATCTCTAGGCGGGGACAGTGCACACCGGCCATGAGCCTTGCCGTGCCCAGGGCCGGCCTCTGCAAGCCCATGGCCTCCGGTCCCTCTTAGGAGGAAACCGACTTTTAAGCCGGTTTAGGTGTTGGGCGTGAAGCGCTCACCTTTCTGTGTTTGTCTCTCCCTGTCTTCTTGCTCCACTGACTCCTGGGGTTTTCATGCTCCCCATTAATACCACGCAGCGTACACTCCCTGCCGGGGGAGGATGGCTTTGCTGCCACCGCCCCGTCGGTCATCTTCAGAGAAGTGGAACGTGGGCTCACCAACCCCGGATTCAGCTTGGGGTGTGTGTGGTGCCACGAGGGCTTCTGAGAACCGTGTGTGTGTGTGTGTGTGTGTGTGTGTGTGTGTGTGTGTGTGCACATTCATGTGTGCACTAACCATGCCACCCACACAGCCACGCTGCCCCGCCCACGTGGCTGGAGAGCTCCGGGGCTGACTCTGGTCTCCCGTGCAGGGCTGCTTGATCTCCCTTTGTGCCACTGTTCTGCGTGGCCTTGGTATTTGGGAGTCAGGCCCAGAGTCAGGGAGGGCAGGCAGGAAGCTGGGGTGCTTTGCTCTGCTCTAGGTGGCTGCAGCCTTGCGGGCCCTCACCTTCTCCCAGAGGGATGGCGCTAGTGTGACTCGATTTACATAATCAGGCTGTGGTTTGCTGGGCTCTCATCTCCTGGGTATTTGGGAAGATTTCCTTGCTGAGAGCTTGTACCCACACCGTGGGAAGGGGCCCTGTAGATGAGTGTGGCCGGTTGGGTTCCCCAAGCAGGCCGTGTGGGGATCCCTTGCTCTGTGCACTTGGGTCTCTGCGCCTCACCCTGGCCTGTCTGTGGTTGTGCTGGCGCTGGCTGCCGGCCTTGGCCGTCCCCATAACCCAAGGGCTTCAAGGTCTCCATCCCAGGACAGCTGGGCCTGGGCGTGCCCTTGGGCCTTTCTGGGGGTTTCCCCTACAGGAGAGCCCGGCCTGCCCAGATCACACCTACTTCCTGTGGCCCCAAACCCTTGACTGCTGGGTATGGGGCTGCAGAGGCCTGGGTGGCCTCGCCACCAGCTTGGGACAGCCCTGGGGACCCCTGCAACTGTAGAGCTCCCTGCCTGCGGGGTCACTGAGGCCCCTTGAGCCTGTGTGGCAGCCAGCACCTCCCGGCCAGTCCTGCCCCTCCACTCCCCAGGTGCCATCCTGGCAGCTTCTTGTAAGCCCCACACACAGCCTCTGCCTGGGGGACCCCCTCCACCCACGTTTTCTTAGTGGTGCGGGCCTTGACTCCCCATGCAGGAGACGGTTCTAATTGTTTAGTGGAATGTCAGCTCGGGCCTGGATGGTTCAGGTACCATAAATACAAATTAGTAGGCGCGCTATTTATTCTGAATGTGAATTTGCTATTTATTCCCAACATTAATTTTATGTGTTAAATGATGCTGAACTTAACAGCCAAATAAAAGTTTGAGTTGGTACCACTTGGTGTGTCGGGAGGTATCTGTTTTGTGTGCTGAATCTGCAGTCCTAAACCTGGCTTCGTCCAGGACTGGAGCTCGTTGCTCCTAGAGAAGAGGAGGAAATCCCAGCGGACCCGGACGGGGACGGCCATCCTGAGAGGTTAGCATTTCGGTCATGGTGTTCTCACCAGCGTCTCCTCGTCCTGCCCCCAGCAAGCTTACGCACTTTGCAGGCCTGGAGACCCGGTAATCAAAGACACTGCGCCAGGGCCACAGGCCGGGAGTGGGGGGACCCTGCTGTCCCCACACAGAGCCCCTCCTGGACCCCAAAGAAGCGGCGGCCTTCGGGCTCACTGCCAGGTCACCAGGAAAGCTGGCGATGTATAACGGACTGAGGAGTGAGGCCATGCCAGGAACGCACTCTTGGGTTTTGGGAAATCTGTAAGTATTTTGAAGACCTTGTTAATAAACTTTTTAAAAAATGTGTGCATCTAGCTTTTTAAAATCCTTCCCTCTCACTGTTCGGGAAGTGCTGTCACCGGTTTGGTTTGGCCGTGGGTATCTGGTGTCCCTCTGGTGGCAGTGTTGGCCTTGCCAGGGAACCCGTGCCGTGTGATTTGTTCAGAGTGGTTTCCTGGGAACACAGGTTCCCCATCATGGCACCCTGTCCAGAGGAGGTGACACTGCCCCTCTGCCTGGAGTGGGGCTGCGTCCCTTTCCTGAGTTAGGGGAAGGCTCCCGAGATGCCCGGGCTCTACAACTTTGGACTTGGCTGATCCTCCGCCCGGCCTGTCCCTCTGTCCCCAGCAGACAGTCTCCACCCTGGCTGAGCTGGAGGAAGTGCGGAGGGTGCCTGTGGTCTCGGTGATGGTGGCTGACAACTGCTAAAAACTGAGGTCTGGTGTGGGCGGGGGTAGCCTTGGGCGGGAAGGAACCCTGGTCCCCCCCCACAGCACCCCATCGCCCACAGTCCTGCAGCTGCTTGCTGGCACCTGCCTCAGCTCCTTGTCTGTAAAAGTGCATGGTTGGATCGGTGGGGTTCACCCTCCTCCTTGATTTCTAGGCACCCCTCCCCCCCCAGATCTCCAGAAGGAACTCAATATGGTCAGGGTTCGCCCGTCCTGTTGCACGGGACTTGGTTTTCTTTCGGGGTGGACGCTGCTTCACTGCGTGGTTACATCACAGAAACCCTCTGTCCACAGATGGTGGGCATTTCTGGTGGTTAAGAAGACTCTTGCCAAGCCGGGCACGGTAGTGCACCCCTGTAATCCCAGCACCCGAGAGGCTGAGGCAGGAGGATCTCAGAGAGTTCGAGATCAGCCTGGGCTACAAAGTGAGCTCAAGGCCAGCCTGAACTGCACAGTGAGACCCTGTCTCAAAAAGACAAAAAAAAAAAAAAAAAAGTAATTGCACCCTGAGCAGCTGCCCACACGTTGGGGTGGACGTGTTTTCGTGTGTGTGACCACATGTGTTACCCGGCGGTGGGGTTGCTGACCCTGCTGTGGTTTTTTGTTCCTCTCCGAGGAACTGGATTTTCCCAGGACCGTACTGATTTACATCCTGGCAGCCTCACCAAGGCTTGTTCCTTTCTGTTACAGCCAGCAGAGTGGGTGAAATCCTACCACACTGCCCCCTCACCTCTTAGTAAACACAGACAAAGCAAGCTGAGCCAAGAAAGGAGACAACCCAGATGCCCATCAGCCGAGCAGCGGGTAAAACAGATGTGATAGTTTATACAGTGGAGCACTACTCAGCTATGAAGAAGGGTTTGTAGGTAAATAGGTTCCGCTTGAGCCCATACTCATATAAAGTGAGATAAATCAGACGTGCATGTGTGAATACTGGATTAAAGGAACTGAAGAGGGAATAAGATCCAAAATCTACAACAGATGCCGTGAAAATGAAAGGGAAAGAAACTGCTCAGAAGAAAAGAACCCGGAAGGAGGAAGAGAGAAAAGGGATGGAAGAGGGAGTAATAATAATCTGATCTATGTACACACGAGACAGCTGGGCAGCCGTACTGCGCACTGTGTGCGTGGAAAGAACGGTTGGTGCTCTGCTGTTCGTCAGTGTTGCACGCCTGTAAGGGGACCTGAGCGTTGAAGACAACGATATAACAACTATTGTTATATCCTGCAATCCTGTTTTGAAATCCTCTATCGCTATTGTTTGGGGTTTTTTTTTTTTTTGGTGGTTGTTTTTGTTTATATTTTTGTCTTTTCTCTTTAAAATTAAGACAGAAAGAAGGCCGTAGAGGGCGGATGACAAGTGAGACAGCCCGACACACGTGGGCTCCGCCTGCCGGCTTGGCTCCTCCTGGTGTAGACAGTGTTTGGTTTCCCAGGCCCCTCAGTTTGTGCTGTGGGCTTTATTTCTGTTCCATACACGTCACCGCGTACATTCCAGTACCAGTGCTGGGGTACAAAGGCCCGGGGGTGAGCCCGGTCTGCAGTGCACAGGCTGTTGGGGGCAGCGGGATGCCACCTGCAGTGGGCTGGTGTGTACGTCACTGCTGAGGTGCCAGGACCGCAAGTCCCCAGGAGGCTGCTGGTTCTGCAGAGTCAGGTCGAGGCTCCTGTGGCCCGGGTGGTGGTGGCTGATGGCTGGATGCTGGTGGGTGGGGGTGGGGGGAGCTCACAGGGCCCCGGCCCCCAGGGGGTCACTGTCGTCCAGCTCCTGTCGGGGAGAGGCAGTGAGTCACCAAGGCACATGTTGTGCTGCCCTGAATGCTCTCGGGCTGAGCGTCTGAGGCCTCAATCACGCTTCTGAGCTCGGGAGGCGGGAGTGGGTGCGGGTGCACAGGGCCGCCTCTCCTGGGGCCCACGAAATCCCTGCTGCCTGACCTGCTTACAGGACCCTTGTCAAATCACCTTGACCCCCGTGTGCCCACATGGTGTCTCAAGGGCCGCACCAGAGAGCCTCTCAGGGCGTGAGGGTGGACACTGCAGAGGGGTGTGATTCCCTCCATTCAGGTCCCGGCCCCCCTGCCCTGGTGACCGAGGTTTTAGGATGAGGGTTTGGCTGTCTGCAGCTCTGACGGGCACCGAGGCTGGGGTCAGCAGCATGGTGTGGGGTAGCAGAGGTCCTGCCGGGTGGCATTCACGGTGCCCTGGACTGGCTGCAAGGACTGTGCAGGGTCCCCACCCCTCCCTGTGAAAGGCACAAGCTCCCGGCTGCACCCTGGGGGGCCTGGTCACAGCTGAACCCTGGTCCTAGGGTGTTGTCACCTGACTCAGGCGAGTCAGTGATGCACAGAGTCCTGGGGGAGGACAGAGCTGGGGAGGAATGGACCACGTCGGATGGAAGCTGGCTGTGTCTCCTCCGCTTTAGTTTGTTTGTTTGGCTTTTGGAGCCAGGATCTTGCTCTGTAATTAAGGCTGGCCTTGAACTCACTATGTGGCCCAGGCTACCCTCGAACTCATGGTGATCTTCCTGCCTCAGCCTCTCAAGTGCTGGGATGGCAGGTGTGCTCCATCACGCCCTGACCCTCTATTTTTCTAAACATTGATTTCAACCTAATGATACTTACAGAAATAAACTTCTAGTTAATAAATGCAACAGTGTTGAACCCACCCTTGAAATCCACACTTTCAATGGGTTCAGTTAAAAAGCAAAGAAAGATTTGCACCCCGGTTACTTTCCAGTCTATGATGAAGATACTGAGCCCAGTGCCACAGGCATGAAGAGCCATCACAAGACACCGACACCTGGTTTACTCACGAAAATAATGACATCTGTTGCACGGCAAAGCTTAATACCCATGCAAGGAAACGTTTTTGTGACGTTTCAGTGCCAGCCTTTGAAAATCCAGTTACCCACAGCAGGCTGGGGGACGGCACGGTGCCCAGCCGCGCTCTGGCTTGGGTTCTCCCTGTGGGGATGCTGGAGCTGCATGAGCCAAGTTTCCTTGGGGCTGAGGGTGCCCGGCCTGCTGGGTAAACAAAGACCCGTGGCACACTGGCTGGTGTTTCTCTGATCATTACTACAGGAGGGGAGAAGCGAAGTCTTTCTCCAGCGCCTCAGGGCCATGCTGGTGATAAGCGGCAGGCGTACGGTCCACATCCAGCGTGAGCAGGGTTCCCTGCCCAGGGTGCCCCAGGGTGGGAGCCACGTGTCACTAACTCTGGAAATCAAGGGTCCGTCCTGGAAGACCAGAGCAGGGCATCCACCCACACGAGGGGCTCAGAGAAGAAAACCAGCGCCCAAAGCAGGATACAGCTGACCACAGAAAAATCCAGTAAGTGCACAGGGAGAGGAGCTAAAGGCAAGTCAGGGTTTAAGCTCCTCTGTCCACTTAGCACCTGCTACCTCCCAGATGTCTGTGGCAGAGTTCAGCCATCCCCATGCCCTGCCTGGTCCCGAGATTGAGCCCTGGCCTCCTCCAGCTCCCCCACCCCCGATGGTCCCGGGCTTCCACCACTGTCCCTGAGGGAGCCCCGGAGTAGGGACAGGCTGGCCTCTGGGCTGCTGCGGGCTGAGCTTCCCAGTGCTGCCAGGGACTCCCGGGTCCCAGCGCCCACTCACCGCCAGGGGGTTGCAGGCAGGCGCCGAACTCCTGCTTTCCTCATACATAGGGTTTGAGATGTTCTCTGGACGCTGCTTGCCGAGGGCAGCCACATTGATGTCCTCCTCCGACTGTCACAGACACGAGTGTGAGGGCTGAGAGCTGGGGCCGCACCGGGGCGGGGGCGTCCCACATTGGCAGGGACAGCGGCCACCCTGCCTCTGCGAGCCTTTTTCTTTCCCTAGTGCTTTGTGGAGCCAAGACCCATGGTGCAGTCACATGGACCCACTCGTCTGTGTTCCGCTTGGCCGCATCTTGGCCACCCAGGACAGGCACAGAGGGGTTTCCTACCCCATCAGGAGGTGCCCCTGTGCCCGCACTGCAGGACCCCTCCCACCAGGGCAGCCGCGGTGTCAGTGAGTCCTAAGACCCTGGGTGGTGTAGGCCTGGCCTTGAACCTGACATCACAGCATGTACATATTCAGTAAAATGGAATCGCTGTGGTTTGAATGTCCTGATCGAACTCATGCTGAAATTTGATCTCACTGTGTGGTGTGAGAAGGTAGAAATTTAACTATCTTCAGTATCTAGAAGGTGACCAAGGTTAAGGAGGCCACGGGGGTGGGGCCCTAATCAAACGGGTCTGTGGCTCTGCAGGAAGTCAGGAGGCACCGAGCCGGGAGCCCGTCTTGCCAAGCAATGCCCTAGAGGATCTTAGGACTCTGCAGACTCTCCCCTGGTGAGAGGACCTCACCAGGCCTGGCTGCCTGGTCTTGGTCTTGGACCCATGGCCTCTAGGACAGTGAGCTGCTTAGATCTCTGTTCTTTATAAAACATCCAGCCTGTGGTAGCCATGGCAACAGAAAACGGAGAGTGGTTTTGAGATTTTTCTCTTGAGCAGATAAATACGCAAGTTAGTTGTTAGAGGCAAGGAGCTTCTGGGGGTTCACAGCCTTCCCAGGACGATGTTGAGGAGCAGCAGCCCGAGGAACAGGTGGGGTGCTTGACTTTGGGAGGACGAGAGATGCTTGACTTTGGGTAAACACCCCAGAGCCCATTGTTAAAGGTTTCGTCACCAGACCACTTGCTGCTGGGAGGTGGTGGCTTTAGGTGCTGAGGTCTACTGGGGAGGCAGTGGGGTCACCGGGACCCTCGTACCTCCTCCTCCTGTCTCTCTCTGCTTCCTGGCCACCCTGAGGTGAGCCGCTTCTGCCATGAGCTCCCACCCTGACGCTTGGCTTGCTCCAGGCTCAAAGGCAGTGAGCTAAGAGCACAGGGCCTGACGCTTCTGAAGCCGTGAGCCAGAGGGACATTTCCTCCCGCAAAGCGGATCATCTCAGGTGCTTCATCTCAGCACTGCAAGGCTGACTGACACACAGGGTTCCCCGTTCTGCAGTTTGCAGACCTGAGAGGGACCTGGCTATTCTCGTGCAGGGAAGCGAGCTTTGCCTCGGACCGTGTCTGTCCCCGACCTCGCTGCCCCAGCCTCAGGAACTGCTGGGCACAGTGGGTGCTGGCCCAAGGAATCCTCCCTGGTACTGGGGGGCTGATTCCCTGGCAGCCCTCACGGTCCTCACCGTGCCCTGTCTCAGCCAGGAGGTACCCGTGTGGGTCCTCCTAGGGGCAGAAACCCCACCCGGGGGCAGGAAGCATGTGGACTGCTCTTGCTTCCTCATTCCCTGAGGTCCCGAAGCAGCCGAGCCCAGGAGGGTGGCGTCTGAGGGAACCCTGCTGGGTCTGACCCCCGCAGAACCATGGCTGCCACTGCGGGGGGGCCTGACCAGGCGATGGGGGTGGGAAGCGGGGTTGATGCCTTGTCCTCTAAGCTGGTTACCATGGCAGCAGGGTGCCGTAAAGTGGGGCTCTGCACACGGCAGAAGTTAAGTGGCTCGAGGTCCTCGCCAGAAACTGCTCCGGACCATGTGGACTCCAGAACCACGAGCCACAGAGAACCTCTGTTCTCCAAACCTCTGCACTCTCGGGCATTCTGTTACAGCAACAGAAAGCAGACGGGGCACCCCCACCTCCACTCCCACTTTTCTCCTTTACCTCGAAACGCTGGAAGCCGATGGCCCTCCGGTTTAGCCGGAAGTAAGAATAGGCCGCCAAAGCGACTGCTCCGGTGATCAGGATGATGGCAGAGAATATCCCCGTCCCCATGCCAGCGTGGGCCGAAGTCTGAACACAGAAAACAGAGTGGTCAGCTCCTAAAGCCAGCGATTGCCCTGGAGAGGAATGCATGCTGGAGTCCACCCTGCTTCCGCTGGCCCAAGCCTCTTGGAGTAATGGAGATAAAAGTAAGAAAAAGTTGGCATGTGTTTAGGGCAGGGCGAGAGGGCAGCTGGAGAGCACGGTGTTGCCCAGCATTGTGAGGTCCTGGGTTGGATCCCTGGTATTGCAAAAAGTAAGTTCGTCTCCACTTTTGCCTGGATCTATTTTAAACCCCTTCTGAGAAATCATTTATTTAAATATATGACAACCCAAAGAGATGGGACACTTATTACTGCTCCCATTTCCTGAAGGACACACCGAGGCGCAGAGGGTGAGTGCCTTCCCAGGGTCACCGAGCTGATGAGTGGTAGACGTGGGCTTTGGAGCTTAGGTGCCCACTTACCACACCGTGGAACTTTCCAGTGGGTGGCAGCTCGCCCTCCGAGGGGGAAAGTTACAATACTGACAGTTCCCGCACCCTGGGTGTGCCGTGTCCTACATTCCAGCTGTTTTATATTTCATAACTCATGGTCTTCCCCAAACCCAGGTCGGGAACCGTTAGGCTCTGCACGCTTTGCAGCTGAGAAGCCTGCACTGCCAGGTGCTGCCCGGCAGGGCACCAAACCAGAGCCCAGGGGTCTCCTGAGGGCTCCTCCACGGCCCTCCTTCCTCCACAAATCTGAAAGGTGGGCGTGTGGGAGCTGGGATGGCATGGGCCAGGCTGGGTGACCCCAGGGCCAGGGCCCTGGCGGTGGGACTCTGCCATCTCCCCAGGGGAGGGTAGGAACAGCCCTTCCAGCAGGCGGTTGTGCCCGGGGAGTGGGCACGGGGCTTTGCCCTGGTGCTACTCACCACTGGTGCAGGGGGTGCCTTTAAAGGCCTGGAAATAACATGGATGACTCCGTTGGCGGCAAACATGTCCCACAGCACGATGGCTCTTCCATCTACAAACCTGGTCTCGTTCTAGGGAAAGAAAGGTGCTTGCAGCTCCTCGACCACCCCCCTTTCCTCCCCTGTGGGCCCCCCTTCCAGGAGCCATTCTCGGCAAGTCACAAGTGTGGCCCACTGGATCTCTACCACTGCCTATGGTTTAGCTACGGTGGAGGGTCACTGAGCTCATTAGTGCCACCACCATTATCATCACTGCCTTAGTCACCACTGTCATCACGGTCACCATCATCACCACCATCATTAACTGCCATCACCACCACCTGCCTCCTCCTCCTCATCACTGAGGGGCCCAGAACAGGCCACCTCATGTATGCCACTGGGCCTCCTGAGAGCTTCAGCTGAAGGCCCCTAGAAGCAGCAGATGGGGCTGGGCTTCCCGACCCCTTTTCTCCCGGAAAGCGGGTCACAATGTTTCCTGTGGGGGAGGTGCTGCCTGGGACCAGGGCGGGGAGAACTTCACCGGATCTCGTCTGCCCTCGGCTTCTCCCACTCATTTCCCGGTGCCGCAGTCTACGGCTCTGAGCCCAAGCCCTTGCTCTTCCTGCCTCTCCATAAATTAATTTTTATTTACTTAAAAACTGCAGAAGCTCTTGGTCTTAACAGCTTCTCTGGTTTGCATTCTCCGTGTGAAGACTCCTCACGCACATAAAGTAGGAGGTAAACTTGGAGCGAGCGCTTTTCTTCTGGTGACCTTGTCTATCCCAGCTTAAGTCCCTGTCCCTGGCCCAGGCCCGGCCTCTGAGAGGGGGAAGCAAGCTTTCCCGCCCTCCCCGCATTGTCAACCCGTCACCTCCCACCACCCATGGGCACTGCCACCCGGTGCCCTGCATCAGGCGAGGAAGCCAGACAGGAGGCGGAACGCTGGTGCCTGGCCCCACAGAGCAGATGCCGCGGCCGTCTCCAGGGGCGCACAGCCTCCCACTCTGTCTCAGGTTCTCTTTCACCCTGTGACAGCGCGCACCCTGCATGGCAGGAACCTCGGCGCAGCACCGTACCCCGCTCTCCCCGTCTCCCCTACCAGGCTGAGCTCCTCTCGGCTGGTGGTGATGAGCAGCGGACTTCCCAGCGGGGTCCACAGGACGGTACCGTTGACCAGGTCTTCATAATAGACTGCGCTGGCGTTGGCCAGGTGGTGCTCGATGTCCCGCCCGGTCAGGGTCTGAGAGGGAGGAGAGGCAGGAGATGGCCGGGTGCGATCAGTGGCAGGGATACCGCGCTCCCACTTGGAGCCAGGAGCCGGGTCCACCCCTGTCCTATGCAGAGCTTCCCAGTGGCGCCCTGGGAAGAGCGGGGGTAGGGGCCGAGGGGTGGGGTCCCCAGCCCTGCGGTGGTGGGGGGCTGTGCTGGGGGCTGCTGTGTTTCCCTGATGCTTCCTTCGATCATCGGTGGGACCTCTGGATCGTGGGGCTTACAGCTGGCCTGCTGTGAGGAGGCAGAACCTGGTTGAAAGAGGCGGTCAGGGTGGACGTGACCCAGAAGGCCCCCTCTCCCTCCCTGGCTACTTCCTTAACTACCAACCCTCCTCTTCCCCACCGCTGCTCTGTCCTGGAGTGGGCTCACATCGCACCGGGACCTCTCCACCCTGTGAGCCAAGACAAACCTCTCCTGCTTTAAATTCTTGGCTGTTGGGTGTTTTGTCCCAGAGAGGAGTGTAGCTAAGCACCTGCCATCCCTCTGTACCGCATCCTGAGGAACGCTGGTGAGGGGCTCGGCTATGTCGGTGGCCCTGGCTTTTCACCTCTCCCTGCATTCTTAGGGTGAGGGAGCTTTTGTTTGTCTGCTGTTTGAGACTCTGTCTCACTCTGTAGGCAGGTTGGCCTTGAACTTGCCTATGTAGCTGTTATGGTTGATACATTATGGCAACGTGTAAGTTTAACTAAGAGACTCAGCAGAGAGCCAGGGTTCTCACTTTGTAAATGGCCTCAGCCTCTGCAAGAGGGCAAGGAGGTTTCGTGACTGCTGCCCCTGCCCTGGAGGGCGGCAGCCTGCATGCAATATAAAGGAGGAAAAGTGTTCTCTCCATTTTTGCTCGGGCTGCTTTTGCTGGCTGCTGCCTTGAAATGTTGCCCCCATTTCATACCGCTCTGCCCTGGAGCCAGCTAATTATGGACTGAAACCTCCACAAACTGAGCTAAGTAAACCTTTCCTTCTTTCATTTTGGGTGTTGGGTACTTTGTCTTAGCAATGAGAAAAAAGTAACCGAGATAGTAGCCCGGCTGGCCTCCCACTCACAGAGATCCTCCTGCCTCAGCCTCCTGTGCTCTGGGATTACAGGCGTGTGTCACCACATCCGGCCAACCTCTTCCTGTATTTCTGTCTCACTCTGCTTCTTGCTCTGATATGTGGCCTGATGTCTGCTCTCATGCTAGCAAACATGACCAACATTGGCGATGGGGCTCCGTCGTTCCTGCCTCTGCTGTGGGGCAGGCTGTGGGTACAGCCAGTAACTCCACTGTGACTGCCTGGGACTGACCTCAGACCACAGCACGTGAGGCCAGAGGGAGGGCCACCTGACCTGCTGCTCAGTGAGCCTGACAGCTGTGCAGACACTGTGTGAGGGTCACTGTGACCCAGCCTTGACGTGGTGACCGATACCTCCCAGGAGTCCCTGGGGAGCCCCACGCACCTCGTTCTCCCCTAGCTCGATGTTGAGTGGTACGAAGAGGGTGCTGGGGACAGACAGGTTCGTCAGGCGCCTCAGAAACGCCCGGCCTCGGGCTGAGCTGTTGGAGTAGGCCAGTACCTCCTGCGGGGAAGAGGACAGGTCAGCTGGGCAGCCCTGCTGGGCTGGGCCCTGTGCAGCAGCGGGTTACAGGGCGCTGGGTGTCCGGGACCAGAGTCTGACACCATCCTCCAGCCAGGCTCCGCCCCTGCCCAGGCAGAGGGTTCAGGAGAACTTTCCTGTCCCCAGTGAGTCCACAGTCCTAAGCCACGGCTGCCTCACAAACCGCTCCAGCAAGGCGGCTGGAACAGTGCTTTGAAACGTGAGTTACCCCAGTCCTGCCCTGTCCCGTTTCGGGGTTCACCCTTTGCCAAGGCACCATCCTCCTGTGACTGTGTCCCCTCCTAAGCGGGATGGGACCTGCGGTGCTTCTCCCTCCGCCCACACTCCTTGACCAGCGTGTGCACCCCTCGTGCAGTGAACGCTGTTTGTTCTCTCTGCCCGGGTCTGTTTTGGTCACCGACACGCCTTGCTCTTCCTCGCTGAGCTGTGGCCTTGCACAGACGGGGCTGCTGAGGCCGGGGAAGGTGGGTCATTTGCTCGGGGCTTTTGTTCTGCTGCTCTGACACGCTGTCCTGGCCGAGAGGTGGAAACGCTGTCTGCAGTGCTTACGACTTTAGCACGTGACGGCCACCTCGGTGGACACCGTTAGCCTGTGTACAGAGGCTTCCTCTCCGGGTCCTGCCTCTCATGTCTACCTGGACTCTGCCACCTTCGGTGCCCCTGGGAACAGTGGCTCAGACACCAGCTGCTGTGTTCCCCACTGCAAGGGATGATGGGAGGCTGGCAACCCTGAGCCCAGTTCTGGGGTGTGCCCTTGTGTTCTTTGAGTACCAGAGGAAGGGAAGTACGCTCATGAGGTTGTGTGTGAGGACCTTTTCCTTCTAACAGGCGTTTCCTGAGCACCTATCCCGTGCCAGCTACTCGCCAAGATGTTGCCATCTGTGGTCGGCAAAGTGAGGACAGACCCTTCTGTCTTGGGGTTCAGTGCTGTGGCTGGTGCAAGGTTAGCGTGCAAGACAATCAAACCATTCCTCTGATGAACTTAATTCTCTGATGAGCCAACGCAAGCTGGCTCCATGTGGAGTGCGCCCTCCTTTGGACACGACTTGTAGAATCCTGATGGACCTTAGAGGCAGCACCCAAAGGAAACTGATTCCACGTTAGTTGGCTCCCTGGGGAACCACCAGATGAGCTGAGCTCACCATGCTCCTCCTGTCCAGGGAGACAAAGGAGGTTGCACACCTGCAAATAAAGGTGTTGCACTGGCCAGCATGTCCTGTGTGCTGACCACAGGTCAATGCTGCATACCTACCTTCGCATTCAGTGGTCACAGCGATGCTCGGGGCTGGGGTGACCAGCACCTCCATTTTACAGATGAGAAGACTGAGGTTCATAGGGGAAATGAATCTGCTTAAAGTTATGCAACACGAGTGACAAACCCAAGCCTCAAATTCAGACAGGGTGCCTGTTAGAGCTGGCATCTTGGTGTCCCCCAAGAGCTTTATGTGCTCACACTTGGGGCTTCTGGATGGTGGCTGGGCTTTGGGGGCTCAGAATACACTTGCTGTTAGAAGGCAGGGTCTGGCTAGAGGAGACTCAGGAGCCTGGAGGGCTCACTGCCCTCCCCGACTCCTCCCTCTGCTGGCTGCTTCCCAGCCACTGCGCTGCGAGCAGCTGTCCTGCATGAGGCCTCTGCCATGCTGCTGCTGCTTGGGAGCCGGCCAGCCACGGACTGCACCGTGAGCCACAGTAGCCTCTCCTCCTCTGAGCTGCGAGACTTGGGCCTGGCCTCTCAGCCATGAGACAGTGACTCAGACCTGGCCCAGCACCGAGCTCTAAGCCCCAACGACAGTGAGCCTTCGGCTCCTGCCATGTGCCCACATCTCTGCTGGCCACTGAGAGGCAAGCCGCCCCGGCAGGGCACCTACCGTCAGGAAGACGTTGAGCGTGGAGGAGGACATCAGGACCTGCAGCAGGTTCCCGCTGCACGAGGTGCCGTCTCCCACGTAGCCTGCCTTGCAGGTGCAGTTCACATCTGGAAGCAGAGGTGCACAGGGTCTCACTCCCCGTGAGGCAGGGGCTCGCCTTGGGAGACGGGCTGGGGCCGGCTTGGCCGGGTGGCCGGGCAGCAGGGCAGCCTGGAGCCCCGAGCGGGCCAGGGCTTTACCTTTCATGCGGTAGCAGAAGACGTCCCACACCTCGCTCTTGTTGGTCCTGACCCCGTAGTCCACGATGCCCACGGCGCCGCCGCCACACTTCCGGGAGGAGTAGGCTGTGGGGTAGGCCACGTGCCCGCTGTCCAGCCAGCCTGCCGAGCAGAGGTGATACCCAGCCTGCAGGGAGAGATGACCACCGCGGGTCGGCTGCTGTCCCTGACCTGTCCAGGAACTTCTCGGTCAGTGTCAGAGTCCCTCCCGGCCAATAATCTTTTTGGATGCCTTTTTGAGACAGGGTTTCACTGTGCAGTTCAGGCTGGCCTTGAACTCACGTTGCGCCTCCTGCCTCAGTTTCCCCAGTGCTGGATTACAGGCATGCACCTCCATGCCCGGCTGGTCACTAAAGTTTTGTTGACCAAGCCACTGGATGCATGAAGGTGGTGTCCTCCCTCTCTGGTAGGTGTCCAAGTCCTTCATGCCCATTTCTCTTCTCTTTGCTCTTGAGAAAGATTTGCAAATGACCAGGGAACAATGTGTGTCTGTCGAGTTGTGTTAGTTATCACAAATGCATTTGTAGACAGGAACTCGCAGTCAGCCATTTACCCCGGTGCAATGTTTTTCTGGTTATGAGTTAGTAAAATTCTGGTGACGGAGTCTAAGTCTTCACCACCTTCCTCTTCACGACCATCACCACTGCATCACTGGAGAATTTTCCTGGGGCCACATTCTCTTGCAAGAGCTTTTCACATGCCAACATCTTTTGCTCTCAGATCAACCCTACGAGGTAGGAACTTTTAAAATCCTTGTACTATAATTACGGTAACCAAGGCAAAGAGAAGTTAACTGGCTCAGTCATACGGACAGCAGGTAGCAGATTCAAAGTCAGGGAGTCCATCGACGTCTCTCAATAAGTCTAAACACGAGCTCCTCCTGTGTGTCACACTACCTTGAGCCACAAGTGCACCATGCAGGAAAGGGGCGTGGTGGCTTGGTGAAGGCCATGCAATAAACAGGCAGAGAGCAGGGTCTTGGGCCCCCCAAGACCTGGGCGGCAGTATCTCAGGGCTTTGTTCATGGTTCAGACACATCAGGTCTGTAGAGTGCGTTGGTGGAGACGGAGATTGGAGGAGGATACAGCCCCTGGACAGTCACTTCTGCTTCCGGTGAGAAATCACCAGCAGGTGATGCCAAGAGCTGGCTTTTCTAAGTGGGCATGCTTCTGGGTTCAGAGCTGAGTAAGGGAGCACCCTGAGTGGGGCAGAGAGCCCCGCATCCTCCCTGCTGGGGGCCCGGGCCGTCCCCATGCATTCCCCTCACGGCCCCGCAGCCGCAGAGCTCAGGCCATCCAGAGAACCTCGGCTGGGGTGCAGGTCCAGAGAGATCAGCTCTGAGCCACGGGAGATCAGCTCTGAGCCACGGACGTTGGTCTCTCTGCTTCAAGCAGTGACGTCTGCACTTCAGTCTCTGCCTCTGCTTTAACAGCTGGGTGTTACAGTCAAGAATAGACTTTTGGGATCAGCAGGGTACAGGTGAATGCTGCGTTGCTGTGGTTTAATCTACAATGTCCCCCAAAGGTCCCACGTTCCAAGGAGCGGTCGCTGGGGGCATGGCTGATCTCCGGAACTCCTGCTGTCTGGGCTTCCTCTCTGCTCTGAGCTGATCAGCTCTTCCCACATGCTGTCCTGGGTGCTGTCTGTCTTGGGGCCAGGGGACCATGGATGAACCCACTGCGATTGTGACGCCAAACAAACCTCGCCTCCTTTAAGTTACAGTGATGGGTATTTTGTCCCAGCAGAGAGAAAAGAAATACACGGATCCACCGTGTGTCTCTAGGCTGGGAGACATTAGACATTTCCTCAGCTTTCCCAAGCCTCAGTTTCCCTATCTGTAAAACATCTTACAAGGTGTTGTACGGATGGATAATAATGTCAACGAAGCACTCAAAGCCAGCGCCTGGTACACATGGATGCTGGACACTGGACACAAGGAGTCATCCATCGCTCCTGGAGCTTCCTGGATTTGCCCCTCCAGGGCCAACAGCCCAGAGCTCCCCCGTCTGAGGAGGTGGCACCCCCTGCCTGTGGATGCTGTCTCCCCGGGACCCACCTTTTGGGCATAAGAGAGCTGGTTATAGGTGGCCACGGTTGCAGCTTCGCTGGCACAGGTTGCTCTGGCCGTGTCAAAGGTCAGCTTGTACTGGCCCAGCGGGGAGCGGACATGGAACACCCCAACAGTGGTATCTAGAAGGGGAAAGAGGAGCCGGCCCATTGGCCCAGCTGGTTAATGGCTCTGGTTCCACCAAAGCCCTTCGAAAGACTTCCACAGGGGACACCGAAGCCACACCCCCTAGTCACACTGAGGACACTGCTGAGCGAATTTCTTCTCTAACCGTGGAGACAGCCCGAGTCCAGCGAGGCTGGAGCACAGCTAGAACGGCTATCACCCAGGAGGTGAACCTAGCCAGCGCCTCGGAGGACGTGAGCCGTGAGGTCCCCTGCAGCACGGCCACTACTGGACGCCCTGCGGAGGTTCCTCGGAAACTAGACACTGAGCTGCTGCGTCATTCTGCCACCCGGCTCTGGGTGTCTGCTCAGGAAGGGGGTCAGCTGTCAAAGAGAAGCCAGCACGCCGGCCAGCGCAAGGCAGCCCTCTGTACAACCTCCAGATCCGGAGTGGACCTCCGTGTCCATCAAGAGATGGATGGACAAGGAAAACATGCTACGGCCACATGGTGGAAGGCACTCAGCCGCCAAAAAGAATGGGATTTTGTTCAGTAGGTTACATGAGGTAAGCAGGCCAGAAAGTGACTGAACTTGTGCATGGAAGCCAAAGATGAGAAGATTACTGCGGGTACCAGAGGCTGCACAGGGCGGAGGAGGGGGAGGGGAAGGGGGAGGGCTGGGGGAGGGGAGGGGCTGGAGGAGGGGAAGGGGGAGGGCTGGGGGAGGGGAAGGACTGGGGAGGGGAGGAGGAGGGCTGGGGGAGGGGAGGAGGGGGATGGGCAGTGGGCGGGCAGTGGGTTAGAAGTCAGGGGTGGAGGAGGAATAATTTGGTGCTTCCTTGCTTGGTATGGTGACTGTGGTTAAAATGCTATGCTGAACATTTCACCATCGCTGGAAGGAAGGACTGAACGTTCAATCACAGATGACAAATGTGTGAGCTTAGACGTGCAAAAGCCCTTAATTACTGCACAGTGTGCACGTGTGGAAACATCACCCTGAACCCTGTGTGGACGATTGTTATGTGCCTGTTACAAATAAAAAGCATTTTTATTGTAGAAACTGGGGTACCTCAGAAACATAAATTCGTCTGTATTCTTATCCTCGAAAAATAGCCATTGCTCCTAGGCTAATATTTTTGTGAACCAGAATTTTTACTTCTTGGGTCACTTTCAATTTGCCAGCTCCACACCCTTCCAGTCTGTTTTCTATTCATCTCGGCATCACACAGACTATAAATGTGGTAGCAAACTGCATAGTTTTCAGAAATTAAAAGCATTAACATTGAATCATGATTATTTGTCAGTATCATACATTTTCACTGGTAATAGGATTTCTCCTCTCATATTTATAACTGGATAATTTTTGTAACATTTACAGCCATCAGAACACATATTAAGGTATATTTTTGCCAGTGACTCTGTACATATTTTGGTCTCTGAGTGTTTTTTTTAAAAGTTTTTAAGAAATTTCCAGGAAAATGGCGAGTGGTGAGCAGGAAGAAAGAAACTCTCTGTTTTGGGGTGCAGACCCCGGGACACAGCAGCCTGGGGAGGAGGAGGAGGAGGAGGAGGAGGTGGGTACCAGAGATGCAGGAAGGGTCTACATTGAACCTTAAGCCCACGGAGAGAGAGAATTCAGGAGCCCAGCAAAACGGGAGATCCAGGGGCAGCTGCTGGCCAGGGAGGACCAGCAAGGAAGCCGCCTCCGCCCCTGTCCCCCCACATCCATAAGCAACTGGATGAGACGCGGCTGAGACCGTCATAACTGAAGTAGGGAGCAGCCCAGCATCTGTGCCGTTTGACTGACTGTGCAGGCCTGCGGCTGGAGACCGAGCCACCATTCAGAGGGTAACAGCACGCACTGTGGGGAGATCGCGGATTCCTGTCATCCTAGCACTGATTTGCTGTGTTTTCTTTTACTGTTCTTATTCCCTTTAAAATAAAAAACAGTTTCTAAGGAAACCATTTGTGGTCCCCTTGCTATCCTAATGGTGTTTGTTATCTGCTCCTAGCTGACATCTTTTCCAGCCACACAACTGCGCGCAGAGACGGGCGGCAGCACAGGAACAGGGTCATCCTGTTCATTATACAGACCACGGGAGGCACTTCCTCCCACCGAGCTGGGTCACAGCCGCAGGCTGAGCCATCTCCTGGCTTCCACCATGGCAAGGCGCCGTTCCTGTTGACATCACATATTTTTGCGGGGCCAGAGTGCAGGGATGGAGCACAGGGCCTCACACAGGCTGGGCAAGCATGTGTCACCGCTGAGCTCATCTTCAGCCCTTTTATTTCGAGACGAAGTTGCAATCCTCCTGCCTTGGCCCTGGGATTAGCCGGGATTTTAGGCATGTCCACTGTGCCCGGCACGACCACACATTTCCTAATAGTGCCTTTGAGTGCATGACCTTCCGGGGAGGACTCCTGCAGACGGAGGTGCAGAGTCCTGGGGTTCCCGGGATGCTTCTCTGGTGCACATTTGCCAGCTGGCTGCCACGGAGCTGTGCCAAGGGAGTGTGGGCACCTCCTCACAGGTGGGCGGCAGGCACTGCCCAGCCCCCTTCCTACCAAGGTTAAACTGCATGTTCTCAGGGAAGGGGGGCCCTGGAGCCGGGTGAAGCCGTCAGCGGGTGCGATTTTCACCTGTGAGGGAGCTGAGGGTCCAGCAGGACCGGCCTCATGACACATGCCCTAAGGAGAACCTGCTATAATGGCCTATGCCGGGGATTCCCAGCACTCTGGGAGGCTGAGGCAGGAGGACTGCAAATTCAAGCTCAGCCCGGGCAGCTGAGCAGCTTAGCCAAACTCTGTTACCAAATAAAAGATAAAAAGGTGGGAGGGGGCTGAGGACACCCCTCAGGCAGAGGCTCAGGTGGGCTGCCCCCCAACCTCGCCTGACTGCAGGGACTCCTGGGAAGAGTGGACCGCGTCCATCCTGTCTATGCATTTTTTCTTTTGCTTGTTCTCTCTCTCGCTCAGAAGGGATTGAGGCACTCAGGGTCTGATGTCTGACAGTGTGACAGCAGCAGCTGTCATGCAGACACGTGACCTCAGCGTGGCCGCAGGAATGGCTCTGAAGGCAGGATGCCCCTCCCTGCTCGGGGCTGGGTGTGGGGTCCTTCGTGGCTTTTTTTTTTTTTTTGGCCTGAGACAGGGTCCCGCTGTGCAGTGCAGGCTGGCCTTGAGCTCACTTTGTAGCCCAGGCTGGTCTCAAACTTGCAGCGATCCTCCTGCCTCAGCCTCCCGAGTGCTGGGATTGCAGGCATGAGCCACCACGCGCAGCCCCTCATGGTTTTCCTCCAGCGGGCCGTGGATCCCCGTGGCATCTGGGCCTTTGTCCTTCCGCGGGCCTTTTTCTTCCTTCTGTTTTCTTAGTTTTGCTGTACCAGCCGTTGATTGCAAGCCTTTTTTTCCATATTTGTTTCGTCTTTTTCTTTTTTTTATCAGTACCGGGGATTGAACTCACAACCACACACTTGCAAGGCAGGCGCTTATGCCACTGAGCTAAAGCCCCAGCCCCGATTGCAAGCCTTTTAACCCCTGGGGAGTACAGCCCTCCGCTGGCCTCTGGGCCGTTGCCAGGGTGACCCAGCTCCTCGGGGAAAGTGAGCCCCCTCCCCGCCCCAGCCCCCACCGACGGCTCCGCCCCCCAGCCCGCAGCCCCGCCCACACTGACCCTGGAAGTGGAGGTCAGCACAGTCGGCGTCCGGATGGCACTGCCCATTGTCCTGCAGACAGCGGTCCAGGGGCAGCTGCTCGGGTTCGCAGTCCAGCCCGTCCCCCACGTAGTGGCTCTTACATTTACACTTGCGCTTGCCCTGCGGGAAGAGGGGGAGCCGGCAGGTGCCTCGAGATGCCTCCAGCAGCCGAGGGGTGCAGAAGGACCCACTGGGGATGAGGCCCGCGATGGCACGTGTCGCCCTCTGCACCTCGGTGTAAGGCCACTTTGTCCCGCCCCTCCCCCAGCATCCTGCACCGAGTGGCTCCCCAGTCCCTTTCCGGCCACATGTTGGCTCTGGGAAATCCACATCCCGGAGGACTGGCTCCTCCTTGGCCTTGTAGACAGGGACCTGGTAGAACTTCCTATTCCTGTATCCCTAGCTGGCGCCCGTAGCACATGGTAAGTGCTTGGCGACCATGGACTGAATCAGTGAATGACCTCATGGGATTGCCACGAAGACCCGAAGATGTCTGTAAATTAGGCCCATTTTACAGATGAGAAAACCAAGGCTCTGAGAGGCTAAGAAGCCAGGCTCAGAGTAGCTGGCTTGACCGTCCTGGAGCCAAGGCTCAAAGATTGTCTGATGTAGATCCACGTTGGTAACCGGGCTGGGCGTCCCTCTGGCCCACTGCAGCCACCAGCACAAGTCCCATTCCCGATGGACCTGAGCAAGTGCCACCGTGAGGCCATTTTTCAGCTTTTGCTTTAAATCCTGAATAATTTATAAGGAAGTGGGGAAGACACAGGCTGCCCTCAGCTAACACCTCCCACTTAACAGCTTAGCTAGCCGCAGGGCCCTGGTCCAAAGTAAAAATTAATGTTGTTTCCTATTAACGGCACAAGAGGCTTCCTGTGGGTTTCACAGTTTTCCCAGTAATGTCCCCCCGTTTTTTCCCCCAAGGATGTTGTGATGGCTTAGGGTTAGTGCTGCCCCACAGTCTCCTGTGCTCTGAGGTGGGGCTTGTGAGGTGACAGGATCATGGGGGGCTACGTTTATGATCCACGGATGAGCTCATGGCGGCACGGCTGTTGGGAGGTGCAGCCCGGTTGGAAGAGGGGGTCCTGGGGTGTGACCCGGAGGATGCATCTCCCTACTTGGCTCCTCTGTTATCTCTGCTTCCCGGCTGCCATGGGTGAGCAGCTTTCTTCCGCCCATACCCTTCTGCCCTGATGTTTCTGCGTGGAGCTGGTCAGCCATGGACTGAATGCCCTGAACCATAAGCCAAACTACACCTCTCCTTCTCTACACTGTGGGCACTGAGAAGGAAAAAAAGCAGGGGCTGAGGATTTAGCTCAGCGGCTTAAGTGCCTGCCTGGCAAGTGCAAGGTCGTGAGTTTGATCCCTGGCTAAGAAAAAACAAGTGTGGGTGTTGGATGTTGCCTTCCAGCAATGAGAGTGACTAACACGGATGGCAGATGGCATTTAACAAGAAACAGGCAGAGGAGGGAAAGAAAGCACAGAGAGAGAGGACAGAGAGGAAGCAGAGGCCAGGCAGGCAGAGCGAGAAGCCGAGCCCCGCCCGAGGGCCGCTTGGCCCCACACTCCTGGGCTACGCACCGGCCCAGTCATCTTGCAGGTGGCATGCTCGTGGCACCCCCCGTTGAGGCCATCCGCGCAGGGGTCTATTTTCACACAACTGTAGCCATCTCCCTGGTAGCCGTTAGGGCAGCTGCAAGAGACCGTGGTGTTCTTCTGGGAGCACTGGGCCACCTTCGCACAGCCTCCGTTGTTCTGTTTGCAGAAATCCACAGCTGCAAGAAGTGAGGGGTCTCCATGAGCCATCACGTGTGTTGCTGGGACTTCACTGGGGAATGGTCAGCCAGCCCTGCCCCAGTGCGTTGGGGGGTAAATGGGCTTTGGCAAGGCTGTGCCTTTGCTCCCAGCCCCTGTAGCCTCTGTGTGAGGCTTTGCAACTCCAGTGTACTGTAATATCCTCACAGATCTGTCTACTTCTGTCTATGCCATTGCTTACCTATAGGCTCACTTGGGTAGCCGTGTACAGGCTGACCTTGGGTTTTTATTATGTGCGTGTGTGCAGAGTTAGAGCAGCATGGGACACCTGGTGAGGCAGATCTTGTTAACCCTGTTCTGCAGATGACCAAACCGAGGCTCAGGGAGCTTCACAGAACTGACAACTGCTGGCACACAGCAGGGCTGAGATGCTAACGAAGGCTAATTTGGCCTTGCTGTGTTGGCTTGGCTCTTGGGAACTTGACTTTCATGATCTCCCAAATTTCATCCTCAAAGTAGACTAGCGGCAGGTGGAAAGTGTCTGAATCCTTTTGACTGACCTTATGCAGAGTCACGGCAGCCACTGGAGAGCAACGCTCCTGCCACTAGGGCTGGAGGGAGCCTGATTTGCTGCCATTGTCAAGTGCTGATCCTTTCTGTGCCTGATAGATGGCAGGGATGACAAACTCTAGTGTTCAAAAAGAGTGTGCATCTCCAGGTAAATGCATCATGGAAAACCTCAGTACATCTGCCTAGGTGGCTAACTTTTTTGGCCTTTTCTATAGAAAAATGGGCTTTTTGGTGGTCTCTCTTCTGGGTTACCCAACAGCTTTTCCCGGCTCCCTTGCAGCTAGATGTGGCAGCCGCCTGGGTGCCAGTCAGTGGGATGGAGCAGCCTGATTATAGCAACCTGTAGGTTGTGCTTCAAAAAGGAAGGGGTTTTCTTTTTCTTCTTCCTCTGTCCTGCTGCCTGGTTAGTGGTCATGGTGGTGGCCATCTCAAGCCAGTCACGTTACAATAGCAGAGCAAAAAGAGAGAAGGGAGGTGGCCCCCAAATGCTTTTCATGCAACTCTGCTCTAGTCCTGAAGGCACCCACCTGAGCTGTTACAAGAGACAGAAATAAAAGCTTCCTTATGCACTGCTTAGTTGGGACTCTGAATGGCCAAGCCTGCATCTTAACGCCAACACGTGGTCACTGCCCTGTGCACAGTGGTTCTCAGCGTGGGTCAGAGCACGTGTAAGCTTCACTTTCAAAAAAACTCACTGCGTTTTCTGAAGGCTATGTTACTTAGAGTTAGAAAACTACCCAAAAGTATAAAATGCATCCTGCCTCACAAAGCAATTGTAAAATCATGGTGTGTGAGGTGGGCTGGCCAGCAGTGAGCCTACCTGTTAGGTTTTTTGGTGCAGGTGAGAGACAGAAAGAGAGAGAAAGAGGCCTTGATTGTGGGCATGGGAGACTTGCAGAAGCATGCAAGCTTCGTCTGAACAGAAGGAAGGAGTGGTTGGGCTTTTGCTCTGACTGGGGCTGCAGATGGGAGGCGGCCCAGGGGACGAATCAGCCGCGGACTGGAGGAGGCTTGGCGCCCATGAAACAAAAGACCGGAAGTTGTTTTGGGCTGAGGGGAGAAGAAAGAGGAAGCCGTTATGCTGCTGTGTTCGGCTCCTTCACCATGTTGGACCACCACCATCATGACTTGGTGAATTTCCTACGGGCAGACACCTATGAATACCCACTAAGGAAACTGAGTCACAGAGACAGTGAACATTGGTGGAGTTCCAGGCAGGAAGCACAAGAGCCAGGATGGAGCCCGTGGTGGCTGTGACCAGTCCTGGGCCTCTCCTCCTCCACGCCACGCCTTCCCAGGTGTGCAAAGGCACTCACCCGTGCACGTGATTCCGTCCCCTTCGTAATGCAGGCCACACTCACACGTGTTGTTCTCCCTGCAGACGGCGTGAACAGAACAGGGAGGCTTGCACACTGGGACCACAGCTGCCAACGAGAAAGGCCACCACTCACCTAGGAGTTCCCGAGACTCTCTGCCCCGTGTGGCAAACACACTGGGTGGTGCGCAGCTAGAGTCTGAGGTTCTAGATCGACTGCTTCACCTGAGACACCTCTGCAGGGTTGCCTGGACCCTAAAGCAGAAAATGTGTCACCCGAGGGGCGACCAGGAACGCTTTCCAACTGAAACCAACCGTTACCGTTACCGGGGTGAGGCTGAGGGACTGTCTGACCCCAGGGCATGGGGTGCAGGGACGGTCAGCGTCCTCCAAGGCAGCCTCTCCTTCCCCTGTCCTCCCAGCCTGGGGCGAGCCCCGTGATGCGGGAAGGGCAGGGTGCAGGGGACAGGAAGGGTGGTTCAGGGCGTCTGCGGAAGAGGCAGGGGGCTGAAGTCCACCACACTGCTGGAGTCTCCAAACTCCAGGCTGCCAGGCCCCTAGGAAGAGACTAGGGATGCCCCTCACCTCTCTTAGTACTGGAGACTGAACCCAGGGTCTTTGCATTTAGCTACACCCCCATCTTGTTTTTCTTTTTTTAAAAACTCTTTTTGAAATTTTGAGACATGGTCCTGCTAAGTGTGGTCCAGGACGGGCTTGAACTTGCGGTTCTCCTGCCTCAGCCTCCCCCTGTGCCTGACTTTTAGAGGTGCCCTTGTGACTGCAGGGACCTTGAGTGGTCATCGAGGTACAGCAGGTCACCTCACAGCTCAGACCTCCAGAACCGAGGGATCTGAATTTGGGGGGCCCTCAGAAGACTGCCCGCTTGGTCATCACGGAGGTGATGGTGATGGCAGTGAAGCTGCCGTCCTGAGAACCCCTGTGGCCCCCGGGCCACCATAGTGAGGCAGCAGCCCCTGCAGGAAGATGCGCTGGTCCCCATTCAGCCACCCCAGGCCCAGGGCCACAGCCCGAACACCTTTCCCACTGGCCACTGGGACACCTGCTTTGCCATCTACTTCCTGGCATCACTCAGTCCCAGCCTTATTCGAGCCTCGGGAGGGTCCACGGTCGCTGCCACACAGACCTGTGTGTGTGTCGCAGGAGCTGCCCGTCCACCCGCTGTCACAGAGGCACTGTCCGGAGCCCGAGATCCCGTCATCGCACTGTCCGTGGGCCGAGCAGTTGCAGGCTGGAGGCAGAGATGTGGTGTCAGTGACCACGACCCGGGATGAGACCTGGGCACCATGCACTGCCTGCCTGGCACTGATCTGCTTTGTTCTGAGACAGGGACTCACTGTGTAACCCAGGCTGGGCTCCTGCGTGATCCTCCTGTCTCAGCCTCCCAAGTGCTGGGGTGACAGGCTGCACCACCACGCCTGGCTCCCTCACTCTCTCATCCGAACGCCCCAACCACAACCCACACGACCAGGTGACAGGGACAGCGGAACCAAGCAGGGGCCTGTGTTCCCGGGGCTCACAGGGGGTGGACAGGAGGTTGTAAAGGGGTCAGCAGGGGCACTGGACTTAGGAAAAAGACAGGAGCAAGGCTCCGTGGGCTTTGTGGAAAATTAATAAGGCGGCTCTGACCTCTGCAGTCGCTCAGAACTGAGAAGGGCGGGCACAGGGGAGCCAGGCAGACAGGGGCGGCCTTGGGACCGGGACTCCCTGGTGATGGCCGTGAGCGGGGAAACCTTCCCGGCCTCTTCCTCCGGACCCCGGAACCACCTGCCCTGGCCCTACCTGGAGCCGGGTCAGGGAAGGTGGCCGGAGACACCCAAGGTCAGGGCGCCAGTCGGGTTCCAGGAGCCCTCGAGGGCCCGGGGCTCCACGGCAGCAGCCATGGACGGGGACCCCAGGGACGCGCTTCTGAACCTTCCCTCCCGCCAGCGTGGCCGTCAGCCCTCTCCCTCCTTCCCCATCTTCGATGTGATGCAGGGTTTCCTCTTGTTTTAAAGATGTGTTTGCCTGGCACACGAGGAAGCACAGAAGCCTGGCACTCGGTAGAGGTCAACTATCAATATCAGGACTGGGTAAGCGTACGAGGAGGGACCGGAAATGCACAGAAAGTTTACACTGAAAATAACTTATTACAGTGAAAGACACTCTGCCAAGAACCATGGTATTAGTGTGCTCGGAGCAAGGATGAGAGTCCGGCCTGCAAACCCAGCACTTGGGAGGCTGAGGCAGGAGGATGCCATGCGTGTCAGGCCAGCCTGGGCTACAGAAAAAGAAAAAAGAAAAGAGAAAAAAGAAAAAAGAAAAAAGAAAAAAGAGGGATTCACTGGCAATGTGTCTTGTACTGTAATAAATCTCTTCTTTAAACATTCCCCATACTTGTTGAGCACTCTCACTGATCAACTGTGTCCTCATCCACCAGGTCTGGCACTGAGAGACTTCCATGCTTCCCCAGAGTGACAATGACCGTGAAAGGGAAATGGTTTCGATGGACGCAGGACACCAGGTCAGCCACACAGCGTGGCTGAGGACCCTCCGGAAAGAGGACTGCAGAACAGCCGAGGACCCGGTGACCTCAGCGCAGGGGGGATCTGGAGGGGACCCAGGGAGCTCAGCGCAGGGGGGATCTGGAGAGGACCCGGTGAGCCCAGCGCAGGGGGAATCTGGAGGGGACCCGGGGAGCCCAGAGCTGGGGGGATCTGGAGGGGACCCGGGGAGCTCAGAGCTGGGGTGATCTGGAGGGGACCCGGGGAGCTCAGAGCTGGGGTGATCTGGAGGGGACCCGGGGAGCTCAGAGCTGGGGTGATCTGGAGGGGACCCGGGGAGCTCAGAGCTGGGGTGATCTGGAGGGGACCCGGGGAGCCCAGAGCTGGGGGGATCTGGAGGGGACCCAGGGAGCTCAGAGCTGGGGTGATCTGGAGAGGACCCGGGGAGCTCAGAGCTGGGGTGATCTGGAGGGGACCCGGGGAGCTCAGAGCTGGGGGGATGTGGAGAGGCCCCGGTGAGCCCAGCGCAGGGGGGATCTGGAGAGGACCCGGGGAGCTCAGAGCAGGGGGGATGTGGAGAGGCCCCGGTGAGCCCAGCGCAGGGGGGATGTGGAGAGGCCCTGGTGAGCCCAGCGCAGGGGGGATCTGGAGAGGACCCGGGGAGCTCAGAGCAGGGGGGATGTGGAGAGGCCCGGGTGAGCCCAGCGCAGGGGGGATGTGGAGAGGCCCTGGTGAGCCCAGCGCAGGGGGGATCTGGAGAGGACCCGGGGAGCTCAGAGCAGGGGGGATGTGGAGAGGCCCCGGTAAGCCCAGCGCAGGGGGGATGTGGAGAGGCCCCGGTGAGCCCAGCGCAGGGGGGATCTGGAGAGGACCCGGGGAGCTCAGAGCAGGGGGGATGTGGAGAGGCCCTGGTGAGCCCAGCGCAGGGGGGATCTGGAGAGGACCTGGGGAGCTCAGAGCTGGGGGGATCTGGAGAGGCCCGGGTGAGCCCAGCGCAGGGGGGATCTGGAGAGGACCCGGGGAGCTCAGAGCAGGGGGGATGTGGAGAGGCCCCGGTGAGCCCAGCGCAGGGGGGATGTGGAGAGGCCCGGGTGAGCCCAGCGCAGGGGGGATCTGGAGAGGACCCGGGGAGCTCAGAGCAGGGGGGATGTGGAGAGGCCCCGGTAAGCCCAGCGCAGGGGGGATGTGGAGAGGCCCCGGTGAGCCCAGCGCAGGGGGGATCTGGAGAGGACCCGGGGAGCTCAGAGCAGGGGGGATGTGGAGAGGCCCCGGTGAGCCCAGCGCAGGGGGGATGTGGAGAGGCCCTGGTGAGCCCAGCGCAGGGGGGATCTGGAGAGGACCCGGGGAGCTCAGAGCAGGGGGGATGTGGAGAGGCCCGGGTGAGCCCAGCGCAGGGGGGATGTGGAGAGGCCCCGGTGAGCCCAGCGCAGGGGGGATCTGGAGAGGACCCGGGGAGCTCAGAGCAGGGGGGATGTGGAGAGGCCCCGGTAAGCCCAGCGCAGGGGGGATGTGGAGAGGCCCCGGTGAGCCCAGCGCAGGGGGGATCTGGAGAGGACCCGGGGAGCTCAGAGCAGGGGGGATGTGGAGAGGCCCTGGTGAGCCCAGCGCAGGGGGGATCTGGAGAGGACCTGGGGAGCTCAGAGCTGGGGGGATCTGGAGAGGCCCGGGTGAGCCCAGCGCAGGGGGGATCTCGAGACGGTGCATGGCGCGCCTTTTCCCGCACTGCATTCTGAACTTTCCCGCGCACCGCGTTTTCTGATGGTGTCCTGAGTGGGCCGAGTTTCAACCCCGGGGGCGGCGGCGCCTCAGCAGCAGAGGGGTGCAAGTGTTGGGGGAACAGACGGGAAGGAAGATGCCCACTTGGGGCGGGCGTAGAGGGCCGGAGGCCGGGGCGGGTGGGCTGGAGTCCACCTACGCTGGCAGTCCGGCCCGAAGTGCCTGGGCAAACACAGCTCGCACGCCGTCCCGTTGAAGCCGGGGTTGCAGAGGCACTGACCGTCCAGCGAGAGCATCTCCAGGCAGGTGCCCCGGTTGTTGCAGGGGGTGTCGGGTCCTCCGGGACAGGCTGCAAGACACGAGCCGGGGTGATTCCAGGGGACCCGGGCAGCCCTCAGGCCTGCACTGTGGGTTCCTGGGGTCAGCGGGGGTCGGGGCGCGGGGTGGCCGAGGGGCCCGGAGGCTCAGTGTGTGCAGCGCCGGGGCGGCCCTGTGTCCCTGCTGCCCCACCGGGTGGCAAAGCGTGGCCAGGCGCAGGCCTCACCCTGGCAGTCCGGCTGGAAGTAGCCCTTGCAGCACTTGGGCAGGGTGAGCGTCATGACGCACTCATTCCTGCAGCCTTGCAGCGACCGCGCGTGGTTTATCCTCCTGTAGGTGCAGGTCTGCGTCACGCCCTGGAGGCAGAGTGGACAGGGTGTGTGCGCGCGCGCGCGTGCGAGTTAGCGCGCCCCCTACAGGAGAACCTCGGTACCGTCTGGGTTGAAAACCGAATTTCAAAGCAATAGTGCGGGCCTGGTGTCATCCCAGCACTCGGGAGGCTGAGGCACGAGGACTGTAGAGGGTTCGAGACCAGCCTGGACTACAAAGTGAGCTCAAGGACAGCCTGAACTATATAGTGAGGGCGCTGGGGATTTAGTTCAGCGGCATAAGCACCTTTCTTGCAAGCAGGTGGTCGTGAGTTCAATCCCCAGAACCGATAAAAAGAAAAGAAAAAAAAAGAAAAAAAAAAAGATCCTGTCTCAAAAAGACAAATTTTTTTTAAATGAGCATGTACTATGTGGCCTGCACTTAAGACACCTCTATGGTAAAATTAATTTTGCCTTTTTTTAAAAAGTAGGGTCTTATTATGTAATTTAGGCTGGTCTTGAATTCACTATGTACCTCACAGTAGCCTTGAACTCACAGACAGCCTCCTGCCTCCGCCTCCCAAGTGCAGAGATTACAGGTAAATACCACTATTCCTGGCTTTAAAATTTATTTTTTCTAATGCTCACAAACACAACTGTTATTAGCTTGATTTTCTTTTTTGTTTTTGCTTTTTTTTATCAGTACAGGGGATCGAACTCATGACCACACGCTTGATTTTCAGGGAAGCAAAACTGACATATCAAAGATCACTGGAAGTTGACCCCGTGCCTGCAGACTCCAGACTGCACCGGCTCTGCCATGAGTTGACGTGGCTTTCCAGGCTTTAAGCTCAGCTTTGCTCCCTACAAACGGTGCAGCTGTGCACCACTGCTCTGTCCCTCTGGGACACACTGAAAAGTGTCCTCTGCCCAGTCCAGAGCCTGGGACGCAGACAGGAGCCAGCAGGACGTGCCGTTATGTTTACCATCCTGCCCATCCCTGAAGTCTCAGTTTGGTCTGCGTCTCCGGGACTTTCCCAGAGAGCTCCTGTGCAGCCAGCAGGCTGGCGAGGTTCCTGGAGCCGAGGGCACTCATCTCTCCTTCACTGACGTGGTTGTTGAAAGAGCCACAGATATCTCATTTGTATAACACCACCCCACACGCACGTGCATCCTCTGAACACTACTGCTGCCCTCATAGTTACCTTGGGCTTGGACCACGCCGGGCATTTGGGGGTACTGAGGCAGTTCCCGCAGTCACCCTAGAGTGCAGAGAGAGAGACCAAGATCGAGTGTGCTGAATGGCACAAGGAAGTGTCTAGGGTTGGACTTAAACGAGTTGCTCGGGAATTTAATTATCTTGATGAAGATTCCGAGCTCAACCCGAATCCGAACAATACAACTTTGCCCAGGGACACTCAGAAGGTTGTCTGGGACCTCGAGTTTTTGGCTTAGTTCTTCGAAAGCAAAACCTGAGGCCCAGGAGGGACCAGGGCAGTGTGACCTAGACACGCGACCTTTTACCTTGTATAATATAGGGATAATAGTCTTTTATTTTCAGACTCTGTCTCAAAAATGTAACATGGACTGGCCTTGAACTCACTATGTAGCCCAGGCTGGCCTCGAACTCATGGTGGGCTTCCTGCCTCAGCCTCCCGAGTACTGGGACTACAGGCATGCACCACCAGGCCGGAGTGAGACTGCTGTTTTGATAGGCCCTAAACTTCAAAATATGGCACTTTATATAATGTCATCAGGCAGCAGTGGGTGGGCGGCCCTGGCAGTGACCAGGAAGATCCTTCCTGGTCTTCAAGGGCTGTTTCCTTAGTTAGGCGGCAGCGGACGGAGCAGTGGGCAGCAGGGCAGACGAGGACACTCAAGGCCTGTGTGGGGCTAAGAAGAGGCCAGCTGATTGGGAACTGGAAGGTCCCCACCACCTGCCTTGGGACCCCTTGGGTCCTGGTCTGGCAGAAGACAAGCCTCAGAGGGGCCCCAGGGCTCCTGGGCTATTCTTTGGTTCAAGACTCTCTTGCTGCAGGGGTGATCTCAGACTGACCATGACATCATAAGTAGAAAAGACGGTACAGTGGCCTCCCAGGGAGTGCTCTATCAGCAGGCAGTCAATGCCGTAGGCCACGCCAAGGTCAAACAGGAGCTCCCGCTGCACGATCCTGCACTTCTGGTCGTTCAGGAAGAGCTGGCCCTGAGAGAGGAAGGGGAGGGGGAAAGGGGTGGAGAAGGGGGAGGGGGGTGGAGGAGGGGGCGGGAGGGGGAGGGGAAGGGGGATGGGGGAGGGGGCAGGAGGGGGAGGGAAGGGGCGGGGGAGGGGGCGGGAGGGGGAGGGGAAAGAGGACAATCCCACTCATACTTCTTTTTAGGCCACAGGACGTGTCCAGCACCTCTAAGACCCAGTAAGCACTAGGAAAATGCGGCCAGAACCTACTGTCCACCCTGAAGGAGGTTGGACCCCTTGCTACGAGGGCTTGGGCCGGCCAGGGTCTGTGGTTCAAAAGCAGTGAGGGGAGCCACCCTCCTGTCTCCGGGAGGGAGTGGGGTGGACCGTGGCTGCCGTCCCCGTGTCTCCCCGTCCCCTCCCCAGGGACGACACTCACGATGTCGCTGCCAGCTCCGCACTTGATACTCAGCTGTGAGCCCTGCAGGGTACTCCGGGAAGCAACTCTGGGGAGATCCACCGCCAGCACCTGGAGGAGGGCGAGAGCTGTGGACCCCACACGTGGGCCGGCGGAGGCGCAAGCCTAACTCAGAAGCTTTTTCCCATGAGTTATAATCGCTCCAGCTTTCAAATAATAACAATAATAAAAAACAGATCAAAAGCAGAGAGAGAGAAAATACTCAGGCCTTCTGGGAGCTTGGAGACTCCTTTTCGAGGGAAACGTTCAGCAAGCTGGCCTGGTTTTAATCTCTCTTCCAAGCTGCTCTGTGACTTGAGTTGTTGGAAGTCAGTCTTGGTACAGGAAGCCGGAGAAAGGTTGAGAAATGGCTTAGGGTACTGTCAGGGGCCCGGATCCCCAGACCTCAGAATGTGACCTTATTTGAAAGCAAGCTTGATGCAAATATAATTATGCAAAATGAGGTCATCTCAGAGCAGGGCAGGCTCTTAATCCTACATGACTGGGTCCTTAGCAGAGGAGGAAAGAGGGCGGGCTCCCACGGGAAGACCCAGGGAGGAGGCATTTGAAGATGGAGGCAGAGGTGGGGAGACACAGCTGCCGGCCGGGAAACACCAAGCGCTGCCGGGGCCCGAGAAGCCAGGAGAGAACTTGGAGCAGAGGCTGCTTCAGAGCCGTCAGAAGGACCAGCCCGCAGGCGCCCCACTTTTAGACATGCAGGCTCTGGAAAGGAGAGAGGCACCGGGGTGGCGATACAGGAGCCCTAGGAAAGTAGCCCAGATGCCCTGGATGAAAAGAGTCAGGGCGTTTGGAATTCCTGGGGGTGGGGGACTCCATCCTGGAGAGAACACAGAGGCCTGATGGAGGGCTCAGAGCGGCTATGTGGGTGCTAAACTTCATGTGCCAACTTGATTGCCTTGGGAGGCACCCATGGGGCGGGTGGGACATGCTTCGGAGGGAGTCTCAGCGGGTGGGCGGGTGCAGTCCTGGGTTCTGTGTCCCGCCCCGTGCTTGTCCCTCTCTGGTGCGTCCCTTGCACTGCTTCCCAGCTGCCATGGACCGAGGAGTTTGCTCCACTAGATCCTCCCACAGTGACATTTCTCCCTTGGAGCCGCTACCCATGGACTGAATCTCCTGGAACCGTGAGCCAAACTGATGTCGTCTGCCTTCAGATTGTGGCTTTGGGGTTTTAGGGCTCACTGACAGGACACATGACGCCTACGGACTGCCACATTCCTACATGGTCAGCTGGGTGTGTGTGTGTGTGTGTGTGTGTGTGTGTGTGTGTGTGTGTGAACTGCATCCAGATTAGCCCGTCGCCTGCCAGAAACTGAGATCTCGAGAAAGGGCCCATCTGGAGCTACTTGGGGCCTGCTGTGGGGACAGGAAACAGGAAAGGCTTCTCTGCAGTCTGAGAGGGCCAAGGCGCCTGGAGCTCCGGACACAATGTAAAAAACCCAAAAAACAAAAACAACAAAGTGAAAACAGTAATGGCAGGTCCAAGACACCAAACCAGGACATCGTGTGCTATAGGGCGCAGCGGGGCATGGCCAGCCAGAGGAGGACGTGGTGGGGCGGGGCCTCTAGAGACGGGGCCACACCCACAGCATGTGGCACACAAAGCTTCGGTGCTAGGCTTTGTCACCCCCCCAAAAAACATACTCAGGCTCATTTCTGCCTGTAAACGAAATGTGCTCCCCACAACCTCTGGGAGTCTGCTCCTAGTCCTCCAATGGGTGCTGTAGTCACTTGGCTTTATCTGATAAATGCAGACCTACCATAAAGTTTAACTGATAAATTAGCCCTAGTAAGAGCATGACAATTCTCCACAAACTAGCACGATCATAACAATGTCCTATAATAAAACTGATAGCAGCCCCACTCTTGGGCTTTGGAACGGTGACTGGTAAAATTAGGATCACCTGCCCGACCACAAGTCCTGCAAGGTTGCACATCGAGCTGGTAACTCAGACAGCAATGAGGTGACTGCCTTTGTCCACCTTCCTCTCCCTGGACAACATACCCAGCACCATCTACAGGGGGAGACGGTTGTCTGGGTTCACATTTCCATGCACAGTCATCACGGCAGAGGAGAAAAGCGGCTCTGTCATGCAGCCAAGCAGCAGCAAGAGAGGGCAGAGCCGGGAGGGGAGAGACACCCTTCCCGTCCCACCTCCCAGGGGCACAATCACAAACTCACACAAGGACGGAAGCACTGAGGGTACAGCGGCCCGTGATCCCATCACTTGCCAAGAGCCCCCACCTCTGGACTCACACGAGGCTCTCTGGGGACCCTCTAGCTCTAAACCATAAGGGTGCCATTGGATGGGTAGCATATACACTGTGGAAACACCTCCCAGGCAGGATGGAGCAGGATGGCCGAAGTTTCACCATGTACCAGAACACTGTGTGATTTAAAGCTCAGAAGCTGTTTCCTTCTGGACTTCCCCGTTTCCTCTTTTTAGATCACAGCTGATTTTGGGGGTAACTGAAAACACTATTCATGGGGGGTGTTGGCTGTACCTTGGAGTCTCGGATCACGTGGTATTTCAGGTACTCCTTCAGCTTCTCCTGGCTGTCTTTCTTGAACAGGAAATCCTGTTGCTCCTGGGAGAGGGCTTGCAGGGCGTGGTCCGTGGGCCAGAAGAGAGTGACCGGCACGTGGATGGGGTTGGTGATGAGGCTCAGCAGGCCCGAGTCCTGGAACACAGGCGCCCCGCGCTGCTGTGAGCTCTCGGTGCTCACAGCCCCTGTGGACACTCCTGGTGCTACCCTAGAGTGACTCAGCTGGACACTCGGGCCCACCGTGCTCCTACCGTTCTGACCCACATTCCCTTAGAAAGTGAATCAGAAAGTTAAATTCTAAGTTTCCGCTAACAGGAAACGAACACAGGCTTTAGTGACTGTCTTTTCTGATTCTGCTGTTGCCCTAATACTGGAAATTCTAAAAGACTTACTTTGTATTTTTCTCGTATTTTATTTTAGAAAGTAAAACCTGTACCATATTGAAATACGCTTTTCTACTTAGAAGATTTCCAGATCATTGATACCGGAAAAAAGAATTACAACATAAACAGGGAGGAATCTTTCTGAGCATCTTCTCCAGCCAGGGTGCACGGCGGACATTTTTTCCTTTAAATTTTTCCAGTAACCTTTTGGCTTACTGGGTTCCCTTTAGGAGCCTCAGGCAGGCTCGCCAGCTGCTCTGGAGGCCCGTGGTCAGCCTGGTGCTGGAGCACAGGTGTGGGGTGACCAGGAAGATTTAGGGGTCGAGGAAGGCAGGCGAAGGTTACTCGTCTGTGACCCCTTGGGGAGTTTTCAGCTGCAGCATCTGAAATCCCCCTCTCTGAGTCTGTACCAAGTTGGGGCTCGGACCCCTGGGGAGCCACGGGACTCATGCCACCATCCCTAGACTGTGAGACTGCAGGGCTCTGGGGGGCCTGTGGGGACTGCCCAGGCTGGGGGGACAGGCAGCCTCTCAGATGGTGTCCTGTGTAACTGTCTGAACAGGCAGGACCTCCACAATTCATGGGAACAGCCCCTGAGTCAGAAAGATAGTTTCTAACCCACTTCCTCCCGGCAGAGACCCCTCTTCTCCAGCTCTGCTTCCCCGTGTCTATAGCGGGGCTGATTCCAGATGTGGAGCCCCTGAGCCGGGGCCGGGGACCCCCTGCCTTATTTGCTCCCAGCCACAAGTCCGCCCACCTTTGGCCCGGCCACTCTTCCGTCTGCATCGCCACACACCGTGCAACGCCCTGACGACAGAGTGTCCAGGACCGATGACTCTTCCTCTGGAAGATGAGGGCCCCTGCCCTCGCCCCAGACCAGCAGCCCACCTAGATGGGCAGCCCAGACCAGCGAGCCGGAGACCTCACTAAGCACAACCGCCAGGCCCTCCAATGTTACCTGTAGCAGTTTGCTAAAGCGGCCGTAGCCGTGGGCTGCTGCCACCGTCGTAAGGTTTTGCTGTAAAGACAAGAAGGGTGATGAGCGGGGCGTGGCGGGGCACGCTGTCATCCCAGCGCGGGGAGGCTGAGGCAGGAGGCTTGCCCTGAGTTGGAGGTCTGCCCGGCTTCATAAGCAAGTTCAAGGCCAGCCTGGCCACAGAGTGAAGCCCGTTCTCAAAGACAGAAAATTAAAAAAAAGATAAAAAGCACGAAGAGACAGCTGTCCTCACAAGGACTCCGCGGGACACAGGGCAGTAACCTAACACGGGGCTGGAGCGGCACTCGTCAGGCCCGCGGGCTCTGCTGCTCGGCTTCCTGCGTGACAGACGCCGAGGGGCCATGCACCCCGTTGTAGTAATACTCCTCCCCTCCCCCCCTCTCCTGCCCCCCCTGCCTCCCCTCCCCTCCCCTCCCCTCTCCTGCCCTCCCCTCCCCCTCCCTTACCCCTCCCCTCCCCTCTCCTGCCCTCTCCTGCCCTCCCCTCCCCTCTCCTGCCCTCCCCTCCCCTCTCCTGCCCTCCCCTCCCCTCTCTTGCCCTCCTCTCTCCTCCCTCCTGTCCTCTCCCCTCCCCTGCCTCCCCTCCCCTCCCCTGCCTCCCCTCCCCTCCCCTCTCCTCTTCTGCCCTCCCCTCCCCTCTCCCCTCCCTCCCGTCCTCTCCCCTCCCCTACCTCCCCTCCCCTCCCCTCTCCTCTTCTGCCCTCCCCTCCCCTCTCCCCTCCCTCCCGTCCTCTCCCCTCTCCTGCCCTCCTCTCCCCTCCCCTCCCCTCCCCCCCTCTCCCCTCCCCTCTTCTGCCCTCCTCTCTCCTGCCCTCCCCTCTCCTCCCCTCCTCCTGTCTTCTTTTCCCAGCTCATAAATCTGTGCTGTGTGGACACCGAATCTCCTAGCTAACCCTGAGCATCAGCCTGATGGCCGGAGGGATGTGAGGACATCCGCTGAGCACTCTTGAGTGTGTGGGGTGTGGGGCAGTCACGGGGCACGACCCTGGGGCCAGTCTCTGCCCTCTTCCTCTGGGTCCTCCCCCGGCTTCCTGCTCCCCGTGCCACGCGTGGCGCTGCCCTGCCTCTCACACCCACTCAAGGGAGCCAGCACCACGGACTGGAACCTTTGGAACCATGAGCCGAGCAAAGCGCCGCGCCTCTGAGCTGGGCATCCAGGCACTCTGCCCCGGCCATGGCAAAGCTGACCCATCCACAAAAGAAACACAAAGTCCAGTTCTAATTGAGTCAAAGTCTCACAAAGTTGTGAGCTTTGTGGTCCCAGAAGTCTTGAACGCCTGGGCAGATGGGACCTTCCTGCCTCAGCCCCCAATAGCTAGACTCCAGATGCTCACCACGGTGCCCAGCTAGAATGCACACATCGACTTCACATGGATCTTTCCTCTGTTCACTTTTTCCTAATCATGGTTATGAGGCTTTTACGGATAATTTGAGATGGAGGCAGCGGAAGTGCCGTGTTTCAAAGCAGCGCCTCAGTTAGAGCTGAGATGGGGTACTCCGAGCCGTCCACCGGGCGGGCACACTCGTTACCTACCAGAACCCTTCCCGAGGCGTCCCGGGGGGTGACGAGCAGGTTCTGAGGCGACAGCAGTGTGTCTATAATGTGGACGACTCCGTTCCTGTTCATGATGTCGCTGGCTATGACCTTAGCCTTATTGTTGATTGACACTGCGTCCTGCGAGCAGCCGAGGTGGGCGCCAAGGAGAGAAAGAGACACGAAGTCACCCCCAAAAATGCTTCTCCAGGGCCGTCAGGGCCCAAAGCAGAAGACTGGGACACCTGAATACCTTTTCTTAAAAAAATTATGATTATACAAAGAAAACAGACAGGATTGTGACTTTTACCTGGAGAAGAGAAAATAATACCGAATCAACTAACATGGTCATTTTGGCATGACTGTGGAGTATGAAATAAGGCACAGAATCACCGTCTTAAAAAGTTAAAAATCACGGTCAGGAGCACACACTAAGTGTGTTCACACACTGGCTGTGACCTTGCGCAGTGTGGATCACGCCCGTCTGCCCTTCTGCCCTCTTCCGACTCTTGGTTTCCATGAATTAGCTAATTATACTGGGGCTGTTGGAGACGGCCTCACTGTAGCCCAGGCTGGCCTTGGACATCCTCACAGCATCCTCAGCCTCAGCCTCCTCAGGGCACCACCAAATCTGCTTCTTGGTTTCCTTTTAGCGTGTCCCCTGTGGTACCCACTCTGCCCACCTCTGGGTTTAAAGTCCAGCCCAGCTATTTTCTTGGTGTGTTACTGGACAGATCACGGCCGCCATTCTCGCAGTACTGCCCGCAGGAGGACACAGTGGGCCCCTCCCTCTGGTGGCTGCTCTTACCTGAGAGACCGAGATGACGATCTGCTCTCCCTGGAGGGATGTGACGTTTGGGGTCAGTTTCATGTTTTCCAGGAGCAGCTGCTGGCAGGCGACTATGTGGTACCGGAGGACCTGGGACATGAGGCCCAGCCTGTCCCAGTCTTTAATCTGCAAAGGGACAGAGGCAGGAGGCCCTCACCCAAGGCTTCTCTGGTCCTCTGCACTGTCCTCCTCCCCTGGAGATGGCGGGGTGGTGTCGGGGTGCAGAGAGAGAATCTCAGCGAGGAGGGGTGTTGGGACTCCCCGTACAGCGTGTCACAGCCCTGTGTGCGAGAACCCTGCGCTCCAGGACTTGCTGCTGGGAAGAGACTCCAGCCAGTACTGCCATCCCAGCACTCTGGGAAGCTGAGGCAGGACGATTACACGTGTGAGTATAGCCTGGGGAACTTGGTGAGACTGTGTCTCAACATAAAAATTAGGGAAGGAGGCTGGGCATGTGGTTCAGTGTGACGGCCCCGAGTTCAGTCTCCAATACAGAAAAAAGAAAAAGAAAAGAAAAGGGAAAAGGAAAAACAACCGAAAAAGGAAAAAAACATTTCTCTCCCTCAGCTTCAGGAAAGGTCAGGATGTTGGCAGGGGAGAAGCACACGCAGTATTGATCCTGAGGTCAGCGTAACTGACGCCACACAGCTGCCACTGCCCTCCCTGGGAATCCCCTGGGTGCTTTAAAAATGAATGCAGGTCAAACTGGCTTTAAAGTTGTCTTTGTGCCCTGCTTCACGCACAGACAGGCATGGACATGGAGGAGAAGGCTAACTTGAGGTTGGTTTTAAGGCTAATCTGAGTCCTTGCTGGGGCCGGCAGAGCTCGGAGCGGGAGCCCTTGTGGACTGGCAGCAGACACTGGGTTCATCCAGCACCAGGAGGAAGGAAATGCTTTTCCGTGGCCTGTCGTTTGAGGGGATGCGTGAGGGTCAGCTGGGTTAATGTAGGCCAGGTCCTCAGAGCTGCCCGGCAGGCTGAGCAAGTGTGAGCTGTCCTGTGAGCTGCCATCCCTCTGGGGGCGACCTCAAAGAGGAGCCACCTGAACACTGGAGTGGTAAAGACCCTGACAAATCCTGCAAGACGAGAAACTTGAGATCCCTTTAGTCCAGTGTTCCTACCCACAAATCCACCTGGGCATCGCCTGCACAGCAGTCCCCATGCTGAGAGACACCACGTCTACTGCAAAGTCCTGTCTGGAAATGTCACCATTGTTGACCGCATGCAGGGTCCCCAAACTGTGTCCTGGTCCCCAGCCTCCCCCACCTGCCCTGTCTGGAGCTCACCCGGGGCTCCCGATCGAAGGCTGCAGACAAGGGTGCAAACACGGTGAAGGGGCCCTCCCCGACCAGGTCTCGGATCTTGTGCTCCTACAGGCGGGCAGAAGAGAGGGGTGCACAGTCACTGAGCCATGCAGGGGCTGAGCAAGTCCCCGAGACACTGGAGGACCCCCAGAGAAAACAGCAGGGAGACCTGTGTTTCAGCCTTGGATTCTAATTAAATCCAGGTTCTCTGCCATCAAGAATCACGCTTGTTTTTTTTTTTTTTCTTCTAATTATAAAACCAACACAGAGCTGGGCATGGTGGGGTATGTTTGTAATCTCACCATTTGAAAGGCCGGGGCAGGAGGATTGCCAAGGGTGGGTGGTCAGCTGGGGCAACCTGGTGAATCCTCCTCCCTCCCCCCAAATCAGCACGTGCTGCTTGAATGACTGACTGTGAAAACACCCCGCAGGGAAGAAAGCAGCGTCTGCCGCGGCCACTGCACCCCCAGAAGCAACTCCTGTCTTCCAGGTTTTATTTCCCAGTGTCTCTTCTGTACACCAGTGCTCCATATAATCAGGGGAGCTGTGCACACACGCATGCGCGCGCACACACACACACAATTGCTTTCCTGTTGACTGTCTTCTGGCAACCCTGAGGTCACACCCTCCCTACGGCTACATTTCCTCTGGTGGTTCAGCGATTTGGCTCTTCCTGGCTGTGTGTGTCTTTCTCCAGCACATCTGGGGTCTGTTCAGGTGGAGGATGATGAGACTTTCCTGTTCTCACTGCTTGTCCTGGGCATGTTTCTTTCCTCTCCTGATCAGGTGGGAATCTTTTCGCCTGCAGTCAGGGCCCCACGGCCAGGGACGCATCCTGAGCAATCCATTTTGGGGTGATTTGGACACTGTGGGAGCCCAGAACCCCTCGCTGCGTGGTGCGGCTGGGGACTCGCACTGGGGACCTGCACGGCCGCTGTCATGCTGGCCGAGCAGGCTGTGTGGCACAGCACCGAGGGGACGCGAGACCTGGGCTAAAGAGCGGAGGGCAGCGCAGCCGTGGACCGCGGCCGTCACTGACCGCTGTGTGTCCGCGCGGGCAGCACTTGTTTGGCTGAGTCTCTTCTTCCTTCAACAATAAACTCAACTTCTGTGTTTTTTTTACTTTACACACTTTTAGCTTTTTGATTCTCCTATAATGACAGCCTAAAACACAGTGTGCTGTGCAGCTGTAGAAGTATCTTTATCCTTTATCTTATTCTATAAACTTTTTCTACTTTTTTTAGTCTTACATTTTTTGTTAAAAGTGAAGACGTGAGCAGACGATCGCCCAGGTATGCACCTTACAGAGGTGAGTACAGCACTGGCCTGAGGTCACCGAGGGAGGGCGTGATGTCACCAGGTACGACATCACCACTGCACAAGAGGGCACTGCCACAACACCCCATGACGTCATCACAGGGTCATCATGATCATGACATCACTCCCCTCCCTCCTGCACCAGCCCTGGTGCTCAGCCGTGCCTGTCTGAGACCCGACTCTTACAAGTCTGCAAACCCGGGCCTGCTGCATGCTAGGCCCACCCGTCACGGAGCTGCCCACTGGCCGAGCCCACACTTCTGGCGGACAGACACACGGCTCTTACCTGCAGCTGGAAGAAATACTGGGATGTTTGGGGATCTTTGGGGAGCTCCTGCAGACAAAAACAGGGTAGTTTTGCTTCAGGCCATGGGCTGCAGGTGCATCTAGGAACAGCGCTGCTGCAAAGGGTGAGCTCTCTAAGGCTGCGGGATGTGCCACCCCCGCTAGGACCGCAAGGTCCGCTTTCGCAGGAGCCCTGGTCCAGTCTTGCAGTGGAGCTCCGAGGACAGTGGGAACACAGTGGATTCATCAAAGAGGGCCAGCTACTTCCAAAGCCCTGAGCTCTAAGGGCACTTTAAACCTGCACTCAGACGTTTTAAAAACACTTCGGATACAGCTGACACCCTCCAAGAAACGGGTGATGGGCTCAGGGCAGCTTTGGCTTCTCCAACAGAAAGGATGCTGGATCAGTTAGAATTCCCCTCTCATTTTCCATGCCCTACACAGGTGTGCATGGCCGGGCACACTTCTGGCACACACACACACACACACACACTCACACTTGGGTGGCGTGCTGTGTGTCTTAAACACATCCCATCTAATCCTTTTAACAACTGGCCAGTGTTATTATTCTTCCTCAGAGACTGAAACACCTGGAGAGGATCGCAATGGTACCCCCTGGTGGGGCTAAATTCAACCTAGCTGTTCCCGACTGCAGAACTATTGGTTGAGTATTATTAATTTTTTTGAGGCAGGCTCACCTTAAACTCACAGCAACCCTCCTGCCTCAGTCTCCTGAGTGCTGGATGGCAGGGATGGGCCACGGCGCCTAGCTTATGGTCCACCTTAACCATCACATACTCTTTCCCAGGTCCAGCGATTTCTCTCAGGCAGGGGACATTTCCTTCTTGCCACCCTTTACAAACACAGCTGCCCCCACTTTTGTGCAGCCTTGTATCCCATGAAGCTCCGGCGTGGCCCTCAGAGCTCCGGCGCCAAGCGGTCCGTGTGTTACCTCGTAGATGTGGCCCCGGCAGGTGAACCCGTTCCCAACGTAGTTCTGCTTGCAGGTACAAGTCCTCTTGCCTGTCTTCGTGTCACTGCAGACGGCGTTCGAGTGGCAGCCTCCGTTTCCCTGGTAAAATTGCAAGAGGCGGGAGATGGGGTCAGCTCTGTCGTGCAGCTCCCTTGCGAAGGTTATTTTTGGAGGGCTGGGGTGCAGCTCAGGGGCAGGGGGAGCCCTTGTTTTGCATGTGTGAGGCCCTGGGCTCAATCCCCAGCACCACCAAAACCAAAAACAAAAATGAAGCACCCCAAAACAACAAAAAGAAACAGTCCAAGTACGACAGCTGGTATCACTTGCTCTTCCCCCAAAGTGGACGTTTAATTCCTTCTCCATGTCATGGCTGCTTCCCCCCCAGACTGAGCCCAGCGGATCTCCAGGCCTCTCTAGAAAACCCAAGTTAGAAGTCTCCAAACCGGAAGCTTCTTACCCTCAGGTGTCCAGGGCGCATGGCCACCCCGGTGAGCGCTCCCGGCCTCTCCCACACTCAACGTCTGAGGGGCGGCGTCCCTCCTGCCCCCCAGGTCCTGTGTGGGAATCCTGACCCAAAGGTGACAGGTGACGGTGTAAGGAAGGAGCAGGGCTTGGTTCTATCATGACAGATCAGTGTCTTTATAAACAGAACGTGTGGGAAGCTCAGCTGTCTCGTCTGCCAAGTGAGGACACACACATGTGCACACATACACACACACTCCCTTGAATACACCATATGTGGACCAGCACGCAGCTTCTCACTGGACACAGAATTTGCCAGTGCCTCGGGGTCGGACTGCCCACCTTCAGAGCCAATTTCTCTGTGGCGCACAAGCCACCCCATTTGTAGCATGCTGTCACCGTAACCTGAAATGACTTCTCCCTCATGAATGTTCTTATTACCCACTGTTTTTATTAAACAAATGCGTTTATGGATATACTTAGTGTCACAGATTAAGAACTGGTGTCAGTTTAACACCAGCGGAATTAAATTAGCCTGCTGCTGCGTGTAGATGCTCCATGAGGAAAGTTGCCAACGTGGAGACGTGGAGATGGAGAAAGGGAGGCGTTGTGGGGTTTTCTACGTGCTGCTGTTTGAGCCGTTGGTTCTCCTGGAAAAGCTCCGGTCCTCACACGGAGCATTGCTTCCTGGCTCCAGAGAGGAAGATGTGTGCTGCTTGGTCTCCAGGATGAACTCCAACATGAGCATCCTGGCTTCCTGGCAGGTATCTGGCTGTGCTTGTCATTGGAGGAGCTTAGGGCCTCCATATTGCTGTGATGCTTTTCAGGACAGCACTGGTCTTTGTTGTAAGTGTGACTCCTTTGATCCAGAACCCTCATCCCACCAGCACAGCTCCTTCACCCCACTGGCATGGACTTTCTGGCTTCCACTGATGACCTTTGGGCCTTCTCAGTATGGATCCGTAAAAGAGACTGATGTGAGTCCTTCTCGTGGGCTCTGGACCTCCAATTGGACTCGTGGGAGGCATTGTCCTGAGCTCTGGGTCTTCTTCTGGACTCATGCAGGACATTGCTGTGGGATCCAGGCCCTTGCATGAATATTCTGTGTCTTTGGTGTTGTGGACAGATTTCCTGCACTTTGTGTTAACTCTGTGTGACCACCATAAATAATATTTTAAATTTCATGTCCTGATTCTAATTGTTCTCACAACCCCTGACTACAACACTTAGTATTTGCTTCTTTTTCCCAAATGTGAATTCTTTAAGGACAGAGACACGGCCATGGGTCACCAATGATTCCTGGGGCACAGGTCAGTGCCTGGTACATGGTGTGTTACCAGCGCATGAGGGTTCCACTGGATCCACAGGGACAAGTATGGTCCCGATCCTCAGAGAGCTGGCACCCTGTCTGGAATAGTCAGCCACGGTCATCACCAAGTTCATTCATGGAGATGTGGCTGAGAGAGCAGATGGCCGTGGTTGAGCCAGCGTGAGAGCTGGGAGGTGTCTCCGTCCAAGGGCTGGCGGGAGGGCACGGGTGTTCTGACCCTATTTATAATAGCAGAAGCTAGTATTTCCCACAGACCAGAAGACAGTGCCGTGTGAACATCAGCTCCATGAGGCCCCAGAGTAATCTCTGAGTAAAGTGTTAGCTTGATTTACAGAAGAGGAAACTGAGGCACGGATGATCAAGATGTTGAACAAAGTGAGCAGAATCAGGATTCCAACCCAGGCCCCACGCTCAGCCTTGGTGAGGCCCTTTGGGAGGATCCAGCAGGGAGGCGGGAGGCTGTGGTCACACCCCGTGCTGTCTCTGCTGCCTGGCTAAGGGACCGCATGCGGGGCAGGTACAGCTGTGAGGTTCGAGCTACAGCTTGAAGAGCCTCTGAGGTGTAGAGGGGGGGCTCCCCAGGAAAGGACCAGATGGCCCCTCGCTGGCTCCTGCTGTCAGCCCCTGTTGGCCTTTCTGCCAGGCAGTGCCACTGGGCAGCAGAAGACATGGCAGGAAGGGTAAACGCTGGCCTCTTAAACTCCTTCTTGACCTTCCCGGCCCCTGGACTATGAATCATGTTCCTTCTGGTGGCCCAGCGAGGTGTCCTGTTTGAGCAGCGCACAAGACCTGAGACAGGCTGCACAGAGACCAGCTCGGGGAGGGGACTGTCACACGGTCTTTGGTACAGAGACCTGGGCAGACACTGGTGGCCCTTGAGCCAGACGCAGCTCTGTGTTTCATTTAACTTAGTCTTTTAAAATTAATCATCTTCTATTAATCATCTAAAATGTAGAGATGCACATAAAAATTTATTTCTCTCTGTGAGGCTGGAACCACAGCCAGCTCCGGGGTGGCACTGCTCACGGCACGAGGGAGCTGGAGCCGTGCAGACAGAGCCACCCCTGGGTGGTAGATGGTGCAAGGGGGGGCCTTGCATTCAGACTCAAGATTAACGCCCCTGCCTGGCCCCCAGGGCGTGACAGCCCCGAAACCGTGGTACAGAAGGAATTCCTGAGCACGGTGCTGCTGAGCGGTGGGAAGAGCCTTCTCCTGGGAGTCTTTGGGCGAACACCGGGCAAGCTTCGAAAAATGCCAGTGGAAGACCTCCTGTGGCAGTGATGACTGATGCTGGACAAGGATCCCCGCTCCTGCCAGCTTGGAAGGGTGAACTGTGACCCGGGGAGGCACACAGTCTGGGGCCTGAGCCGCACTGTCTGGAAATGTGAGCTCATTTAGAAAACGAGCCTTGGGTGAAATTCAGGAATTTGAGTCACCCTAGATGAACTAGAAGGCCCAAACCCAGAGGGCGCTGTGTAAGATGAGGAGACCCAGACACAGCGGAGGGCAAGAGAGGGTGGAGGCAGGGCTGGAGGGATGCATTGGGGCGGGAAGGCCCAGGCAAGGACACTGCCCTGGAGCCCTGCCGGGGCCGTCCTCGTGGACACCTCCAATCTGGATTCTGGGCTTTCCGAATCGTGAGAAAAGACATTTCTACACCCAGTGTTAAATGCTCATGGGTTCTGAGACGGGGGTTTGGAAAGTGCTTGGTTCACGCAGGCACTGTTTTTATCAGTGAGATTTTCTACAGATGATTTTAGAGTTGAATGTGCTGTCAGGAGGAAGTGGTCACCGAAAAATCTCTCTCTCTCTCTCTCCCCTCCCCTCCCTCTCTCCTTCCTTTCCTCTCTGTTTCCTGGCTGCCACAGGTTAGGCAGCTCTCCTCCACTCAGCCCTTTCCCAAGCCATTTCTCCCTTGGAACAAGGCCACCATGGACCGAACTCTCTGGAACCAAGAGCCAAAATAACCCTCTTTCTTAAAGCTGTGGTGGGAGGCATTTTGTCCCGGCAATGGGAAAGGCTAATGCTGTGCTGTCCATTCTGTGACTTGTGTCCACCGTGACAGTACCACACAGGGCAGCCAGTGCCCTGTAAGTCTGCTGTGTTCTGTCTGTTCGTCCCTCCTGACCCCAACTCTGGGCAGCACATATGCAACATTTCACATTTTGTAATGTGTTTGGCTTCCTCCCCATTAGAACACAGAGAACAAAGCAAAACCCTAATTAACACTAATTAACATCAGTCTTCGATCAACCGATCACCACAGCCAGGGAACCAGAGTTTGGACTGTGCATGTGTTCAGCTTGCTTAGCTGACTCTTGAGGGCTACTTAGCAGGGTTACCCTTGGGAAACCAGGAATCCTGCTGACTTTGGATTTGCACTGGCACCGGGGTGAATCCCTGACCAGCTTGACCCAGGCCCGGAGGCCGTGTTGGAGGCCTACTCACAATCAGGCAGAGGCTGATGCGCGTGCAGACCTTCCCATTGCCGGAGTAGTTGGGCAAACAGTTGCAGACGGCCTGTCGGGGAGCAGAAGTGAAGGGGTCAGTTCATGGATAGGGCGGTGCTGGCCATGACCACTGCCCCCTGGGCCCCATGGTGATTCGCAACACCAGGATGGACAATGGGCATCTGATCTTGCAGCACACTGAGTGCCCTGCACCTCAGGACCATCTTTCCCTTGCTACCCAGATGATTCTCTGATTTTCTGGGTCCCTGGCCTCCAGGGTCTCACCTGTTTCCCCTTTGATGGCCCAGAACTCAGGGCTGAGCCCAACTTCTGGCGCTTTGGGGTCTGCTCCAGTGATTCGAGCATGTCACAGCCTGAGTCCCAAACCATTAACCTAACCAAAGGGGGACAGCTCACCTGATTCGGTCCTGTGTGTGTGCACTCCGCGTTCCGGTCACAGCCACCATTGTTCTCCAAACACGGGTTGATTTCTGCAGAACAAAAGCCAGCACCTGTCCTGAGCACCCAGCTGCCTGCCCAGGCAGAAGTGTGCTGAGGGCGGCTGGGTGCCCGCGAGCCGCAGGGTTCATGTGTGAATCAGTTTCTGGCACCTCAGGGCAGTGGAGAGGAACCCAGCTCCTGTGGGATGGGCTGACCCAGGCAGAGCTGCGGTCCGCAGGCTGAGATCTGTCCCTGTGCACAGTGAACGCGAGCGTGGGCATACAGGGCCTGAACTTTGGGTGGGGGGTCCTCAGAGTTCAGTGCACAGGGCCACGGATGAAAGTAATGGGACCTAGACGGGTCCAAGAGGAAAATCCCCGAGAGATGCAGGAGGAGGGCGTTTTGATCAGGAGTGTTTTGATTCCATGGTGTCTCATCTTCGCCTGCTTATTAGTAGCAAAGGGGAAAAAGAACAGCACAGAGAGAGAGGTGGGAATTCACATCCCACACGGGAGGTGGATGGCAAGCTCGGCATCTGGTGTGGGCGCCTGGGAAGGACACAGCGTCACCCGGGTGACATCTGCGCTGGCCATGTACAAAGGGAACCTAATCACGGAAGAGTCTCCAAACCCTCCCCAGGAAAGGGTGCACCGTCAGAGCAAGGAGCTTGGCACGGTGGACTCTGCTCTTCCCAAATGTCAGTGTCACGAGGGACCAGGCGAGGCTGAGGAACACCCTGGATCAGAGGGGATCAAGGGGAGAGAGCAGCTAAATGCAGCAGCCGACCCCAGACGGCCCTGCACTGGAGAGAAAAGTGTCCCAAAGGGTATTACATGGTGCACGCCTGTAATCCCAGCACTTGGGAGGCTGAGGCAGGAGGATTATTCTGCAGGTTCGAGACCAGCCTGGGCTACAAAGTGAGCTCAAGGCCAGCCTGAACTGCATAGTGAGACCCTGTCTCAAAAAGACCAACCAACAAAAAATAAAAAAAACCAACAAAAAACAAAACAAAACAAAAACAAAAACCACAAAAAAACCCCAACACCCCCTCAAAAACGAAACAAAAATCCCCCATATTACAGGTGCAACCGACAAAATCAGAACACAAATGGACGTCAGACAAAAGTATTGTCTCAGTGGGAAATTCCCTGACGTTGGTAACAGCACTGTGGCAAGGCCAGGGCTGCTGCTGCTGTCCGGAGACACCACCCCCGGTTATCCGGGGTAAGTGGGGTACACTGTCGTTGCATTTCTCTCAGACAGTTAACAAAACGTGAACAGCAGCGGAGAAGGTGACAGAGCCAGCCGGGTAGAAGACTAACAGGAGAGCACAGAGAAAGGGGCAGCGGTCTCAGTTACTCCCGTAACTGCTCTTCAGAACAAGATTCCCCAACGAGAAGGTTAAGATCCGGACGCCTTAGGATGGCACAGCTCCACAGCAGAGCGTCAGGCGGTACTGAAGTAGGACGCAGCAGTAGCAGCCTTAATTTTTCAGGGAAAGCGGTCCTGTCCTATTGCTAGGCACAGTGCGCACTGTGCACCAGGAGACCGGGTTTTCATTTAAAAAACACATCGGGGAGGACACAGAGCCGCCTTCCTGTGAGCCAGCGGGGTGGGGCTGGGCACCAGCAGAGGACCCCCCCTCCACCCCGGCAAGCACCTGGCTGACTCGGAGGACTCAGGGTGAGACGTGGCAACTGAGGAGCAGGAAGAGCTCCAGCTGGCGCTGTGTGGGTGACTGCAGGCTGGGCATCTCCGCAGACGCCGGCGGAGCGCACTGAGCAGCCGTGGGGATTCCCTCCCGCCTTGCTTTTGAAATCCAGTGTTTTGTTCCATTTTACTGTTTTGCTTTACCCCTGTGGCTGGTAACCCGAGCGACTATTCTGAAGATGACAGTGTGCAGCATCATAAACACTGTTACATTCCTGTCATCTTGTTTTGAAAACCTAAAAGCAAAACAACCCCCGCCCCCCACAAAATCCCTAGGTACCTAGCAACATGAGAGCATATAAAAAGTTACCCCTCGGACTTTTTACCCAGCGCAACATAACTTCTGTGGTTTTTCTGGAACAAGAACGTGCTAAGTGGACAAAACAACCCCACACTAAAGAAAGATTAACAATGCAGCCACCATCAAATTTTTAACTGGAAAAGTCTCCCCATCTCTCCTTCCAAAGAGAGTTTCGGGGGTTGCACACCCTCCTGTGGGCTCATCGCCTCCACGCCCTCACACTTCCCCGCCAAGACGTGGGGAGCCGTGCCAGCCGCTGACGCCCAGGGCTCCCCCCCCCCCCCGGGCAGGTGAGGGACAGTCCCCTACCGAGACACACGATGCCGTCGCCTGTGTAGTCCGCTTTGCACTCGCACACCCGGCTTCCTGGGGTGGTCCTTTTGCAGTAAGCCTCGGGGGCACATCCTCCGTTTCTGGTCTCACAGGGGTTGATGGCTAAGACGGGAGGGAAGAACAGAAACACAAGAATGCTTCCTTGAGTCTCTGAGAACTCGAAGGTTCTTCAAAACCGCCCTGGCAGGCACTGGGTGAACAGGGCGGATTCCTCAGAACAGAGAACAAGCAAACACTGCAGCTGTTTGCCCTTCCTGGCTGTTTATACTGAACGTGCTATACACTTCCTACTCAGAGACAACTGGCACCAGGGCAGGGCACCAGGGCCAGGGCACCTGTCATCCTGGGAGAATCCCCGGGGTGAGACAGGGCGAGAACGGTCACCAGTCTGCACCAAAGCCTGCCACACACAGGAAAAGTAATGCAAAGAGCTTGTGTTTTTCCAGCACTGTGTCAAGAGCTCAGACAGGCTAGCACTCTACAGTGTTCACCGGGTTGTACCCACAAACCCAGTGAGGGGCCACTCTGTGATCCCCGCCTTGCGGATGAAAACAATGATGCAGAGGGCACGAAGCCCCTTTCCTGCGGCTGTGTGAGTTACAAGAACTCAGGCTCCAGCCGGGGGGTCTAACGAGGAGGCTGAGGTTTCACAGCATCACAGTTCACAGCTCAGCCTGCAGACGTGGGGAGGCCACTGAGCCTCAGCGAAGGCAAGGAAGACAATTCTGTCCACTTTGCAGATGAGCCAGGGGGCTCCGAGCACTTAGGAGACCACTAGGGCTAGGCCACAGCTCAGCAGGAGGAAGGCCCAGGGCTTGAACCCTTTTCTGAACTGGTCACAGGCATGAGCAATGCGGCCCTCAGCCTCGCCTTGGGAGGGCAGTGCCCGGGCCTGGCCTTGGCCAGGGACCTCCTGGCTGTTGGAGCTGCCGGGCGATTTCCGCTTGGCCCACAGTGTGTCGGAGGCAGGCGCAGTCGCCCACTCAGTCCTACTCCAGCACCGCTCGGGCACCATCAGCTGCCCAGCTATGGCGGTGCCAGGGCCGACACTGTTCAGTCCCACCATACAGATACCGCCGGCCCCTTCGGGCTCCCCCACTTGCCTTTGCAGACCGTCCCGTTCCCTTGGAATCCGGCTGCACAGCTGCAGGAGGCATTGCCATCTGGGCTGAGAAGGCAGCTGCCAGGCAAGGGGGCAAACGGTGAGGGCAGAAGACACCCAACCCCGATTCCGACTCGAGGGACCCCTCCGTTCCCAGCACCCAGGACCTGCCTCTTCCTGGTGCCACCCCGCTGAGGACAACCCGACCTGCAGTGGGACAACCCACCAGGCAGACGGCAGTGTCTGCGCGTGGGCATCAGCCCCAGGCAGGAAACAGCCACCGGCCGTCACAGAGACAGCAGGTGGGCTTCACACTGACACCTGTCACTGGGCACTGCCCCACAGCCCAGCAGGCTGGGATTATTGTTATTTGGTCTTTTTGAGACTCCCTGTACAGTTCAGGCTGGCCTTGAGCTCACTTTGTAGCCCAGGCTGGTCTTAAATACTCAACAATCCTCCTGCCTCAGCCTCCCGAGTGCTGGGGTGACAGGCGTGAGCCCCCACGCCTGACTGCGAGATTGGGATTATTATTTTTATTCCCCTTTGCAGATGACGCAAGGCACGCTGAGACTTGGGGGCAGTAACATATTCAAGGTCATAATCAGTGGAGGGCACAGAGGTGACCTGGAGCCCGGGTTTGAGTCCAGCAACTGGGCCCTTCATGGGCTGCTTGGGCTCCTGCCGGAGCGGAGCCTGGGTGGGGTTAGGCGTGTGGAGCCGGGAAGGCGCTGGCCGTGCTTCCTGAGCAAGGGGAAACCAGTGCCTCAGATCTCCGTGGCTCTGTGTGTCCTGTGTGGCAGACTGGGGGTGACAATCGGCAGTTCTGTCAGTGCCAGGTAAGGCGATGGTGGCCTGATGAAAAGTGCCTCCGGCATGTGGACAGGGGCTCCTTGGAGACATTTTATACCCTGGGTCCTCGGGGGGAGACTGCTGGGCCCGAACCCCCTTAGCATTGCCCCTGAAGGTGACCAGAAGGCACCTACTTGGCGCTGGTGTGGCAGGTCCCGTTGCAGTGGTCTTCTGTGATGGCTGGAAAAGAGAATCGGGTGCAAGGTCAGCTCGCACTCGAGAAGCTGCTTTTAGTCCTTGGCTGGAGGGAAGGAATGCGTCCTTAAGAGTAGCCGCGGCATCCTGAGCGCTGTGTAAATCTACAGCTGGGTGAGGCTCTTTTCACACCCACTGCCGGGGAGCTCAGAGCCAAGTAGAAAGGTCAAACACTCAGGGAAGACTTCATTTTCTACTGTTAGTTACATTTCCCGCTCTGGTTTCCCTTGGCTCCTCCACCAACTCCCCGCTCTGTCACCTGGAGCTTCGGGTGGCCACGCCCCTCTGACAAGCCACACCCCTGGGGCCCTCGCGGGGCAGCAGCGGGCACCTGGGGGCTCCTTCCCGGTCCCTGGTGCAGAGGAAGGGACCCCTCTGATGCCCACGTCCATGGTGCTCTCGCCAACCTGGTGTCTGACGATTCCTCACTTGCTCACAGCTAAGGTCACAGCGCTTTCCTGTTCCACCCTGCAGGGCTCCCTGCCTCTGAGCAGATGGGCCCCTCTTCTGCTCCTGCACCCTGGCTCTGCACGGTTCTGTCCTAGCATGGGGCACGGTGGCCCGCACACCCCACCCCAGCTCTGCACCCTTCCATCCCGGCACGGGGCACGGCGGCTTCCCCACACCTCAGTGCTGCTCTGTGCACTGGAGAGGCTCCTTCCCCTCCTGCCCTGCACTTGCAGCGCAGAGATGGAGACACAGAGAGACCAGAGGACAGGGGCCTTCTAAGACCTCAGAGAGGAGGAACAGGCGGGCACCCTGGCCACAAGCAGGACACCTTCCCCCCGCCCTGAGCACCAGCTCCTGCCTCAGAAGCCCGGCTCTGAGCCAAGTGAGTCAATGACACGACCATGGAAAGGTGCAGAGTCCGCTCACTGTGGCACTGCTTACGACAGGACACGTTTTCGAAGCTGCAGCGGGGCTGGGGGCAAGCTTGGTGGCAGCTACCTGTCCAGCAGGTGCAAAGCCCTGGGCTTTATCCCCAGCACCACAAAACCATTAACATGAATGACATCTGTCTCCTCACAGGGTAAAATGTCCCTTGTCTACTGTGACGTGTGAGACCGGGTTACGGAACCCTGCACACCTACCGCCAGGCTGGAGGCGGGTACAGCTGCAGGCAGAGTGCTTTCCTGTCTGGGCGGGATGAGGGATTAGTTTCTTCCTTTTACCTTTCTTTAGTTTAAAAGCTACTTGCTGCAAGAAGGAATTAACCTCTTTTGTCAGAAAAAGCAATAAAGATGCCATTTGTGTTTAGAGAGAAAATAACACAGCTGCAGAGAAGCGGGCCGGGAACGGCCGGGACACAAAGGCTGGAGCTTACCGCTGTCACAGCTCACGCCCCGCCAGCCCACATCACAGTCACAGGAGCCGTCCCCTGAGGGTCCCTGGTTGCATCTCCCATGGACACAAGTACATGCTGTGTGGAAAAATGCCCACAAATGGTCAGACTCTGGCCCAGCTCATCTCTCATTTGCTGGGTGCAATTCTTTTTCTTCTTCTTCTTTTGTGTTTTTGAGACAGGGTCCCACTATGCAGTTCAGGTTGGCCTTGGGCTCACTTTGTTGCCCAGGTTGTTGCAAAAATCCTCCTGCCTCAGCCTCCTGAGTTCTGGGATTACAAGAGTGCACCACCATGCCCAGCTCCGTGTAATCCTTTGCACTTCGTTCTCCTACCTGGTTCTGGGGGTATTTGTCCCTCATGGGCAAGGGGAGTCAAATGGGGCACAGGCTAGGACACCAGGTGACAGGGGAACCTGGCTATGTGTCCGCAGCGCCTCCCACAGCCTGGTTCTGGAACTGCGTGGCTCTCCTATCCCCTAACCCTTGGGGATAGGACCATGCTACAAGCCCTGTGGGTATCCGGCTTATGTCAACCTAGTTCACTGCCTTCTTCGGCAGTGTGGACATGTTGATGCCTGTATTTCACGGTAAGCTCACAAACCTCTTTGAGAAGTGGGTAAGAGCTATGGCAACTTCCTTTCCCCAGAATGTGTTCAAATCTGGGGATTTTAGGTGAGGAACTCTTGCACACAGGCAAGTGTATATTTCTTCCCAATGCATGGGGGAAAGGCCGCACTCACAGCAGTGGTATGTTATGTCATACATTCCCGCTCTAACGTGGCACTGCACAGAATTTTGTCTGAGTTACACCGGCTGATGAGAAACAGTGGTCCTACACTGATGGGCTTCGGCAGAGGATGAAGAGCGATTCGTTTCTAATCCAGGGCCAGGAAGCTTCTCCCGCCCCTCACAGATGCCCCCTCGAATTCCCGGGCTCAGCGAGTCCAGTGCAAAGAGAGCAGCTGCCTTGGCTCAGCACTGCTTTGCAAGAACAGGGCCGACGGCCGGGGGTGGCGCGTGGGCAGAGTGGCCTGTCCTGCAGTGACCGAGGACAGCTCGAGGTGTCAAAATCTTAGTTCTGCTTCTCATCAGCAGCTTCTGGCTTTCCAGCCCTGGCGGTGAACACAGAGCCTTCACACTGAGCCAAGTCTCCACTTGCTGAGTTTTTTAGTTTGAGATAGGATCTTGCCAACTCGTTACACTGCCCAGGCTGGGCCTGAACCTGTAATCGTCCTGCCTCAGCCTCCCAAGTGCTGGCACTACCGGTGTGCACCACCGTACCCAGCTGTCTCGAAATTATAAATAAAACCCTAGCACCAACAGTTCCGGTGGGATACGGCTCGGGGCAGAGGTGGGAGAGGACAGGGTCCCACGGGTGCGCACCTTGGTCACAGTGGATACCGTACTTGCCGTCCACGCAGGTCTCGCAGGCCGTGCCTTGGAAGCCAGGGTCACACGCACACATGCCCGTGCCATTCACACCATCCATGCAGATGCCGTTCCCGAAGCATGTGCTCCCAAGCTGCCCGGGGCAGGCCTGGCACTGCGGCCCGAAGAAGCCAGCACAGCACGAGCGCGTCTGCAAGGGAGGGGCAGGCTGCAGCGCGGGCACGGCCGCTGGACCCAGGCTGGCTTCGGGGTCTGCCCAGGGCAGGGGCGGTGGGCTGAGTCCTGGGCTGGGGAGGGTTGGCAGCTCCTGGCACTGGGAGGATGGAGGCCTCCACCAGGAAGTCTGGGAAGAGGACGGGCCAGGGAGGAGAGGAGGACTCCAAAGAAGGGCAGCATGGCAACTGGAGGACAAAAGCAGGGTGCTGGGAAGGGGGGCTCCCTCCCTCTCCAACCTGTGCTTCAACTTCTCTAGACCATGTCACCCCAAACCTGGGCCCCGTCACCCCCAGGCTGGGCCCCGTCCCCCTGACACACAGGCTCTGTTACCCCCAGATGGGCCCCTGTGCTTTGAACACTGTCCACTACTGAAGGCCGCTGCAGGCTAGGCCCTGGGATGAGGGATTCTGGGGTTCAGGAGACCCTGTGAGGTGTCCACTGGGTTCCTCTGTCCCAGTTCTTGGCTGCCTTAAGACAAAATCTGCTGCCACCCCTCGCTCTGCACCCCGCAGCCTGGACCCCCGCCTCTGCCCTTGCTGAAACAGGCCTGGGAGTGTCCCATCCCCTGGAAAAGAAGCAATACCACAAGTCCCAGAGAATCTTCCCACAGCTCCCACAGTGGCCCGCAGAGGTCCTTGGCGCTGGGGTGCTGTCCGCTAAAGGAGCAGCTGGGCCCCGACCTCTCTCAGGGAGCCGCTGGCCCATGTCCTGCCTCCCTCCTGCCCGTTCACACACTGCCTGCCTTCCCTCATCACCGACGGGCAGGACGTGGCCCCTTTACTCCAGCTCCATCTGGGGGCCGTTCCTGAGTGTGGTCCCCGCCACTGCCGCTGCCGCTGCTTTGCATGACGGTGGGGATGGCAATGGCCAGGAGGCGACCCGATCTGAGAAGCGGGTCTGTGCCAGGATTCCTGGGGTGGCCCTGGTGACCACGAGGGTGGCCAGGGCACTGTACTCACGATGACAGTTCTGGTGCAGGTCGGCCGGCATCCGATGAACACGGAGCGCTTTCCCATGAAGTAGAAGCTGGAGACGCATGGGCTCCTCTTCTCCTGCGGATCGGGAGCAGTGCGCCTGGCTTTTAATCAGGAAGGACATTTCCGGTTTCCTGAAGTCAGCGAGGGACACCTCGCTGTGGGGTTTGCGTGCCTGTGGCTGCTGGGGTAGCTTTTGCCAGCAGAAAAAGCCCAAATCCGGCGTTGGCAGGAATGCCAGGGAGAAAAGTGAAATTATACCACACCATTGGGCCTGCAAAAATGCTCCCATAGAAGACTCGCTGGAGTTGGGAAGAATCATATAATAAAGCCCTGTGTGCCCAATGAGCTACACCTGGGTGTCTGTCTGTCTGTTGGTTTGTGATCAGCTCTGGGGGGACGAGGGATTAAGCTCCCTTGTGTAGATTTACAATATAGGAGGTCAAATTCAAGGCCTGAGCAGAGACCCAGCCTTTGTCTGTGACTGAGTCACCGGCTCTGGAAGGCGGCAAGTGCTTCTCCTGGCCATGGTTGTTATCAGAAGTAGCAAAAAATAAGCTGCAGGAACACTGACGGGCGCTGCATTCACAGACGTGCTGCCTCTCCCTCGCCCGCGTGCCCGTGTTTTCTTGAGAAAGCTGTAGCTTTGACTATAAAAGCACAGGATGTGGGATGTGCCCAGGCCTGCGGGCTTCGGGCGGGCGTCTGTGTTCTGCTGCGTCCCATTTCCTGCCGCCTTCCTCTACTACAGACACAGAACGTGAAAAACCCTTCCTGTAGCCTGTGTCAACTTATGGACCCATTTCCAGGCAGTCATTCATTAAATTTGTCCTCGGTACCTCCGAAAAGTGCGTTTAAACCTTACAAAGATGCATGTAATATAAAGAAGTAGAATTACAAGAATTTACTAAGAGGCGCACAACTTAATTAAACCCAGGGCAGCGCGAGGGCCTGGAACTGAGGTTGCCTGGCAGCGCCTTCTCTGGCTTGGACCCTGTCGATCTGGAAGCCGCTCTCCCAAAGCACGCAAAGTACTCACCAGCGGTTTGGTTCCGGGCGGGCAGATGGGCGGCTTTTGACAGTGTTCGCACTTTCCCTTGGCAAAAAACACAGGCGGAGGAGACATTTCAAGGTGATTAGTTTTAGTGCAAACAAGCCTGCAGTGTTTCCTAGAGCCTGGAGGCCTTGGAATGTGGAATGGAAAGTCAAGGGAGACTTCTGGTCAACCTCTTGAGTGTTTTTCTTCTGGACAAACACTGGAAAGACTGCAGGGTCAGCCAGGTGTGGTGACACACACCTGTCATCCCAGCACTCGGGAGGCTGAGGCAGGAGGATGCTTGCCAGTTCAAGACCAGCCTGGGCTACAAAGCGAGCTCAAGGCCAGCCCGAACTGCACAGCGAGACCTTGTCTCAAAAAGACAGAAAAAAAAAAAATGCAGGGCGCGCCTGCCTAAGCCTTGCTTTACCCCACAATCTTCCGACTCATCCAAATCCAAAAAATTTTTTTTGACAATCTCCCTCACTAAGTTTCTGACTTAGTCAACCGGGCCACCTTCAGAGACCACAGTGCCCAGCGTGGGAAGCAGGAGGTCCAGCCGGGGGCTGCAGAGTCGAGATGCTCTCTAGGAACGACTGTCACATGTGACAGAAACGCTTTGTGCTACCTGGTCCTAAGACACCAGCAGGCACCCGGGGCTCAGTACGGCACCAATCCTGCGAGTTCTGGATCCAGACCAGGCCGCCTTGACTCGGGCCCTCCTTTCTCTGCCTGTCACAAACGTGTGAGGGTGGGTGTGTTCCCCAGCCTCTGGAGGGGGCTGCGTCCCCTCCTAGGAGACCAGGCTTGGTCAGCACTGTCACAGGGGCCTCTTCGCCCCTCCCCGTGCCCACTTTCCTGGAGATGCCGTGGTTTTAGACTCCTGCTCCGCCTCTGCGTGCAGACAGTGTATAGTCGACCTGCTGCATAAGGCAGAAGCTCATCGAGTGTCCAGCCACTCCTGGTTTGTCTTTGTAGAACCTCAGCCCAGCATGCTGGACACATCAGGGATGCCCCCGAGGACCTGGAGAACTGAACTGGGACGGACCCCAGAGACAATTCCGAAGGCAAAGAGAATTACAAAACGAAGCCATCACTCTGGCTGCATCACTGGGCCCTGACAGAAGAACTTACTTGTATAGTAATGGTCTCGTTATTATCACATCTGTTCTTCTGAATTTCTAGAACTTTCTCCAAGCCATGGATCACTCCCTTGTCCGTGGCTGCATTGGTGTAGTTTATCGGAGCCTCATTTACATAGAGCTGTGAACAAGAGGGTCAGACAGGATTTTATCTTTTAAAATTTATTTTATCTTTTTTTGGTCTTTTTGAGACAGGGTCTCACTATGCAGTTCAGGCTGGCCTTGAGCTCACTTTGTAGCCCAGGCTGGTCTCAAACTTGCAGCAATCCTCCTGCCTCAACATCCTGAGTGCTGGGATGACAGGCGTGTACCACCATGCCCAGATGCTCTCCTTTTTTGAAATACTAGCGCCCACTGGCAAGGCTGCGTGGCGGAGTTTCTGAGTGGAGGCCAAGGCCTGTGAGGTGTGAGCCTTTCTGCAAACAAATACACGGAGAGTGTGACTTGTCCTGCAGATTCCAGGACAGGTTTAATAGTAACTTCTTGTAGGATATTTTAATGATTGACTCATGAAAAACAAATAAAGCCATTAGTTCATTAGTACAGCGAGTATAAATGAAAATCAATAGTTCTTTAAAAATAGAGTGATGTGGGCACATAGAGCAGGACTGAGGTCTGGATGAAGAGAAAATGTTTTATTATACTAAGCAGATATCAAGTCAGATGCAGTAAGGTTTTAAAATGCCAGGGATGTAGCTCAGCAGCATGGTGCCTGCCTGGCAAATGTGAGGTCCTGAGTTTAATTCTCGGTTCCAAAAAAAAATCATAAGATAATACTGAAATGATATCCTCATCATTTCCAATTGAGCAATATTAAATGATCCAGTTAGCAGGAGGACCGGGATATAGCTCAGCAGCACAAGCGCCTGCCCGGCAAGCATAAGGCCCTGAGTTCAATTCCTGGTCCTCCCCCCAAAAAAGCAGTTTCCCCTATTAGCAGAAGAACCACAAGTTCAAACTCAGCCTACAGAGCTTAGCAACTTAGCATGCCCTTGTCTCAAAATTGATGATGATGATGATGATGATAACGGTTTGGGGATTTTGCCCAGTGCAAAGCCGAGTTCAATTGCCTCTACCACCAAAACAGAAGAAAGCCAAAAAAAAAAAAAAAAAAAAAAACAAAAAACCAACCAGAATGAAATGGTCTCCTAACTGCCTACCCTGAATCTCCTCTGCATGCTAAAGCCCCTGTGATTTCTCTGCAGTGAAGCAAATCTCTGTTTAGATGTGGCGATGAATCACGGCTGCGTTCCACAGAGGTGCTCCAAGGTCCCCGTTCATTTGGAAAACCACCAGGGAACCTTATTTGGTCTTGAATGGTGATTATAATACAAATTTCCAGAGTTCCAAGGTATCCAGCTATTTTTAAGTATCCACATGGCAGAACATTTGATGCTATAATGCTGTTTAACTTGGCATTAAAACAGCCTGGCTTGCTTCTATCATGAGATGTATTCAGAGAATTATAGGTTACATTAAAAGTTGGAAACACACCTACTCATTTGGAAAGCATTTTTCCTACACTTACAATGTCACAGAAAAATAGATGACTGTCAGTGAATCATTCTTTCTCCAGATAAAAAGAATTTCTGGGCAAAACAAATTGCATCTTGCAATTATGACACTGAAATTGATTCAACTAATCATACCAGACTATCTATCCATCTCTACACGATGAAATTAAAAACTGACAGATAAAAGCAAGACTCGAAATGAAAACTCAATTTTGTCAATAATATAATTGCCAATCTAAGAAAAATTAGAAAATGTATCTCAAAGTTATTATATAAATATTCAGAATTACTTGTAAGAGCCAGAAAAATATTTGGAGTTAGATTATTCTCCAAGTAATAAAGAGTAAGAAAGTCTTATTGAACTCTGAACAGATAAAAAGTTTACAAAAATGTACTTGTGACTCAGGGCTGACCCCACCAAAGAAATTGTTTCTAAGATAACTTTTTAAAAAGACTTAAATAATATTGTTGCTTAAAACTTCCATTTCTATACAGTACTTAGTGGTTCTTAAATAATAATTTGTTTTTATTAAGTTTTCTTGTGAGGATTTATTTTAGAATTTCACCATGAGTATCTTGTTAAAATTTATAGATTGATCTTTTCACTTGACATTTAAAGTATAGGAATATGGTTTTATGTTTGAAATATGTTAGATACTACGCTGGGCATGGTGGGCGTGCCTGTAATTCAAGCACTTAAGGGCCTGAGGCAGGTGGAGTCTACCCGGGCTCTACAGTGAGACCCAGACTCAGAAACAGTTGCTGGGTGCAGAGGTGCACACCTGTAATCCCAGCACTGGGGAGGCTGAAACAGGAGGATCACTGAGAGTTCGAGGCCAGCCTAGGTTACATGGTGAATTCAAGGCCAGCCTGACCTGCATAGTGAGACTCTGTCTCAAGAAGACACAACAAAACAAAACAAAACAACAACAACAAAACCAAACCACTACAAAACAACCAACAACAACCAAAGAAATCTGATAGACATTTAGTCTCACTAATTTCTTTTTTACGAACTCTCATCATTGCATATTTAGGTATCATGTGACATGACGCTGGGATGCAGCGTGGTGAGTGCAGAGAGGTCAGCACATTACTCATTTGGTGGCTGGGTCCTTGTGAATCCCTGGGCTCCTTGGGTCCTGGAGCTGATGCCACTTTCTGGGAGGCAGGTGAGTTCCCAGGTTCCCTTGCAGCTTGGAGGCCAGTCGGGTGGGGACTGTCCCCTGGGTTTACCTTGCGGAAGTGCCTGAGACTGTTGGGGTCTGATTCCCACAGTTCATGGACCACCCTGGCTACCTGGAGACTGACCACAGGGTGAGCAAGGGGAAGCTGACAGGCTGGGCTTGCCATGACTTTCTGGCCAGACCCGTCTGTTGTATTGCTAAGGCTCCAGAAGTGCAGGCTGTTCCAGTGTGGAAGAGAAGGCACTGGGAAGAGACACCAAGCCTGGACCGTAAGGAGCACAAGGGCGCACCTGGTTCCCGCGGAGAAAGAAGCCCAGCATGTAGGAGGGCCCCAGCAGCGTCTCCCGGTGCAGGCCGTGGCGCAGGTCGTTCTTCAGGAGCTTCTCCAGGACCACGTGGTAGCGGATGGTGTCCTCCTCCTGCGTGGCACACACGGTGGGGTGGGGACAGCACATCAGCGAGAGGTCAGTACCCGGCTGAACCCTCTGCCAGCACCATGGCGTCACAGAGAGAAGCAGCGGCTTGTCCCAGAGCAGGACTCGGCCAGGCAGCTGGACGTGAAGTGCACTAAACAACAGAGTGAGCCGTGGAGCCGGTCACCCTGAGGACTCTAAACCCACAGGGAAGGTAGGACAGGTGGAGGGGACTTTGGAGAAGACTTCTTTAGGTAGAGAAGCTAGAGCCAGAGAGCCAGCCAGCCAGCCAGCCAGCCAGAGACAGAGATCCCCAGGTCCCCACCCCCAGCCTGTTTCCCATCCCTGAGGGGACATTTCAGGGAGCTCGGCCCTGCGGGTGGGGTGGTCTGTGGGCAGATCTGACCCAGCCCGGGTGATGGTAAGCCCTAAGAAACCAAAGCTGAATTTCAGGAGAGCAGGAAGCTGCAGAAGACAGAACAGAGCAGGGGAGAAGGGCACCGTGTCACCCTGTCCCAGCTCCACACCCTCCTGCCCACAAGGCCCCATATGTGAGAGCTAGTCTCCACCTCCCTCTGCAGGGACGTCTGGTCTACCTCCTCCTCTGAGCGCCTACATTTTACTAACCTACCTGGTCCCCTTGTTCTGTGCTTCCCGCAGGAGCCACCCCTGCAGCTCCCCCACCCCTTTTCTGTCTTCTTTTCAGCTGTATTTACGTGGCTTTAAACTCACTAAACAGTCCCTACTGTTAAGTTCTCCTTTTGAGAAAAAACCTGGTGTGGGTTGTGTCTCCTGGTGGACCCGGCTGAGGACCCGGCTCTCTTTTACAGCCGCCTGCCTGCATTTACTCTGCTGAGCAGAAAGGGGAGACATTTTAAATCCAATTCAAGGCAATGGTGATTACTAGGAACAGAAACTTAATTCATTTCCTGCTGCTGTAACAAAATACTTGAGGTGGCTACTTACTAAAGAAATAAGGATTGTTTATCTCACAGTTTTGGAGGCTAAATTCTTAAGATGAGGTGGCCCCACTTATTTGGCCTCTAGTGAGGGCAGGGGCCAGTGGCATCCCCGAGGAGGAGACCCCTGTGATAGTTACACCTGAGTTCAAGGCCAGCGTGAGCTACATAATGAGACCTTGTCCCCCCAAAAAGGAAAAAGGATGTCTCTGAATCATTTGTGCGAACATGGATGCACTTTGAGACCATATTAAGTGAAATAAAGCAAACATATGAGCACTTGAATCTCTTATATGAGAATGAAAGTATAAATAATTTAAAGAGCAAATTAAAAAAGTCAGCTAACAGGAACCAGGGAGAGGGATCTTTTGCAAATGGCACCAAGAGACAGAGGGAAGGGATTGAGCAAGGCACGGAGCTGTGCCCTGCTCGGGTGCCAGCTCCCCGGGTGCAGGTGACCTTTATGACCATGCAGGCATGGACGGGCAGGAATAAAAATGAAAGGAAAGAGAATCACACAGACAGACAGGGAGCCAGAGAGCGCCGCGGGGCTGGGTCTCCGGGACAACTCAGGAACTGCCCGAGGCCCAGAGCCCCCAGCGGCCACGTCACTGGGCACGGCCCTGTCTCTTTAAGCCCCCACCTCACCACCTCGATGTGCAGAGGAGAAAGTCTTCGGCCAACACATAAGACAAGGGGGACCTGGAACCGTATCAGATCACAGTACAGCACACAGCGCCTGCCCTCCTGGTGGACAGCGAGGGCCACGCCCTGGGAGCCACAGCTCTCCACGCTGCAGGTCCGTGGGGAGTGCCAAAGGGGGGCTGGCGGGGGAGCCTGCCTGCAGCTGGTGGGGACCAGCTTCCCTGGGAGGTGGTGGACGACAGGAATCAGGTCGGGAGGCTGAGGAGGCAGGAAGAGGGGGGGTGACCTTCCTGATGGGGACAGTGTGTGTGTGCGTGTGCGTGTGCGTGTGCATGTGCATGTGCACATATACATGTGTGCATGTGTGTCCACACTTAGTCCTGCAAGAAAGGGGACCCACCCTGGGGTTCGAAGCCAAAGATCATGATCAAAGTCTCTTAATTAACCCACAGAAGCCTTTGACAAACTTCACCTGTGTACCCCAGATGTTAGGAATTGGGAAAATGGAGAGCAGGTGAATGGAGGCAGGATTCACCCTGCTAGCATCCGCTGCTGGCATCTTGGCTGCTCAGGACCAGGGAGAGGCCAGCGGAGGAAGAGAGAAGGCCACGAGGACCCGCCCAGGGTCCTGGGATGCCTGCCCGCCTGCGTCTGTGGGCACCAAGGGTTCCAGGTCCCAGGAAATAGCTTCCGGTCTTGTCCCTGATACCTACTAGAGAGGAGACCTTCTTCTCCCTGATGTAACTCTTGATGGCGTCGTTGTTCGGGGCAAACACAGTGTAAGCGTCAGCAGCCTCGATGACACTCGCCAGATTGTAGTGCTGGGAGGAAAGAGACGGAGCACATGAGGACTCCCACCCGGTGACCCGAGCCAGGGGTCTGCAGGGACGGGGTACTTGCCAGGATGTAGCCCCGGAAGGCGGAGTAGTCGGGCATCTGGTCCAGCCGGGTGAGCAGGTTTGGTAAGGAGCCACTCAGACTTCTCTCCGGGAGCAGCACCTGGGAAAGGAAGCCCCAAACACGGCTGAGCGGTTGTAGCTTTTGCTGCTCTGCAGAGCCTGGTTGCTTCTTGAGACACGTGAGGGTCTTGGTGATGCAGAATCAGCTATAGTTGGCACAGAGTGACAGGGCTAGAAGGAACTTGGAGATGATTGGTTTTGGGTCTCATCCGCAGCTGAATCTCCCTACAATTTGAGAAGGGTTCATCTCGCACAAAGGACTCTATAGCAGCCCCTGAGGAATCCATTCTCCATTGGGTTAATTCACCTGGACAAATAGAACCCCTGACCGTAACCGAAAAGCAACAGAATGCAGTTAAAATCTATGCTTTATTATTCTTCTGTTTATCTCTCAGGTTCTTCATTTCTTTTACCCGCAGTCTTAAGGCTGCTGTGATCTGGTAGCCGGAGCCTGCCTTGTAAACGTGTTTTGCTTGGCTGGTGCAATGGATTAAAAACAGGGCGCTCGAACAGAAAGACAGAGTCCCGACTCCTAGGTAAAAACATCAGTCTGCGTCCCCAGAGACATGAGGCAGCTTCGTAGAGAAGCAGCCCCCGCCTTGGTCATGAGGTCAGCCTACTGGCCAAGGCAACCATTTCCATCTCCTCATTCCATCTAGAACCTTCTCAGATGGAAGAACCTGACATAGGACTGTTCTCCTAACTCAATCTCCAACCAGCATGCACGGCCGCAGGGACCAGGGAATTTGTGCCCAGAGGTCCAGGAGCTGGAGTCCGCCCTCAGGGTGTCAGAGCGCACGCAGCAGGTGGCCAGTCCTGTCTGCTGCCCTATTTGAAAATGCAGTTTCGCTGGATCACAGCCATGCACCTTTGTTTACGGGCTGTGTGAGGCTGATTCTGCGCCTCGGTGGTGGAGCTGAACAGCTGTGACAGAGACCAGAGATGTGCCGTGTCTGCTGCCTGGTTCTTTTCAGAAAGTCTTGGCCGGTGCCTATGTTAGAGGACTGACGCATTCGTGAGGTGGGGAGCCGAGGGAGAGACGGATTAGCGGGAAGCAACAGACACTGGGAGGAGGGGCCTGGAGGGACTTGGTCCTGTCCAGGTCCTAACTATGTGCACGGAAAAGGGCCACTGTGAATCCTTGGGGTTCACCCAGGACTTGAGCCCAAATGGGTACAAAGCATGGCAGCCACACAGGCTGAACTTGGCTCCATCCCGCTCTGGGCCAGGAGGTGGAAGAGACAAAACCAGCACTGACCGAGGGCCCTGGTCAGCAGGCACTGAGATGAGGCTGTGGCCGAGACCCCACAGTGGGAGGAAGTGGGGCTCAGGGCCGTTAGGTGACCGCCTGAGGCCCCACAGCGGGGTAAGCGCCCACAGGGAGACCGCGAGGCTTCAGAGTTCAGCCTCTCGACACCATGTCACGCTGGGTGGCGTGGGCTTCGTGGGTCAGGAAGGCTCTCAGAGAGGGCGGGACTCGGACTGGTCCCCATGGTAACAAGCTCCTCGCAGGGATGGATTGAGATGCTGCTTGTGAGGGCCGTCGGGCGCTTAGCAGCTGAGCAAGGAAGACGTGTGCATTCAAGGCCGCGAGGCCATCTCGGGTCTCAGGGCAAGCCCTTGTCTCAGTGCTGCGTCCAGCACCTTTCTTTCTTTCTTTCTTTTGTACCAGGAATCAAACTCATGACCTCACACTTCCAGGCAGGTGCTGTGCCACTGAGCCAGGGCCCTGGCAAGACCTTGTCTTGGAAAAAAAAAAAAAAAACAGACAGAAAGAAAGAAAAAAAGAAAGGAACAGAAAAGAAAAGAGATAATTTTATAGTTTAAAAAGGCATTTTAGCACTTCAAAAAGCCACATTTGGGAAAGAAAAGTGCTGTTGATAACGCTGCTCAGTATTTCTGGAATCGTGGCTCCCTGCAGGAGATGGAGGCCTTGATTAAAAGCGTTTCTTCCTGCTCTCGCTGAGGAGCGAGGCGCCACAGTTCGCTGCTCAACAATAGCTCCCGGAGTCTTAAAATGAGCCTCTTTTCCGGACACAAATAGTTGATCTTTTCTACAGTTTGAAATCAAAGGTGAGTGTGAGTGCCGACAGAGAACGATTTTAATTAAATGCAATTTGCTCATTGTTCTTCTGTAATCTTTTACCTTTTCAAAGCACCCTAATTTCACTTTAAGCGAAGATCCTAATATAGTAACTGAGAATTATGAGGTAGCAGGAAACTCATTTCCATTCCTATTCTTCTGAATTTTTTTATTTCGCACCTCTGTATGCTGTTCAATTGGGGCATAGAGGGAAATGAAAACCTCCTCAGGGCCTTCACCCCTTATTTTTAGGGGTTTTTAGTGATTTGGGGAAGGACCAAGCACTGCTTATGGGCTTCATGACGTGGTGTTTTTGTGCCCACGAGAGAGGAGAATGTGTGTGTGCACATGTGTGCACATGTGTACATGTGTGTGCATGTGTGTGCATGTGTCTGTGTGTTTGCACATGTGTTTGTGCACATGTGTCTGTCTGTGCACGTGTGTGCATGTGTCTGTGCATGTGGCCACAGGATGCCGGCTGCTGCAGATCGCAGGCTGAGCAGGGTGGATGCACTGGGGTGACTGAAGGAGGTCTCTAAATTGTTCAAAATAAAGGGAATGAGGCTCCAGTCAGGTTTCTCTCATGGTCGCGCCCAGTAGCTTTGATTTTCCCAATCCGACCCCGTCCGGGAGGGTGAGTAGCTGAGGAGAGACCCTCCAGGCCCCGGCGAGGGATGGGGTGTCCCTACCTTGCTGATGATGTGAATCACTCCGTTGGTGGCCATGTTGTCACCGTTGATGATGGCTGCACCTCCGAGGGTGACATTCTGCAAGGCACAGCGTGGTGGTCAGGTGAGCCTGAGGGAAACACCTGGGGTGGGGCACTGTGGGCCGCCATCTGTGATCAGCAAGACCTTCACGCTTTTAGATGTGAACCATAGTAAGAGACACCTTAAAGTGTGACTCATCAGACACACACGCACACACACACGTACACACACACACACACACACGCACACACACACCCCTTGCCCCTACTGTGAGGTGTGACCTCCCCTTGACTTCTTTTTTCTTGTCATTTTGAGACAGGGTCTCCTGTGCAGTTCAGGCTGGCCTTGATCTAGCTCACTGTGTAGCCCAGGCTGGCCTCAAACTCCCAGCGATCCTCCTGCCTCAGCCTCCCCAGCGCTGGGGTGACAGCTGTGCCCCTCCATGCTCGGCTCTCCCCCTCACTTTGAACAGTTCTTGACACTTTCTGAAGCAGTTTTCAAAATGATCGTTAGGTACTGCGAACATGGACTAATAGAAAAACAAAGTTCAAAGCTCAAAAACTCCATGTGTATTCTGCATTCTTAAAGGAATCACCCAGTGAGCTGTGTGTATTAGGGTGCGGCTGGGGGGACCCCTGCCCTGTGGGGGAGGTGCCAGTGTGTCAGAGCGGTGACTCCAGACAGCTCTGACCTTGGCCCTGGGCCCCCACAGTGCCAGCTAGACTTTGCGGTGGAGCCCTCCTCCTAGTCTTGGGCGACTCCTGGAAAGAGCTTTGGGACGCTGGCGTCCTCCTGCCTCCTGGGATTCAGAATCCAGCCAGGGTCCCGAATTCACCCAGGAGGTGCCAGACGGAGCGATCTCCCGGTCCCTGCCCCTCTCTGCCTGCCCGGAGCAGGTGTGCAGCGGGGCAGCCCCGTGGGGCACTCTGACTTCCTGTGTGAAGTTCGGTGTCCCTGGTGACTCCGTAGCAGGCTGTCTGTGGGAGCCAGTTCTTAGTAACGATGCACCACAGTAGCAGTCACGGAACGCACAGCCTTCACTCTTCCCTGGCTAGTCCACGCCTGCCGTATTTTACAGGGTCAGCGCCGTACCCTCATGTGCATGTGTGCGTGTGTGCACGTGTGTGTGTGTGTGTGTGTGTGTGTGTGTGAATATCTACTAACTGCTGCATCTGGGCGAGGCTCACGTGGAGCTTCTTTACTGTTTTACACTTTTTCAGAATTTCCATATTGCAAAAATTACAAAATGCCCTAGGAAAGAAGAGACCATGGACAGAGCTCTCTTACCCCATCCACCTTCTGCAGGGGGAGGACGCTGCCCTGCAGAGAGGTGGCCAGCGTGCCAGGGGATGGCAGGCTCTGCAGATCCTCCACGCTGTAGCTGCCTGGCAGTGTATGGTGCCTAAACAACAGACCACAGGCTCGAAATGAAAGGTCATCGTGAGGGGTGCTGTCAGCGAGGGGCCGGGGAGTGGCTGCCAGAGCCTCGCTGCCCTGTGGAGCACTCAGGTCCCCTGGGAAGCCCTGGCTTGGGTTGGTTACTCAATCATTCTGCGCCCCAGTATCCACATCTGTAAAATGGGGACAGTCATAGCACCTATCTCTTGGGGTTGCTGGGTTAACTGAAAGTTGTACTCAAAGCTTGGGACGGCGTGGGCTGTCGCGATTGCCCGGGGTCCCCATCTGAGGGGAGAGAATCAAAGAGGCATGTCCAGTTGCATGGGTTTGAAGGGCCCGGGCTTCCTTCCGTGGATATCTCGGGGTACGCATCAACCCATGACCAGTCGGGCATCACAAAGACTATTTCAGCAAGGCTTACTTGATCAGGGCTGGGATATTGCTCTCTGACAACCAGAAGTTCTTCTCGTCTGGGTTCATGTCCTCAACAGCTTGCTGGGACGGCGCGAGGATGGTGAGGTTCGAGGAGGCGGACAGGACGGGTTGCAGCAAAGCATTCTGAGCCACGGGAGGAGAACAAAGTGACCCGGCTACCGCGAGGGTGGGGGCAACAGGACTAGACCCCATGCTTGCCAGAGCCGACAAGTGATGGGATTCCAGGCACACCGTCCACCCCAGCTGTGGGCGGATGCCTTGGTTTCTTTTGCGAGTGAGACCTATTCTTTTTATTAAAGAGTGAGTCTTGCCAGGGTGCGTGCTGATAATCACAGCAGTCTAAGAGGCTGAGGCAGGAAGATCTTGAGTTCAAGCCTAGCCCAGACATTGTAGCAATTTAGCGAGACTCTGTCTCAAAATTAGAAAGCATAAAAGGGCGGTGAGTAGCTCAGTGAGAAGGCCCTGGGTCTGATCTCCAACATCATGAAAGAAAATGAGCCTTGTCACATTAGGTCACTCTGAGTCACGGCAAGCCCTTTACATTTCAGGCTACGGAAAGAGCCAGGGAGACAGCCTCGGCAGAGCGTGTGTGGGAAATTAACCCTGGTTGGCAGTGTTCCTGATTTTATGCTGCAACTGTTGGAAGTGGATGGAGCGGGGCACACAACTGAAGGGACAGGAAGAGAGAGAGGCCCTGCACCAGCCTGCGCCTGTGCGGTGAGACCCGCCTGGCGACAGCTGTAGGGGAAATCAGCCCTCACTTTTTAAAAAGCCCTGTGGGAGGGCCAGGGATACAGCTCTGCAGCACAGGCTTGTGAGTTTGATCCCCAGAACCAAACTAAATAAAAAGACCTGTGGGTGGATGGAGCTATGCATAGCTGTTAGCCTCGGCTGCAGACCTGAGAGACCCGACCCCAGGACAAACTGAGCCTCTGGAGTGGGCGCTGGGAAGAGGGGGGAATGTGCTCCCCTGGGGTTCTAAGGTGCAGCCAGGGCTCAGCACAACCCTGCCCCTCACCACAGGCACCCTGCATTCTCACACCCACACTGCACCTGTCTACAATCAGACAGGAGCCCGCCCGCCCTCACTTCCTGGGAGCTACTCACCTTGACCCACTGGTTAAAGGCAGCTGCTTCAGGGAGAAGCGACAGCTCCTGTTGATTCCGGCCACAGGGGACAGGGAGAGAGAGAAAACGGACAATGAGAAGTGGGTGGGGCTCGCCTGCGGGGGGCACTGGGCGTGGGAACCTGGTTCTCCGGGAGCTGGATTTCCAAGTCCTGGAGCTGCGCATTTCTGTCCCTCTTAGGGGGCTGTGACCCTCTTTACTGAGGTACAGAATGAATTCCAGAAGCTTCACGTGAAGCCACAACCTGAAGTCCTTTCAAATGAGAATCTGGTGCTAAGACGGCCAGCTGGACCCTAAGTGGGGTGTGTGAGTCTGTGTGCGTGTCTGTGTGAGCCTCAAGAGCACAGCGATTGCTCACTTCCCGAGCACGGGGGACGGGTAGCCCAAGCTCAGAACTGGGCCACCTGGATCTTGGTCCCAGCAGGAGGACCCTAGCTCCCTAGGAAGGTTCCTCGATGGAGCTTGAGTTTTCTCCTGTAACGTGGGCACAGAGAAGCCCCCGACTCACCCAGAGGCACTCATGCTTTCAGAGTGGTTGGAATGAGGCTGGCTGCAGGGGGTCCCTGGCCTTAGCCCCTGATTTTAAATGGGCTCAGAGCGGAGCTTGTTAATGATGGAGAAGCCACTGCTGTGGGGGCTGCCAGTCTACCACCTGCAGTGGGTTTGGGGGAGTTAAAGCAGGCAGAGACTCAGCACTGCCAGTAACCAGCTCCGGGTGATGGTGCCACAGGGTTTTAACAAGCTCTAGACTTCCCGTTAGCGAGAGGGGTTTAGCTCTTGGGCGGGTTATCTCCTAGCTGAGTGGCCTGGGCACATCAGTTAACCTCCCTGAGACTCATGTGATTATGAACATGAAGAGGTTCTCCTGTAGGGCGGATGATAAGCAGGGGCATTCATGGGTGTGAAGGCGTTAAGAAACTATTAGCTATCACCAAGTGGCAGTAGCAATTGTATGCAAATTTATATGGACACCACGTCTCAAAGCTGTGTCAGTTCCTTTTTTAAAAGCAGTGGAGGTTATTAACTGAGTTAGTAAAAAGTTAAAAAGTAACTTAGTAGCGGGGTACAGTGGTGCACCCCTAGCTACGCTGGAGGGCGAGGCAGGAAGATCACAAGTTTGAGGCCAGATTGGGCACCTTAGCGAGGTCTTGTCTGAAAATCAAGAGTAAACAGAGGAGGGTGTGGCTAGCGTGGTGCTCTGGGCTTGGCCCTAGAGCCAAACAAAAGAGAAAATTTGATCAGTAAGTACACAAGCAATCAGGAGTGCAGAGGCGCTGCAGTGATTCCTTCAGGGGGCATCTGGAGGGTGCAGGACCCTGCTTGGGGCCCAACCAACCTCGAAGCCAGGGCGAGGCCTGGGAGGGCGGGATGGCCAGCCCCACAGGGAAAGGGAAGGCTGCCTGGAAGAGAAGTCTGCACTGTGTGAAGACCCCGAGGGCCGTGCTGGGAACTGTGACTTGGGTTTTTTTTTTTTGGTCCTTTTGAGACAGGGTCTCGCTATGCAGTTCAAGCTGGACTTGACCTCTCTTTGTAGCCCAGACTGGTCTGGAACTCGCAGTGACCCTCCTGCCTCAGCCTCCTGAGTGCTGGGATTACGGACACGCATCACCACACGCATGGTAGACAAATATTTCTAAGCAATGGCAGCAACCCAGGAAACAAGACCAAGAGCTTCTACTAGAGTTCAGAGCCCTTGGGACAGTGGTAGCTTAGTGTGCCCCCTACTTTACGGACAGAATACTCTACACCAGGCTGAGAGTGCGGTGTGCACAGCTGCTGACCTTACAGCCCTCTGCTCAGCCTCTTGGTGTCCTCACCTGTACAGTGGGTGTCACAGTGGCATCAGCGCCACAGGGTGGCACCGGTGCTATGGTTTGTGTCTAGATGTTCCCCAAACCTCATGCTCGAAGGTGGGAGTGGATTCCGGGGCTCATCGCTGACTTGCGGTTAGGAGGTGGGGTGTGCTCAGAAGAGGGGGTTCCCTGGGTTTTTCTTCTTTCCCAGCTATGCCCTGCTCTCTGTGCTTCCTGTCTGCCCTGGTGTGGGCAGCTTCTCCTCCGCCAGGTTCTCTGCCGTGCTGTCCTGCCTTGGGGCCGGCCGTGCACTGGGAAGTGAATCAGGATGAACCACAGAAGGAAAAGTGACCAAGGCCTTGGGTTCAGTGAGAGGCTGCTGGTGTGAGGGGCTCAGGACGAGGTCCAGGGCACAGAAGGTGATTATATCCAGGTGCTTGTGAACACACACACACACACACACACACACACACACACACACTCCCAGCAGAGGTAAACCCAGGGTGCTCAGAGAGGCTCAGCTGCTCCTCTGGGAAGGCGGGGAGAGAGGCGAGTTGGCCAGAAACCCAAGCCAGGACCGAGTGGTACCCAGAAGGTGCTCGTGGGAGTCAGCTCCCCGCCACCTGCGTGACACCTTCCAGAAGCCTGGGACATCTCCTGCTGCTGGCCTCTTGCTACGAGGCTGGGCTCCTGGGGTTTTCCGCCCAAGGTGCCCTCGGGTGGTGACTTACCACGGCCACGTTGCCGTAACACAGGAAGCCGTCCCCTTTGTAGCCCTCCTGGCACACACAGCTCCACTCGCCGGAGGCCGCCACTTGGCAGGTTGCCTGAGGAGGAGGAGGGGAACGTTTGTTTCCCGACAGGAGCTGCCCTGGAGAACCCGCCCCGGCTCTGTCCGAGCTGGAACTGCAAACTGATGGTGGTGGGGAAACCCACAGACCAGTCACGGCGAACCCATGGCACGTGTGCCACAGTGTGTCATCACTGAAACTCTAAGAGGTTCGCTGTCGCTGCTGGAGACCCTGAGGGTCACCGGAGCAGTAACCCAAATCTTTTCGCCCCTGCTGGATGTAACAGGTGCAAAACATGTTGCATTTGGGTTTTAGACAAAGGCTGGACGAGGGTTAGCAGAAGCTGGTCTCCTTCGGGCACACTTTGGGGGCACATTTATGCTGCAAATATGTTCTTTGTGTGTCTGAAATTCAAATCTGAGTATCCTGTATTTTATCTGACAACTCAATGCCAGCTCTTTGCACTTTGACTCGGTGTGAAAATTTTGTCAGCTCGGCATTCCGTGTACGGACACCCTTTGCGGGTGAGGGATCCTGCTCGTGTCTAGGCTCAGACAAGAAGAGACCGAACCTGTCCCCTCTCTGGAGCATCTCTTCGGTGTGTGTAGCAACTCACCATTGGGTGACACATCCCGCTCTGTTCCAAGCACGTGATCGGTTGGCAGTCAATTCCATCTCCTCGAAATCCTTTCTGACACTCACATTCCCTCTGTAAATGCAACAACACAGTCAGAGAGGGCTAGGGAGGGTGACAGAGGTCCGTGCCTCACCCTGAGGCGATTCTGCAACATAAACAAGGGAAGCCATGGCCGCCGGCCGCCCAGGGATGGCCACAAGGTCTTCGGTTTGTTCCACGTCAGGTCCCCGAGCTGTCGGCCGCGTGTCCACAGGACCTCCTCCCATCAGATGGCCCTGCGTGCTTTCCGTTTGGATTCTTAACCCCAGAAGTGCTTGGGGAGAGCTTGGAGAGATCTGTGTGGACCACCCGCGGGCACACAGCTCAGCAGATGGACGGCACTCTCATGCCCTGCAGTGGCCCTTCCTCTGTGAAGGTTTAGTGCCAGGCCAGGGTGCACACTCTGGGGTGTGGGGCACCCCAGTTTCTGTGCCCTGCATCCCTCAGGAGGAGCCAGAGCTTGCGCTCAGGCCTCTGGGTCCGGAACTGTGACACATGCTCCTTATTCTCCCACGCCACCCAGTGTGAGGGCTTTGGAACGGTGGCCCAGGGAAGCATACAGGCACCTCGACATCTTTTCTTTCTCGAGAGCGATCTAGTGGGTCAAGGGCAGCAAGGCCAGCTGCAGACATTTACTGAACGCTTGGTGAGATGCGAGACCTGAGGAGACGGCCCGTGGTTAGGGCTCCCGGGGCGACATGCTGGAGCTCCTGGTCCATGAGCAGGCTGTGCTGGCAGAGATGCCAGAAGCCTAAGGAGGAAAGTAGCCCCCCGTTCTGGGAGCAGCCAGCCACGGACCGTGCTCACACTACCTGGCTTCACTGCAGGCGGCTGTTTCTCCTGTTTGTTTCCCGCCACAGCTGTGTTTCTCCAGGGCCGGTCGAGGGCCCCTCCCTGGTGGCCTTTGGTCCTCATCACCCGCCCAGTGGCTTTTGTCAAGTGCTGGGTCCATGCGGGAGGGCAGGGGTGCACCGTGAACATCTGTTTCATTTTATCTACGCAGCGGCTCTCCTGGCTCCTAACACGGCGTGCCCTTTTGGCCCTGGGGACGCCCTCTCTGCTCCCTTGGTCCACTAATAAAATCCCTTTCCCATTCCTCCAGCCCCGTGTGTAGCCACAGGACCTGGCCCGAGCTGTCAGTTGTGCTGGGCCAGCACAAGCCTGCCTCCAGCGTGCAGTGCCTGTCAGGGAGGGAAACACATTTCCCCGACTAGCAGAAGAGACTGCTCAACACGCAAGTGAGACACTGCATCAAGACCCAAAAGATCAGGGCTGATTGCCATCCAGGTCTGGTCCGTCTTCTCTCTCTGTCGCCTCCTGGAACCCGCCCTGCCTCTGGGAGGTGTGGACTTGGTGGGCGCGTGGGGAGCGGGGCTCCATCGGCCCCCACCTTTCCACAGCTATGACCCTAGTGTATTTTGTATCAGTCACCCTCTCTGTCCTGGTCTCATTAAATGAAGGTACTCGAAGGGGTCAGTGAGCTACAGATCCCTGCGGAAGTCTAAAGGGGGAGCCAGGGTTTGACTGGGGCTGGGTGGGTGGCGGGGGCAGCTCTTCCGGATGCAAATCCCACAACACAATTTATCTTCCATGTAATGTGAGCAAATTAACTTGCCTCCCAGTGCCTCAGTTTCCTCTTCTGCAGGATGGGATGATATGATATTAATACCCATGTCACCAATTTGCTGTGGCCATTACCCTTTTCCCCGCCTGGCTACAAAGGGTAGAAAAAGCCGCAGCAGCTTCCAGGCAGTGCAAACCTGAGGCCAAGAACAGTCGCGGCTTCCCCTCAGCTCCCAGCCCCGCGCAGCAGCTTACCTGGCCCGGGCCCACGTACAGACAGGTAGCGTTGCTGTGGCAGCCACCCTTGCTGGGCAGCAGGCAGGGGTTGATCTCCACGCACTCTCGGCCATTGCCCGTCCAGCCGGGCTGGCATATGCAGAGGTGCCCCTGTGGCGGGCCCGTTTTGACGCATTTAGCCTGTGGAGGAAAGACAAAGAGCCAGACCCCTGAACCCTGCGATCCAGCCACACGATCTGGGAGTTTAAAAGGGGCCAGGGGTAGGTTCCGGAAATGTGTGTGTGCAGAGTGTGGTAGAAAGGGTGGATGGGTTTATTTGCAAGCGTGTTGGTGAGAAAATTAGGTGGTTTAGATTGTGAAGCTGCAAGGTGCCACCATCCTGTCACTGTGCTGCAGCCCAAGCCAGGGACCGTTTCAATTGCTCTGCGGATGGAAACAGTTAGTTAAGGAAGGGAGGGAAGACTCTGTGACCATCTCCACTTTACAAAGGGGGACAGGAACGGCTCCGAGTCACAGAGCCACAAAGAGGCATGAACCTCGGTCTCTCTGTGACACTGGGATCTGAGGTCCTGAGCACTGTCCTAATTCCTGGGAGGCTGAGGACAGGCTGGGAGGAGCAGGAGGAGGAGGAGGAGCAGAAGGAGGAGGCTGAGGACAGGCTGGGAGGAGCAGGAGGAGGAGGAGGAGCAGAAGGAGGAGGATGAGGAGGAGAGGGAAGAGGAGGAGGAAGAGGAGAAGGAGGAGGAGGAGAAGGAGGAGGTGGGGGAGGAGGAGGAGGAGGAAGAGGAGGAATCAAGTCACAGAGGTGGCCCCGTGGTGGTGGGGGCAGGGGTGGTGGTGACGCTAGGCCTGCGTGTCTGGGTTCCATCCCTAGAACCCCAGTGGTGACAGGAGTGGTTCCAGCTAGGGGTAGCAGGAGGAGGTGAGGGGCCAGGCTCATTGCCAGCCATAGAGCAGGGGGTGGACAGGGCACAGTGGGCAGCATGAAAGAAAGCAGTGAAGCCTGCTGTTCCACCACATGTAGGGAATGCAGGTGACTGGGGCAAGGGTGGTGGTGACACTGGAAAGGCATTAGTGAGAACAGTGTGGCTACGCTGTTAACTGTGGCCGGGCCCAGGGTCACTCACTCGGCCCCAGAGCCTCAGTTTCCTAGCCAGTAGAATGGGAACAGCAGCATCAGTGTCATCACCTTGCTGGTGGGAGGAGCGGATGCCATCAGGCACACCCTCCCCCACCCACCGGGAGCTGTAGAGTCGAATCAAGAGTGATTGGCTTTGATCTCAACATCAGATTCTCAGGCTGTGCAATCTGAACGGCCCAGAGCCCTGAACACTGGCCTGGAATTGTGGGGTGGGGTGGGGTGCATGGCAGTGGTCTTTAAAATTAGAAGTTCAAACAGGAGCTTCATGGGTGGGCAGAGTGATCGCACACTAACTTCGGAAATCCCTTCCCTCGGGATGTCCAGGAAGTCCCAGGCAGCCTGGAGACAAAGGCACTCACATTTTGGCTGCAGCCTCCCCGGGAAGGGTTTGCACAAGGGTCCTTCTCGGAACACACAACGCCGTTGCCCTCATAGCCGGGCCTGCAGACGCATCTGGGGAGGGAGAGGTGGGTACAGCTCAGCCCAGAGACGAAGCCAGAGACGAGCACCCAGGAGGGGTTGGCTGGGAGCTGGGAGCGCCACCTTGCTGCTGGGGAGGCAGTCGGGGTGCACAGCTGGTCAGGCTCCTTCTGGGCTCTGCGGCCAGCCAGGACACCCTGCAGTGTCCCTCGACAGTGGGGGACCTGGTCTAATGCCGCTGCCTGCCTAAGGCCCCAGGGCAAATGGGCAGCTGCAGCGGGGCTGGGGGGCAGAGTCCGGCGGTGACACCCTGTGGCTGGGCACCCCGGCTGCTCCTCTGCTCCCCGGGCCTGGAACGTGCCTCTCCGCACCTCTTCCTGCCCAGTGCTGGCTGTTACCTCCCGGCCAGCAGAGAGCAGGTCTTCAAATACTGGGAAAAACCCACAGGGCCAGGGCTGCTTCAGAGCTGCCCAGCCCACTGGAAAAGACGAAGCCCCTTTGCTGACCCCTCAGGTATTTTGTTGTTAAACCCAAAATTATCAGGTGCCCCATTCTGGAGGTGACCCAGTTTCTGACCCATCACCCTTCCCAATACACCTCTGTGGGTGACCCAGGGGTGATACCTTAGCTATTAAATGTGGGTCATTTATTCATTCAGCGGTATCTACTGTGTGCTCTGTGATTGACTCTGGGGTCACTGAGTGCCTCTGTGGCACTCCTGTTTTCCTTTGGCTGCAAACTCAGTGGCATGGGCTTCCCAAAATTTACAGCAGTATTTCCCATGTGTCAGGGTCCCTAGAGGAATTGCCTAGTTTGACCCATTCCCACACTGCCTTCTAGAACATTCTACATGCAGACAGACCTCTGCAGATGACTCAGGTGTTCAGGGTGATTTAGATCAGTGTTTTTTGCCAATACTCTGACCTGGGCTCTAACTCCTTAAGGAGATGTTTTTCTATCTTATAAATGGAGGAAAAGGAAACCTATCTCTGGCCCCAGGTAACCGGCAGGCCAGCGTGGGGGACAGAGCACAGCAGGTCAGCACAGAATCCCGGAACCACCTTGGAACTGGAGCTTATGCCTTCACATCAGTGCCTTTAACGGGGAGTGGGAGGAAATAAAGGTGCCTTAAAGGTTGGACAGTGGGGGGCAAATCTTTTTTTTTTTTTTTTTTTGCACTGGGGATTGAACTCAGTACCTTGAGCTTGCCACGCAGGCACTTATGCCGCTGAGCTAAATCCCTGGCCCCTGGCAGACCTTCATTCTGTGATGGAAATCATTATCTGTTCCCTGATGGGACACATATGATGTGCTAGCTTTGGTGCTGGTGCTTCTCCTCTCCAGTATGGTCTTGGTAGGTGGCTCCATCAGCATTCATGGGCAAAGTGAGGCTCAGATAGCTCAAGGAACTTCCCGGGGGCACACAGCTGCTAAGGTTCAAAAGTGGGATTTAGCTCAGTGGCATAAGCACCTGCCTTGCAAGCAGGCGGTCATGAGTTCAATCCCCGGTACCGATAAAAATGAAAAAGACAAAAAAAAAAAAAAAAAAAAAAAAACCAAAAAAAAAAAAAAAAAAAAAAAAACAAAAAAAACAAAAGTGGGCTGGGAGCACAGTGATTTGAGTCCCGCTGAGTCTCGCAGAGCTCTGGGGGCGGGGGGGGGGCAGGATGCTGGGCCCTCCCTCCAGGGACCTACCCCAATGTCAGTGAATCGGGTCTGCATTGGGCGTAGATGGAACAGATGTGTAAGCGGAAAGGTCCACAAAATAAGAAGCGAGTGTCACAGAATTTCCCGTGTATGCCAGGCCGGCAGCTTCTAGGCTGGCAGGCTCCCGTGCTGTCCACCCTGTTGTCGCAGGTCCCCAGAACACAGTGACACTCTGAAAGAGAGGAGAAAGGGGGCTGCTCGCAGAGGGTCCAGCATCCCAGAGGACAGTAAGCTCTCCTCTCACCCCGTCCAGGCTGAGCCTGGGCGGAGCCCATGGACATCTCAGGCTGGTGCCCCAGGGGCTCAGACTCACCTGGCAGGCCGGGACAGCCTTGGGGAGGGAGTGACCCCACTCTGATGGGGAAATCGGTCTCATGGTATTTGATGGGAAGTGTGCTTGAAAACTATGGCGAAGTGAACAAGTGACATGGCAGAAAGGGGACATGGATGTTATTTGACAGCAAGAGCAAACACAGTTACAAACCTGAAAAGTAGTTTTAAAAGGCGTGGGGTCGGGGTGAGGGATCTACACCAGCGAGCCCTGCAGCGTGCAGGCTTCATCCCCTGGAGAAGGGTTTCCTCTCCTCCAAGTGATGGCACTGTGGGAGCAGCTTCTCCCCACCCTGAGCTGGAGTAGGCTGGAGCTCCCTGCCTGCTGTCCGGGAGACAGGAAAGAGCCACGCTGCAGAGGGGCCCGACTTGGTGTGGTACCGACACCGTGGGCTGCCTCTGTGGCTGCTGGGGGTGGGGGGACCAAAGAAGGCGTCAAGTTTGATTCCTCTGCTGATCTCTCCGGTAAGGAGGAAGTGGGGAGCCTTTGGTGTGGAGGATCTGGGGGTCCGTTACCCGGCAGTCAGTCCAGCCCACTGAGCGCATGTTCACTTATGAGAATTGCTGGTCACAGGATCGACGCTGCTGGTCTTGTGGTCTTGTTATGGGTGGAAGTGGGCAACAGGAGGTGACCTTTCAAAATGACACGATACGAAAGGTGTCTCCCATTCAAAGAAGTCTTTGTAACTTCTGGGTAAAGTCCTATCCTTGTGGCTCATTCCTGGGTTCCCACTGATCCCAGCGGCTCCCGTGCAAGGGACAGCCGTTGGCTCGGATGTGGAATTCTGTTTCCAGGGCACATGAAGGACACGGGTCTTCTGCTGATTTCCATTCACTCTTCTGAGCTGGCCCCTTCTGCTATGTGTCTGTGAACGCCACCTCCAAGTTCACGATTTAACCTCAGCAACTCTTCTGTGCTCGTCAGGGGTTGGCAAGGAGGTGGGGGTGTTGGGGGTGGCTCCTCAGTCGGTGCCGCTGGGGCTTTGTCACTGGGGACAGAATGATTGCACCGTGACTGCTTTCTGAAAGGTAGTGTCTGATGTGTCTTGATCTTTAGCAGAAAATCCTAAGACACGCTTGCTTTGATTTGCAGGCTTCTCCCAGGACCCTGTTCTAGCGTGCTCCTGGTCCACAGCTCAGCGTTGTAAGAGCCAAGACTTCACTCTGGTCCTCTGACACTAGCTGCCACGTGAGCCATCTGTTCTCTGTCCTCAGTTGCTCGTGCTCTGAAAGACCGGCCTTTACGCTTCCCTCTAACACTACCAGGTATTCTTTCCTCTTCTTGCGTGACTGACAAACAGACTCTTGGTGTGTTAACACACGGGTTGCTGTCTTCTTGCACAGAAATATCTGAACCCACACTTCTCGTGGTACTCTGCAGGACAGGTTTAGTCACAGGGAATTTTCCATTTTCTGAGCTGCTCACCCCAGGAGCTGGCACCACACTCATCACGTGATTCGGTAGCTGTGGGGGTCCCCCAGAGATGGCATGGACAGCCAGAGCAGAGGGCAGAGCTCCAGGAGCCAGCTGGGAATTATAGCTCCAGGAGCCAGAAGTCGGTTGAGAGACCAAACTGGCCTGACCTTTAGTGGGCGCAGGCTGTCTACTGATGACTGGACCCTGCTTTGCCACAGCGGCAGTGCGGCAGTACCTGAGTAATGATGGCTTTGCTGGGATGCTGAGGTTTGCTTATCACCCTAGCAACCATGTACCTGGAGCACCAATCACATTGTTATACATTTGTTATAAATTAACCGAGGCGTCACCATACTGTTCTGTACGCGTCATCACCTTAGTAACCTGTTTGCTGTGAACCTTTGTTCACTTTGTGAGAAACAGATGTTCCTGGAATTAGCAGACAAAGGGCCGTAACTTAAGGAAAAAAAAAAAGGGCTAACCACTAACTATGAAACATCTCTGAGCTCAAGCGAAGGGAAACAAAGGCCTTCCTAATTTCTGCTCTGTCACGTCACTCGGTTAATGTGCTATAAAAATCTATCAGAATTCTAACTCAGTGGCACAGCTTTGCAAACTCCATCTGCTGTGTGCTGCTGGGTACCAGCTTTTAAAAAAAATTTTATTTAAGGAGAAAAAGAAAAAAAAGCAGAGAAAGGGTACAAGTTATACAGATTTACAGAAAAAAATAAACAGTAGGAAATCACTAGTTAATGGATTACATTTTGTCATCTCAGAAACAATTGTTCAAGTTACAAAATTAAAGCTTATAAAATGGACATTCCAACAGTGAGACTGCAAACAGTTCTGTTCAATGATCCAATAAAACTCAGTAATATCATTATCTATCTTATACACTTAAATATACATGTAGTTATATCGTTTAGAGCACTTTCTTTTCCTCTCTTTTGTACAATGACAATTACACATTTTGGGTTTTGTTGCTCCCACAGTTCTTATTACTTTTTTGGAAGAGAGTAGAACCAAATGTGACATAACAGAACAGTCAGTCAAATCAAAAGGGTGGACGTAATAGATAATGTAAAAGCATAATACTAGGTGATCAACAATGGTTACCATAATGCCTCCCGCTATCTCTAATAGAATTGCCTATATCATTAGTTATAATAAAATTGAACAAAACAGTAAAGAGCAAAACCAAAACATTGGAGACATTATAGGTCTTCAAAAGTAGATAATAGTCAACCAGAACGGGCGTCATAATGAATCCCACTATCTTCACAGCTGTTGCCTAAACTTTCGAACCTGGTACTATCAAGCAAAACAGAATAGAGGAACATCAGTCAAAACAAGATGGTGAGAGCAATACAGGGCTTTAAATCAAGACAATGGAAAGTCAAAGTGGGTTACTATAATATATCCTGCTATTTTAAAATTTATTTTTCCCTTAATTAAAAGGATAAAAAAGTAAATAATAAAATGGAGATTGAGATAAAAGAGGGCATAACAGCAAAACAGCACAGATCAAAACATAACCATTTAAGCAAAATAGTGTTTCACCACAAGATAATCCCGACATAAAAGTAGTTACCATATTGTCTCTTTCCTTGAAATCTTTGAGTATAACTTCGTATACTGTAGCATCAAATATGTCAAAACAATGTAAAACCATTTAAGAGAATGACAGTATTACAGGGTATTTAGAATCAACCAACAGAAAATGAACAATGGTATAATCTCCTTGTCTATAAAAGTTTTTGCTTATACTATTGTACATAGTAAAATCCAATAAGATACAACCTGTTTAGACCAATGGAGACAGAAGAACAAAAGCTTGATGAGACTTCAAAACAAGATGATACTAAATCAGTATTACCTCTTAAGACGTCATTTTCTCCAAAATAGCTGTTCCTATCATCCAATCTTCTCTGCCTCATTTCTCTTGAAATCTCTTTTTTTGTCATTAGTTGTCAGTTTGTTTTCTTCAATTTGTTTTCTGCTCCATTCATTGTGGCCTCTCTGCCGCTACTTCTGGATTCTTCGTATTTTTCTTTTTTAGAATATCCTGCAGTATTCTCTGTAGAGTTGAATTGGTGGTTGCATATTCCCCTAGTTTCTCTTTATCCTGGAAGCACCTTGTTTTTCCATCAATTTCCAGGGATAGTTGTGCAGGATATATCAATCGGCTGGAGATTATTATCTTTCAAAGCTTGAATTATTTCCCCCCACGCTCTTCATGATTTGATGGTTTGTGCCGAGAAGTCTGCTGTAATTCTGATGGGTGTTCACTTGTAAGTGATCTGTTTCTTGTCTCTGATGGCTTTTACTTTTATTTATTTATTTACTTATTTTTTGTCTTTTTCTTTTTTATCGGTACCGGGGATCGAACTCATGACTACCTGCTTACAAGGCAGGCGCTTATGCCACTGAGCTAAATCCCCAGCCCCTCTGATGGCTTTTAGTATTCTGTTCTTGTATTGGATTTCTGGAATTTTAATTATTATATGCCTGGGTGTTGCTCTGTTTGGGTTGTAGATGGCTGGGGTCCTGTATGCTTCATACAACTGAGTATCTTTACCTTTTGCTAAATTAGGAAAATTCTCCTGGATTATTTCTGTGAGTAGCTTTTGTAGTTCATTTGTTTGTGTCCCTACTTCTTCTTTTTTGTTCTTAATTCTTAAGTTATAGACCCTCTTATCATCTTCTAGTCTTTGTATTATTGCTGTTTGTTTCTTTGTTACTTTTAAGAAGTTTTTCATTTCATGCTCCCATATTACAAATCTGCCCTCCAGTTCAGATAATCTGTCCTTAGTTTCTTTCAAGCTGTTATGCCAGTTTTCAATAGACTTTTTAGTTTCCTGGTATTCTCTTTGAACCTGCTTCACGAATTCTATGCTTTCTCTATTTTCTCTATTAAACAATTCTCCCCTCTTTTTCTGTTCTTCCATTCCACCATCTGTTTTTTCTCAGTTTGAGTCTTGGATGCTGCCAGAAGTAACAGAGGCTTGGGCTGAACTGAAGGCTTTGAACTCATCAGATTTTTTTTCCAAAGGTGAGTTTGTCTTCTTTTGGCTCTTAGCATTTCTCTAACTATTCTGCTTACTTCTAGCTTCAGGTCATTGATAACTTCATTCCTGAACTCGTCTATGAGGCTCTGGAGATAGTGCTTTATGTCTATTGGTGCCGTGTCTGCTATTGCCTGTTTCTCAGGATTGGGGGCCGAGGACCCTTTCTTGTTGCTGCCTCTTCCCATATTCTTTGTTCCTTATATATGCAAGCGTATATAGGAGGTCCAGCTTCCTTCCCTGTCAGCCACAGTCTGATTGAATTGCACCTGCTAGGTGTTCCCACCCACCACAGCGCACCAGGAAGTTGCAGACCAGGCAGCCTATGTGGGGCCTGCCCCTCCAGGTCAATCTACCTTCAGGAGCTGGGACCTGGGCTGTGCTAGCCTACTGGGTTTCAGCCAGCAGTGTCACGTGGGCTAGGCATTGCTCACCAATCCCGCTTGAGAGGCTAGGCACCGCTCACCAATCCCACTTGAGAGGGGGATTGGTGACTGAAGTCACTGCAGCGCCCTGTTCCCGCAAGTCTGCCCGGTCCCAGAATGTCCTCTGTTGGAGTCTCCTAGACCGTGGAAGAGTCCCAGTTTTCCCTCACTCACCGGAGGTGGATGCACGGCTCCCCGCCCGTCCCGCTCTCAACTCCATTCACTGATTCCCGTTCTCAGAGCTTCCGCGCGTCTCTCTCCCTGCCGAGCCGATGCAGACACAGCAGGAAACCCAAATCGCGGCTTCCAATGGTGCGGGCTCCAGCTTCCATGCTGAGGCTTTATCTGTTCCTGTTATAGCACCAGGATTGCATTCCCAGTTGGTTTCTCTCAGCCCAGTTCATACTTGGGTCACCGGGGCATATCTCCTCTTGCTTATGATTCCTTACTCCGCACCATTCCTGAATTCTAAGCTGGGTGTTTCAGAGAGCCTCCATAGCTGCTGCTATCTGTCTGCCATGTTCTCCCGGATGCTGGGTACCAGCTTAAGTAAAGTGCTCTTTTACAGATGTCTTGACCCCCCCTTCTTGACAACAGACAACATCACGGGGCTTGTTTTTTTGGGGGTACCACAGTTTGAGTCTTGGATGCTGCCGGAAGTAACAGAGGCTTGGGCTGAACTCATCAGATTTTTTTTCCAAAGGTGAGTTTGTCTTCTTTTGGCTCTTTTGAGAACAGACTCACAGTTTTCAAGGAGAGAAGAGACATCTGAACTAGAAGACCAATCCAGCCCCTCAGGAGCAAGCCGAGCTGAAGGAGTCCACTATGGGGGAGACGAGACCGAACAACTTGAAAGACCTGGGGAAAGTGGCCGGGTTGTGCCTGAGCATCTTTAACGGTCCAGAGCTGGCTGCTTAGGCTCCACGTGCCTGACCTCCAAGGGATCAAATGCAAACACAACTCCAAACCCAAATCAAGATGGTCGGAATTGCCTTTGTAAGTTTCACTTGCTGCATCCCACGGCATCTCATCCGTGCCTGACAAATCCTTTGGTCCAGCCAAGAGCGCAGAATGCCGATCTTCAGGTCTGGGAGAGGCCGGGGCTGAAAGGTGACTCCCTGGTGGTGGCAATGCCAGCCGGATCTCCAAACACATGTCCCAGTGCCCTGGGACTTGGTGAGTCATACAGTGAATGCTCAAATTAGAAAAAATATTGCATATAGTATACGAAGTTATACTCAAATAATTCAAGGAAAGAGGCACTATGGTGACTACTATTATGTTTGATTATCTGGGGGTGAATACAATGATGCTTGAATTGTTCGGTTCTGACCGGTGTTGTTCTGTTACAATGTCCTCTTTTATCTCAATCTCTCCTCTTTTTAAAATTAATCTATTTTTTTCTCAATTAAGGGAAAACTAAATTAAAAAATAGCAGGATATATTATAGTAACTTTTTTGTTTTCCTATTAACCTGATTTGAACCCCAGTATTGCTCTTCCCATCTTGTTCTGTCTGATTCTACTATATTCTATTTTGTTTGATAATATCAAGTTTGAGGATATAGGCAATCACTTTGAAGGCAATAAGATTTTACTATGATGCCCATTATGGTTTGACTATTATCTTCTTTTGAAGTCCTGTAAGGTCTCCAGTGTAGGTTTTATTGGTCTTGTACTGTACTGTTTTGATCAATTCTATTATACCTGATGATGTAGGCAACTCTTTTTAAAAATAGCAAGAGGCACAATGGTAACCACTTTTGATCACCTGGTATTCTCTTTTTGCATCATGTACTATGCCCACCCTTCTGTTCTAACCGACTCTGTTCTGTTTAGTTACGTTAGGTCTTATTCTCTTCAAAAAAAGTAATAAGAACTGTGGGAGTAAAAAAAACCCAAAAAGTGTAATTGTTATTGTAAAAAAGAGAGGAAAAGAAGGTAGACTAAGGGATATAACTGCATGTATGTCTGAGTGTGTAGGATGGAAAACCATATTACTGAGCTTTTGTTGGATCATTGAACGGAACTGTCTGCAATCTCACTGTATGAATGTCCACTTTATATAATTTTATAATTTGGACTACTGCTTCTAAGATGACAAAGTGTAACCTATTAACTAGTGATTTCTTACTGTATATTTTTTTTCTTGAAATTCTGTATTGTTTGTACCCTGTTACTGCTTTGTTTTTTTATTTCCTTTCTTTTTTCTCTTTAAATAAATAAAAATAAATTAGATTTTGGTATTGATAGCCATAGTCACTCTAGTAAAGAGATGAAAGCTGGAAAAAAAATATTGCAGTAAAAGGCCGTGTATCGCCCTCAGAATCCTCCTCCTCGGATTCGACACCTTCGGGCCGCCCTTCTCGGCCTTTTCGGAAGCAGCTCTGTAAAGGCCTCTTTTGTGAGTGGTTTTTGGTTGTGCTGAACTGGCTGCCTCAATGTCCCGAGTTGATTCTGAATATTTCCCTTTCTTGGTCATTGTGACTTGGGGAGGAGCCGGGAGCCTCACGGTGCCAGACACGGGGAATGAGGTAGGAGGGGGCAGCAGCCGCAGTCACTGTACCTGTGAAGGCACCTCCTGAAGACACTCCCACAAGGGGACCCGAAACGGCTTCAGAAAGGGGGAAGGATGTGGGACAGGCGGTTCAGAGCGGGGAGGATTTAGGGCAGTGTTGTTTTCCCCCAGTATAAAGTTTGAAAGGTAAGCACTCACCCAGGTGTTGGTCACACTGTGTGTGTGTGTGTGTGTGTGTGTGTGTGTGTGTGTGTGTGGTGCAGGGCAAGAAGCCACTTCCCATGTGACAGAAGCGGGAAAGGAACTCAATGCTCAACTACGGCGTGGCCGAGCTTGGCCAGGCGATTCCTCCCCTTCTCCTGAAGACACCTGCCGCAGAAGAGACTTCCGGTGGCAGAGACACGGAGAGCGCGTGTGTCCTGCACGCTCTCCGCGGCCAGCCGCAGATAGCAAGAGGCCAGCATTTCAGCCCCCTTCCTGGGAGGCCGCCCGCACCTGCTCATGAACAGGTACCGGGCCTGGAAGTTGGTGCTTTTTCTTTTCTTTTCTTATTTTGGCACATTTTTGATATATATAAGGATCACATTCACCACAAGGAATTTGTTCCTGGATAGGATATATCCTGCTTCTTCTTTTTTCCCATTCCCCTCCTCTCCCTTCAATCCCTCTTCCCCTCCGGTTGGTACTTTTAAATCCCTGTTTTTCAGATACAGAAACTGAGGCCCAGAGAGGTAAAGCAAGCCACCCAACTTACCATGAAGTCCCCACGCGGGGACTGGTACCAGAGCCTCAGAGTGTTTCCCGTCGGTGACCGTGCGTAAACACAGCAGATCATGCGAGCCAACGCATCTCTGCATCTCTGCTACTGTTTTAAACACGAGCTTTGCTTTCCGAGTACAGCGGTTTAAAACTTGGGAGGGAGCCAGCTCATGCGGGTTGGGCATCAATGCCTGGGTGTGTGGGATGAGAGGAGGGGCCCCGAGACACTCAGAGGAGGGCGAGAGGCTTGAATGTGACGAGGTGAAGGCTGCTCAGATGTGCCCCAGGACACTGATGGGCCAGGGATTGGGTGGGGGCTTAGGGCGAACGTTCAGGACCCAGCCCCAGCCTCTGCACCCCGCTGGGAGTCTCACAGCACCTATTCGATGTGGGATTTTCCACATATCTTCCAGGATTCTGATGTTTGCATCACTATGTGCCAGGCGTTGTCTGAAAGGACAAGCTTCTCCTGTGTAACCTGCTCTCAGTCTCCTAAGGGAGCTACCAGCCTCATCAAGTGCTTTTTGCAGATGAAGCACCTGAGGTCTAGAGAGAGGCGGTAACTTTCCGTGTCCACATCTGCGGCTGAAGGCACTCGGGAAGAAGACTGCTTGAAAGGAAGGAGCCTGGATGCCTGGGTGCAGACCCATTACCAGGTGAGGGGTGCAAAGTGTGGTTCCCTGGACAGGTGTGTCAGACCAGCATACTTGGGGAACTTGTTAGAAAGACAGATTCTCAACCCCACTGTAGGCCTACTGTCTCGGAAACTACAGGTGGGACCCAGTCATCTGGCTCCTGAGGAATACACCGGAATGATGACCCAATACAAGCAGAAATCACAAGACACTACGCCTGCGCCAGCATCCTGTCCCGTGGTGGGAAAAATCCAGGAAGTGTCACTTACTTTGGTCACATTGAGGTCCGTATGATTTGCGGTCAGAGCAGAACTCACACTGGGAGCCGTAGAAACCGTCCTTGCAAACGCAGGTCCCGTTGCCGTTGATGTCTTTCACGTACTGGAAGAGAAGTGGCCCCAAGAGCCATTGTAAAGGACACAGGTGTGGGCGGAGGACACTTCCACTTCATACTTGACTTCAGACTCAGAATCAATCCCACGCGACGTGACCTTTGGACTCCTTGTGGAAGAGGTCTTGGTGTCAGGCAGGTGGTGAACGTGGGGATCCTGACTCAGGATTTAGAATTTTAAGGGGTGCCACTCAAGGGAGACTGTGATGGTGAACTGGAAACCTGCACGTCACGTTTCAGGGACAGCAGGGACGGGACAGGGCCTGTGGAGGAGTGCCCGGCTCCCCCGCCCCACCTCCCACCATCACTTTCTCTCCAGTGGGAACCTTAACTGCCTTTTTTTCCTCCCTCCAGTGGGAAACACATTTGTCCTCCATCTGCCCACTTCTGGCTGGATTTGTAGTTATTCCCCGCATCAGAGCGGGCTACTGGCCACTGTCCCAATCACCCAGCCACCGTCCTTAGCACTGGCCTCTTGCTGTTCCTGTCTTCTATGTAAGACTGAACTCTTCTTTCTAGCTTTGCTTTTCTCTCACAAGAGCCATATTTTAGACAAGAGTCCATCAAGTATCCTGCTCTGCAATTTCTCTGTATGATTCATGGCTGCTGTTACTTTGTGCCGTTTACCTTGGGCCTCCGATTCAGATGAGGCAATTTTGGCCTTTACGGCTCACTGGGGTTGGTGGAGGCCCTGATGCCTCCTGCGTGGAAAGACAGGTGCAGAGGGCCCACAGAGCTGCCTAAGGACCTGCACTGGGTGACAGGAGAGCCCAGAATGGAGGCCCCTGCCCTCCACCAAAGGAGACCCCTGCTCATGCGGACACCTTCTTCTCTTGTAGTAACAGATCTCTTTCTTTCCTTCACGGGGGCGACAGCGGCCACCATGATGTCATCTTTGGGTCTGGCAGTTTTAAAAATTATTGTTCCGCTCGAGCTCAGAAGGATCAAACTCAGCACTCAGGAAGCCGGCTGTCTCCTCACCTGTCTGTTTGGTGGGCACGAATTCAAGAGGGCTCCTTGACACGGGATGCAGTCAGGACCGCAGAAGCCTTTGCAGCACTTTGGTATCTGAGAAGAGACATCACGTGCGCCTCCTGAGCCCGAGTGGAGCCCCCGCTCCTCTACGGGGACACACTTTGATTTCCGTTGTTACATAAATGACGGCAGCCCCTCCTCAGGGGCCAGCCTTTTCCTTTGGCACGCGATGGCATGACCAGGGCTCGGCCTCTGGCCACCACCAGTGGGTGGTGCCCTCCTGGCTTTGCCACTGTGTGCAGGGCAGAGAAAGGGCAGGGCTGGGGGCTCAGGGAGCCTGTGGGTTAGTCAGGGCGGGCTCAGTATGCAAGCTGAGAGTAGCAATTCAGTAAACGAGCGCTTTCAGAGACTGGGAAGGACTGGGGAGCAAGGGCTGCAGCCCATTAGCGGGGGCAGAGACGGACGCCGCGGAGACTGGGGAGGCCTCTGGAGATCGGGCAACAGAGGCAGGCCGGGTGAGTGGGATCCTGAAAGAGGCACGTGCCTTTGAAAACCCGGGAGAATGATCTGGAAGGAAACAGTATTTGCTCTTTTCTGAGGCAGAAGGTGGGTGAGAGAGGAGGAGGTGTCCCTGTGCACGGGCACCGGCAGACTTGGGGGGAATGTGAGCTCTGCGTTAGCGTAAGAGGGGACCCAAGGTCACAGGGAGGTGACCCAGCCGTCATGGAGGGAGTCCACCCTTCCGTCCTCATGGGGAAGACCCGTGAGCCGCGGGCAGCTCTGAGCCTGCGGATGGCCGGTGCCCTACAGGAGGCCCTGGCTGCACGCTCCTTACCTTCACGGTGATTTTGCATCGCTGGACACAGCCCTGGATGTTGCCGAACACGGTGCTGATGGTGCAGTGGCTTACGGTTTGCGGCTGGAAGGAAACGGGGCAGGAGCGCTGTGGGCTGCGTTTCCAGCCCCCGTGCAGGGCCCTGAGGTTGAGGCTCAAGGTCACTCGGGTCACCCGTGTGTCCTGGCTGGCAGAACGCCAGGTGGAGTTTGCACAGTGCGTGGCACACGCTACGTGGATGTCTACATGACCAGGGAGCACTTTCTCCCCAGCTCCTCCTAGGCAGAGGTCTTCGAATCAGCGCGGAGCCTGGCGCTTCTGAGGGAAAATCCACCCAAGAACACAGCGGGAGCTGCAGATCTTCCTCAGGCTCGGGTAGCAGAAACGCACCTTCTATTCCTGGGTCGGTGCAGGTTAGAGTCGCCCAGCGCTTCTGCGTATTGAGAACTCACCGTGCGTAGGGCACATTGCTTAAATGAGTTCATCAGTCTCCAATTCCATGAGGAAGTTTTTGTGCTGTTTATTTATTTGCTTACTGATTTTTGTGGTGCTGGGGAGCAAACCCAAGGCTTCACACATGCTAGGCAAGTGCTCTACCCCGAGCTGTACCTCGGCCTCTCGTGAATTTTATTATTATTATTTTTTTAATAAGGAAAGACTCAAGTGGACTAAATTATTCCCCCTGCCCCAAGAAACACTGCTAATGATTGTCAGGTCAGAGACTTCGGCATGACACTTGCTAACTTGAAGATCACAGGCGGATACACCCCTCTGTGGGTCTCAGCTGTCTAAGCTGCGAAATGGAACCTCAGTGCTGACCTCCAGTTTCATCGGGAGATCTGGTTCCTGGCTCAGGTGTAGATAAGTGTTTGTTCACATCAAGTTGACTCCTTCCTCTTAGGCTCTTGCTTAAGAAGGGAGCACTGAGAAGTTCCCAGGCTGTACCACCCCAAGGTCTTAGACAGATTAAGGGGTTCTGAGGTTGCTGAGGAGGGGACGGTCCCCTCCTCATCTGGGTCTCAGGATAACCGGCCAGGCAGTGATCTGGAGCCTTGGGAGGGGGAATTTGGAGGTCTTTAGGCTCCTGCCCATGCGACTCATCTCCCCACCTTTCAATCAGACCCTGATGATTTGAACACACAGACCAAACCCTGGCTCTGCCCCTGGTCACGATGTGACTGCAGCTGCCGAGTTTTGCAACCTGGGCTCTGTTCCTCAGAACAGAGGTGGGTGTGCTGACCATGCACCTCCTCCTTGGGTGCTGCTTTGAGCACTGAGAAAGATGCTTGCATGGGGCAGGCGCTGTGACACCAGCCAGCTCCTGCGTGCCTCTCCTCGCTTCCCAGCCCTCTGTTCCGCTCCTCTCCCCTCCCCTCCTCCTCCTTCCCCCCACTTTTTTTTCTCTCTCTGTCTCTCTCTCCCTTTTAGTACTGGTGATTGAACCCAGAGCCTTTGTCTACATCCTTGCCTTCTGTTTGATTTTTTTTATTTTGAGAGACGTTCTCACTAAGTAGCCAAGTTGCCCAGGGTGGGCTGGAACTTATGATCCTCCTGCCTCAGCCTCCCAGAGTGCTGGGATTACAGGTGTGCACCACCATTCCTGGTGGGAGACGCTTTCTTATAATGAACTCAGTGGTAGAAATTTCCATCATCATCATGATTTTTCTTTTTTGGTAACTTAAGGCATTTTGCTTTTGCTGCAGTAGTTCTTGCCATATGAAATTGTCCTATAACTTTTTTCTGCTTTAAGTTGAATTTCTCTCTCTCTTTTTTTTTTTTTTTTTTTTTTTTGTCTTTTTCATTTTTATCAGTACCAGGGATCGAACTCACGACCGCCTGCTTGCAAGGCAGGCGCTTATGCCGCTGAGCTAAATCCCCAGCCCCATTAAGTTGAATTTCTTAAGACATCAAACCAAACAACGAATTCATCTTTATGCCCCTGGAACCAAGCACAGTGTCCAGTGTATGATGAATCTTTAACAAATATGCATACATTCAAAATCAAAGAGCTTCTGATAACTTCAGAGTCATTTTCCTAACATTCATCTTCTTTACTTTTAATTGATGAATGATATTTATGTATATAGCAGGGTACAGAGTCACGTTGTAATGGATGTGCACATTGCAAAATGATTCAGTCAGGCTAACTAATATAAGTAGCCGCCTCTTATTTCTCTTTTCCTTAAAATTTGCTCCTCTTTGCAGACCAGAAACACCGTTCACTTACTACCGTCACTGGGCTGTGCTTAACCTGTGAAATCACAACTGAGTCCTCCTGCCTGAAGGCAACCCACAATGCTTCCTGCCATGTAATTTTTCTCCAGAATGAGGCTTGGATTTATTTAAGAGGGAGGCATACCGGAGCCTTCCTTGGAGAGGCTGATTCTAGAATCCTGCGTGAGCTTTATTCACGCTACTGTGTCATTGCTGCTTCCAGACGAAGGATGTTACAGACAAAGGCTGAGACCCTTGCCGCTCCCTACTGTCGCTAAGAGCTGGGCTCATTTGACTCCAGCTGCATCAGTATCTTGGAAGGAAGGAAGAAAGGAAGGGAGACCAAACCGTGGGGCTGCTGAGGTGAACTAGTTGTGGCGCACTCACCATGGGCACAGCGTTGACAGGACAGCTGCTGTGAAACACCACTGCGCAGCTCACGCACGAGCCCTGGGAGGAAAGGGGGCAGGTCAGTGAGCTGTCGCACCCCACCGTGGAGGACACAAGCGGTTCTGTCTCAGGCTCACTTCCCTCCTCCAAAGAGGGCCCCCATGCCGGCACCCTCCCACTCCAGTGACTCCTCCCCAGGGGAGGGGTGAAGTCCACGCTGCCCGCTGCGGACCGGGTTAGGCTCAGCACGGCTCCTCTTCTCCTCTTTCTGGACAGAGCCTGCTGTCCACGGCCCCGGAGGGACCTGCCCTTGAGGACACTGCAGTTGTCACCAGTGTCACCAGTCGCCTGGGTCACAGATTCCAGGCTGTGATCTGCAGTTCGCCTGCCTGGGTCTCCTCAAGGCTTCCGCGTCCAGGAGAAAGCAAACCAGAGTGTGCCTGCAAACCTCCCAGAGCTTTCCCGAGCTCTTCCACCGAGCTGCAGGCAGACCTTGAAGCACGGCTCTCGCCTCTCGCCAGCTTCCCACTGGCTCTGGCCAACTTGAGGCATAGCAGGATATCGGTGGGCGGTGGAGGGCGAGGGCGGCGGTCTCCTCCCTGCTCCCCCTGGGCCTCGGCACTGTCCCTGGAACTCCTGATGGACACCGTCTCTTCACTTCGCTGAGTTCCCTCAACTCTCCCCCTTTCTTGGGGACTTTGGTTCTGGGCGGTAACAGCCATCGGCTGTCACTTCTCCCCGGATGCCCAGGCATGACCGTGTCCTTAGGCCCACGCACCCCTCCGAGGTACCCTCTTCCTCCTCGTCTCTTCACTTGATGCCACCGATAACTGATCGTTAACCATTGTGTAGATTCTGTTTCCTGCAGGGACCCTGACCAGTGGAGTGTTAGTTAATAAATCTGCTTCCCTAACCCTAACCCTAACCCTAAGACTCATTCTGGGGTGGCTCTGGGAAGCTCTTTTCTCTACCTAACTGCATTTTGTGGGGTTTACAGATCAAAACTGCACGGTGATTCTGTCCTTCAGAGAGGAGGAAAAGCTTTGAAGCATCTGAATCAGAACGACCTTGCTCCCAGGCAGGTGCTGGGGCTGCCCTGTTCCTCTGCAGAGTTCCTTCGAGGACCTGGACAGCTGCTGCCTGGGATGGGGAACGCTCTGAGCGTCCCTGGAACCCTGTCCGCTCTCTCCAGCCTGTCCTGAGCTCCACCTTGGTGTAAGCTGGGTGATGTACCTGCCAGCACTCAGAACCAAACACACATCACTGCTGGGGACCCTGTTTCTTCGTCTCCTAAAACGGAGAGACTAAAATGAGACAAAACTCCTGATGGACCTAAATTGTCCTCAACTGACTAGAACATCGGCATCATCTCATCAATTTAGGAACTTGCAAATCAGAAAGTCCAGGTGCTCGGTGCGCTGTTTCTAGCCTTCATCAAGATAAAATGAAAACATTCTGCATATCCAGCGCTCGCACTCCAAAGATATCTTGAGAACATCACTGATGTGTTATTGAAGTGTCCTGAACAGAAAGATCTAGACCTATATTATGGCCAGTTTCAGGTTTCCAAAGGAATTAAGAGATTGCAGGTAGATAATTTTGGAATTGAAGGTGCTTCGATTAAAATTGCTTGAACCAAAAAACCAAACCAAACTAAACCAAAGCAAAAATCCTGCTGTGGAAAGAGAAAAGCCCCTAGAGGCGGCAGGAGCTCACGGAGAAAGGAAGCCCGGAGTTTGAAAAGAACCACGGAGAGGTGGTTGATTCACCAGAGCAGCGCAGGGTTTGAGTCCTTCTTGGGCAGGCAGAGCTACGGCCCTGGGGCAGGGCGGTCGGGGATCCCACAGGGCGGCCCCAGAGCCTCGGGGTAATGGGGTGATGGGTGGAATGGCCTACGGGTAGGCCAGGTGTGGGAGGGTGGTCAGGGCTCCTGGGGCCCGGAGGAGGCGGGCAGCGGCCGGTCCCCGTTCTCTGCGTTTTCCTTGCTTTCTTACCTGTACTGTTTCGCTCTGAGTCTCGTCGCATCGTTGGGGCAGGATCGGGAGGATGGAGGGAGGGATGAGCACCCCACCCAGCGTGTACATGCGCCCATTCTTGGCAGTGACCTCAATGTCCTCCATGGCTACATCGTTTGCCAGAATCCGGCCCTGGAGGGAAGTAATGACAGCTCTCCCTCTGGGCTGCAGGAGGGAGGGAGCCCCACGCCGCGGTGAGGGGAGACGTGTCACCCACAGGAAGCCGGCCGTCGGAAGGGCCTGGCTGACGGGGTCAACTGAACCTGGGGAGCAAGCTCCGGGACACCAGGCGGGGGAGCGGTCCTGGCTGGCACAGGGGACCTGGTGGTCCTGGGCTAGGAAGGAGGTGTGTACATGCCAGCTCTGAGCTGTGGCACCCTCTGTGTGAGGCCACGGTGCCCCCTTCAGATGCATTTCCTGCCTGGAGGGTGACTCCGGGACACATCTGTAAAGGAGCAGCCGAATTCCTGCACAGTGCGGTGCAGGGAACAGAAGGGGGACAGTGAGCAGGGGCCCCTCGCCTCCACTTTCCCTGACCCCTCTACCCCCCCAGCAGTATTAATGACAACTTCATGCTTCTAGTGGCTCAGGTCGGGGCCCCTGGGGACACGCGTAGCTGTCTTCTTCCCTGCTCATCCAGTCTACCAGCAAATCCTGCTGGGCTGCCTTCAAAACCAGCTCAGGACTCAATCAGCCTTGTGCTGCTGTGGTCTGAGTCGAGGTCATGCCTTCCTGGACGATAGTCACCAGCTAACTCCTCCCCCAGGGCACCTGCAGGCCTCTCAGTGAGAGCCTGCCCCTCGCCCTGAGTTCTGAGCCGGCACCTGCAGCCCAGCCCTTCTCCCCCTTCCTCCTGCTCAGTTCTGGCTCTGGCCACGCTGCCTGCCTGCCGTTCCTCACACAGCTCCTGCACGCTCCTCGCCCCGTGCCCTGGCGCTGTCTGTGCCTCTCCATCTCCAGATAGTCACGCCAGTGTCCCTCTGTGTCCTTCCCGTCCTGGCTCAGACGTGCCTTCCTTGGAAGCCTTCCAGGCACTCTGTCGAAGGCCAGCCCTACCGTCCACCCCGCCTGCTCTGTCTGCTGCTTTCTCCTTAGTATGCTCCCGCTGTGATGGGCTTCCTTCCTTCTCTAGCTCTAGCTCCCTATTTGCTGGAATGAAAGCTCTGTGCAGCCAGGATCTTCCATCTGTCTGTCTGTGCATGATCTGTCTTCAGGACCTAGAACAGCGCCTGGCACGCAGCACCCAAGGGATGTGCGAGAGAGGATGTGCCCATCATTGCCACCCTCAGGCTGAGGCAAGAGGGAGCCATGCCACACCCCAGAGCCTTGGCTGGGTGACCCCGCCTTCTGAGGTTTTGTAAGAGAGTCATCTTCCCTCTACTCGGGGCCGCTGTGCGTGCCCTCTCCTCTGCCAGGAGCTCTGTTCTGCTCCTCTCTCCACGTTCTCTCTACTCATCCTCTAGCACGGTGAAGGCGTCATCTGCTCCCCCAGGCCCTCTGCAGCTTTTCTCAGACTCTGTTATCTGAGCTCACGGTCCCCTGGGCTGTGGTCACTTGATGGACTGCAGTTATGTAGCTCGCTGACCCCTGAATGAGGTCTTTAAAGCCTGCCCTTGCTGGTGGGATATAAGCCCCCCACCCCCACTGCTTTTCCCCTGACACCGGTGCAGACGGGCGCACACTCAGCTGCTCAGGGATTTTTTTCTGGCAGTGGTGAGCAGATCGTGGAAAGGTCTCGCAGAGGTCTGACAGCTCGGGGGCCTCGGAGCGTGCACTCAGCCTCGACCCAGCAGCCTGGCCCCCACTCACATTGGCGGTGACGTTGAACCGTATGATCTGGTTGGCCATGGTCCTGATCTGCCGCGTAGAGACGAGGGTGGCCACTTCCAGCTGTGAGAGAAGAGCACAGTGCAGAGCCCTGATTGCTAAGGGTCCTCACTGGAAGCAAAGCTCCTCCATGTTTGTGAGGGAGCCATGCGAGCGCTGACGCCCGAGGGCGGGCAGATTTCCCTGCCCAGGACTCATTGCTTATGGCCAGGGATGGCTCAGAGCTACAGATAAAGCACGGAATCACTCAGTCACTACGCCAAGACACTGCGGTTCCAAACCAAGGGCCAGGTGTCTGGGAGGCAGGGAAAAGCAGGAGGACGGGGGCCAACCTGAGTAGACGGGACAATGTGGTATCTGACGAGTTCCAGAAGCTTCTTAGAGCCCTGCAAAGAAACCCAAAGACTTTTTAGTCGGCGGAGAAAACATTACCTCTTCTCCTTGAGGAAGCCCTGAAAATGGCTTTGGACACTTTTAACCACGACTGTAAACGACTCACAACCTCTTTATGGGGAAATCTGGGGTGAGGAAACATCACCTCTCCTCAGTAGCTCACGTTCACCAAATCTCCATCCCCTGACGGGCTGATCTGAAAACAGCACAGGCATGTCCTGTAATCCTCCCATAACCCTGTCAGGCCAGGGCCACCGCCAGCCTGTTTTATGTGTGATGAAGCTGACTTCCAAGGACAGTCCAAGGTCACGGAGCTGACTCAGGCTAGGAGCCTATGGAGGAGTCTGGGCTGTGGTCCTGAGGCTCGGAAGCCTTGCAGTGGGTCTGGGTTACCCTGGATTTGCTGGGCAGCCCTCTAGGGTTCTGTGTCACATGCTCCATTGGGCTGCATGGAGCTTACCTAGGAATACCTGGCCACACGAGTCTCCGCTGAATTTGCCTTGTACAAAACTCAGTTTTGAGTTTCTCTTACTATAGAAAACAGAAGCAGCAGTGGGGAAAAGAGGGTCCTGGAGACCACAGAAGGGGCCACAGGTAAGATGTGCGGTCCCCAGGGGCCACCCTGGAGGGAACCCAGAGTCAGGAGCTGGGGGCCGACGGTCTGGGGAAGAAGGCAGTGGCAGCCACGACCTCCTGCAGAGGGCTGCAAGCTCCTCGATGAGTCCCAAGCTTCCCAGCCCTTGAATTCTGCTTCTAGCACAGCCCTGCTGGCCTGGCTTGGGAAGGCAAACACACCAGATCCCGGTGACCTCCAGGAGGCCGACCCGGCCCAGCACCAGCAGGCCAGGCTAACAGAAGCCCCGCTGGACCTGGATCCCTTGTCGCGCCCCCTCTCTGCGTTCGGCCTTAGCCTCTACCAGGGGACTTTCCTGTGAGTACAGTGACCACGTAGCCTGGCTCGTCCAGGACCACCCTGGCTTATGCCTGTTGTTCTGGCGGTCTATTTCCTCCCGAAAGTGCGCCAGCATGCGAGGTAAATGGTATGGCAGCCCTGTCGCCAGGTCAGCGCACTCTGTGCAGGGAAGGCTGGGCTTGACACCAGGGCCAGCAGGGGACTGACACGTCCTGCAGCTCTCTTGTCACTGTGTGACCTTCAGCAAGTCACTCTGGGCCTCAACCTCCCCTTCCAGCTCCTCCATGACATGCAGAAGTGGGACCCACAGGCCGGAGCAGTGCTGTCACAGGTGTCAGCGCTTGGAGGCAGAGGGTGAGACACATGGGCCTGCTGAGAAGCATGAATCCAAGCTGCAGGATCTGCTGGGATCGTTGTCACCGTAGCCCCCCAGCACAGCTGGCACATGGTAGGCTCTTCATACATTTTGGGCCGAGAAATTAAAAAGGAGGTATTCTGGAAAAGCACCGATCTGGATCACAGATATCTGAGTTCGAATCCCAGCTCTGCTTCTGAGCAGGTCACCTGCCCTCTGGGCCTCAGGCCTTCCTGCAACAGAAGTGGCCAGCGCGGCTCCCTTCCACACTGGTGATTTTGCAGGAAAGAATTTACCAATGGAATAATCTGCTTCTGAGGCTTGTAGAATTGACATTGGTCTGTTTTACAAGAAAGGGGGGAAGGAGAGGGACCGAGGAATCAGATCACCCCTGGAGCCCTCATCTGACTTGGGAGCACCAGCACCGGCCAGCTCAAAGGGACAGGACTTGCGTCCAGGTGCTGCTGGACCCTGGTGTTCTGCATTCTTTCCCTCAGGATGACTCCCTGCAGTATTAGGTGGGGGAAAAAAACACAACCCCAAGTCCTGAGTGGCTAACACGTGTGACCTTGAGCTCTGTACATTCACCTCCCTCTGCTCCATTTTCCTGTGTGTGAATCTGCCCAGTGAGCTTCTGCTTTAACGTCTGTCCAGCTCAGGCACGGAGCCATCAGCTGGGGCTTGTGGCCAGCGTGGTCCCTGTGGGGACTGGGTGGTTTCCAGATGGAAACTGTGTGTCAGGGAGAGAGATTCGGTTAGGGAAATGTGATGTCAGATTGGAAACCCTTCTGCAGGGACAGCGGTTTATCTTCTCTTTCACTGGCTCGGGAGGGGGCTCCTCCCTGACCTCGAGCTAAAGGTGCCACTCGGAGGGGGGAGCCAGAGGAGCTTCCTAGGGACGAGAAATTGTAACCCGCACAGCCTCTGGACCAGAGGAAGAGGCAGATGTCATCCTGCTCCTCCTCACCTACAAACTGAAATGGAAAACTCGGAACAGAGGCGTGGACTCTGACACTCTTTGCAGGCTGACAGGTGCTGCCTTTGAGCGAAAGCAGACCTAGGGCCAGAGCAGTGTGGTGCGGGGCCGACCACCCCGGTGCTCCCAGCTGCCGGTGCAATCTCACCCTCTCACCCTCGCGAAGTGGAGCCAGAGAGAGCAACACAATCTAGTCCTGAGAGCCCAGAGGAGGCAGCTCCCGGCACCACGAGGCACAGGAAGAGCTTTCCCAACAGGGTGCCTGACAGAAAGGTGGAGGCTTAGCATTTCTGTTCTACCCTAGTTAAACTGTTATATTTAACTGTGTTTTCGGGAGACAAGATATTCTTCTAGATACTGAAAAATATTAACCAATATTCCAAGTTTTAGGAATTCAGAGCAAGCCTTCAGGTAGTTTCAATGTGAAAGGGCTAGCAGCCTCTTTTCTAGGGAGATCGGAACAGAACTGCAGGCCTGTGGTCTCTAAGGAAAGGATTATAGTGGAGAGGGGGGAAGTGATATAAAGGACAGAATGCAACATTTAAAATAACATTTGTTCCTTTGAGAGCTTAATCTAGACCCTGGCCCTGCTGGGCTACTTTGGTTATCATTCTCTTGGTGGTTGTAGAGTAGTAGGGAACTTAAAAAGTGGATTTTAGTGTTGTGAAATATAAAAGCACCAAGACAAATCAAATCAAGCATCCAGTCCTGGGGGTGTAAATACATCTTACTTTCCTGATCCATCAGAGCTATTTCCATTTCCATTGAGGAGACTGAAGCCGTATCTAGGATTAGCTCCAGAGGACCGTGTTAGATTAGTGATGTCTGCCTTGTTGTGGGAAGGCAGGCGGTGGAACGTGTGCTGTTTATTAGCTAACCCCAGCTTAGAGAAAGCCTACAGGACACAGACTGGGGCAGGGAGGCTGACCCAATACCAGCAGGACAGGCAGGACCCGGTACCTCAGGGGAGAGAAGGTAACGAAGATCATCTGTTTTCATGCTGAGCAGGGCTTCATTACTGGGAACAAAAACGGTGTACGGTCCATTGTCACCATCCTTGTCCAAGGTACTTGCCAAGTTGGTTGCCTGCATTTGAGAAGTTAAACTTTGTACCTGCGATCTATCTTAGACAAATATGTGCCATGATTCTCAGTATTTATAGCTGAGACCTCTGCTAATTGTACAGAAGACTCAACATACATATTTTTCCAGAAACTCCAGAAACTTCCAGAAAGGTACGAACCTGCAGCAAAGCTCGGAAACGGCTGCACCTCTCTGGTATCAATTTTGCTATGGTTTGCTGAAAAGAGATGTTTTACCGTTAAGAATTAGCAAAAATATGACAGAGTGGCTCAGGAGATAAAAATCCTAACAAAGAGAAGGGGTTAAGTTCTAACACAATTTATAGTTGTGGATTCATATAAAAGGACCTAGGCAATGCAAACTTTTGTTACTTATATTATGCAAATATTTTGTTACTTGAGCAGTAGTTGGAAGTCGAAACCTGTAGCTTTGGTCATGGTCAGCTAGTGGTCACGGTCATGATAGTGCCTGCTGCTCTCTGCAGAGCATGAGGAATACATCATCATGACAATTGCTATAAGAGTTTTTAAACAATTCAATTTGTCACACACACACACACTCAGAGCCTTGCTTTCCTTCTGCAAAAACACTCAGAATTCCATGGAAGACAGCTTCCCTTGGCTTGCGGTCCTGCCAGGAAACACGTCCTTCTCGGATGTGTCTCTCCACAGAACAAAAGTCGATGGGCTGAGCTTGCATCACCTCTACCTGCAACGTCTCACCTTGGAGTCGCTCTCGAGGGTGGGCTTTATGTTGTCCATGGCTGCGTCGAGGATGTGTATGAGCCCGTTGGAAGCCAGGATGTTCCCCTCTATAATTTTGACCTTCTTTTTGCCCCCATGAAGTTCGAGCTTTATTTGATTGTCCTAAAATACCCAAAGAAGATAAAATAAAATTAATGTGGAGCTCTGGAAGGAGCGAGCACTGGCTTAGAAGCCGAAAGTCCTGAGTCCCTGGTGCCTGCCTGTTACTGGCTCCAAGATTTCAGATACATCATGCGAGTTAACATGAAGATGAAGGTGCCTGCTTGGTTGACCTCACGTGGTTTTCACCAAGGCTGAATGAGACAGCGTGTGAAATCACAGACCTCAACAAATGACACGTGGACAAAGTCTTACAATGCCCTCCTCCAGGAAACTGCCACCTCCGAGAGACCAGCTACTCAGGTTCCTGGGGATGTTTCACTGGTTTTAGTGACACAGAGAAGGCACATGGTACAGACTTAAATTGAATGAATAACAGGAAGCTAATTACTTAGCTAATGTCCGTGTGGCTCTGACAACTTCTAGACTTCATAAATATTTGTTGAGGAGCCGCTCAAACCATGTGAGGCCCAGGAATAGAGAAGCCAGCTCACCCTTCCCGTGAGCTGACCTGTGTGGGGGCTGAGAATCGAGAAGCCCCCCACCCAACCCCTGTAAGCAGCTGGCTGGTTGGGAGGACAGGCTGGGTTTACAGCAGCTGAGGCACAAAACAACTGAGTGCTTGTGTTGCTTGGTTGACTTTGCAGGCCTGGCCGGCAGTCTGAGCATCGATTGGGAGGTGACAGTGTGCAACACAGCAGCTGGGGTGGGGTCCTTCTGTGCTGGTTTTGAAATCCAGTATTGTTCTCACTGTTCTGTTCTGTTCTGATTTACTGTTTTGTTTTGTTCAGTGTTCTGTTTTGATTGGTTTTGTCTGTTCGGTTTTATTTGATTTTACCATGTCTGATGGTATGGACAGCTATTCTGAAGATAACAAGATGTATTATGGTGGCCGCTGTTGATTTCCTATCATCCTGTTGGGAAGTTCTGTAGCACTTTCACAGTTTTGTTTTGACTGGCTTTATTCTGTTTCATTTTCTTAGGTTTTATTTTATTAAAAAATAAAAGCCAGGAATATAGCTCAGTGGTACAAGTGCCTGCCTAGCAAGTACAAGGTCCTGAGTCAGATTCCCAGGACAAAAAAAAAACAAAAAACAAAAAACACATTGTTAAATTAAGGAGTGAATATATGCCTGTCCTTGTAAGAGAGGAAGCCATATCTTCATATCTGTCATACATCACTCTATCTGTCCTGCCATCTATCTATCTACCACCTGTCCATCCATCCATCCTTCCGTCCATCCATCCGTCCATCCACCCACTCTCATGCCACTCTGCACCCACAGTGTAGCAGAAGTCACTGCCGTGGGCTTTGGAGTCTGAAAGGTTTGGAGCGCACGGTGTGGCCTCCCTGGTCCCTGAGGGCACGCAGGGGCTGTCACAGGACCTCTTCCGCAGGGCTGTGGTGTTTTCCCTACACAGGTTCGGGGGCACCACTGTGCTTAGCACTGGAAGAGTGCTCCGTGCCCTGTCGGCTTAAGATAAGCTGGCACAGCCACAGAACATGCTTTTGGGTGATTCGTGGCATGCTTGCCACGTAGTGCAGTCACAGGAAGGGGTTGTTTTTTAGGGTTACACAACTATAGGCTCGGGGAGACAGAACACTGACTCCAGCACCCCGAGACAAATGCAGTCTGAGTTCTTGTGCCCCTGGACGGCTGACGGCCAGCTTCCAGGTCAAGGGTAGAACATCGCATCTTCCCGGTGGCCTTGGCAGCTGAATCAGGCCAGAGTGACCCCAAACACCGGGCAGCCCGGGTAGGATTCGCCCTGCCAGCCGTCCTCCCGGCCCTGCACGGAAGGTGTTTGACAAACGGGGATAAGGAGGGAAGTGCTTCACACCGTCCACGAACCCCGAATGCGCAGAGCAAGGCGGCGTCTGGTGCTAGCTTGGGGGTCATTGATCCCCGGAAGGAACCGGGCTGCGCCCTTACCTTGTCCCTGTTGGAAATCCTCCCTGGCACCCCACTCAGTGTGTAGAAGGTGTCGCTGTTGTTCATCTGCTCCATGCTCATCTGCCCAGCGATGATGTGGAGTTTGGCAAAGTGCCGTGCAGCCTCGGGGTCCCGAAGCAGCTCTTCTACCTGCGGACAGTTGCGGCATCAGGAGGGCGCTGGCGACACCCCGTGCCCCCAGCCCAGGAGGTGGGCAGGAGACCCGCCCCAGGGCTGAGGGAAGAGCAGGCCAGGCAGGGTGACGGAGCTGCTGAGCAGGGAACCTTTCCGAAGCCCGCCGGACCCAATCTATGCTGTGTCCCTGGTACTCAGCAATCACTGGGCGGGGTTCCCATTAACTCTGCACAGACTTTATGTTTTTTCTCGACGGGAGCCCCCTTTCCTCCTCCTCCCCAACGGGACGGCCTCCGATGGTCACCAGCAGGCGCCTGATCTCCACAGGGACAGACAGATGGAGGCGCTGAGCAGAGCACAGCAGGGCGGGGACCCTGGAGCTCACTGGGCTAGTTTCTGCAGCGTGCTGGAAGTTCTCCTTCCCGGGTGTCTTCAGCTTTGTGACTCTTTGTTGCTCTGTATCCATATGAAAACGTCTACCTGTCACAGTTATTTTGACTTGGGGAAGAGGCAGAGGTCCCATGGTGTCAGACCTGGTGACTCAGGTGGATGAGGTCACACCGTCACGTGTTTATTTACGAGCTGCCTCTCTGCCGGTGCACCCGGCCGCTGCGGCCACTGATTCCTGATCACACCTTGTAAAGACCCTGGTGACAGAGGACTTCCAGGGCTGCTTCAGAAAGTGGCAAGAAAAATGGGGTTGGTGTATCCGGAGCGAGGGGCGTGTTTTGAGGGAGAAACAATGACAGTGTGTCTATCTCTGTAATAAATTTATTTAGTGTAAACATCCACCGTGTATTTTGAGCACCCCAGTTAGAAAGGAGAGTAAGTTCCAGCGGTCTGCAGCCCAGCAAGCTGACTACAGTTGGTGACAACGTTTCCCACTTTGAGTGAGGAGGGCACTGCACGCGAGGCTTTGGCGTCGGCCCCGGGGGAGGCCGTTTGGGACACTCACATTGAATTCTTTTGGCTCCTTCTCCGAGGAGGGCAGCAGCAGGGTGAAGGGTCCCAGCGAACTGAGCGGCCAGGCGTAAGCTTTGTCTGAGGAGTCGGGAGATGCAGAGAAAGGGAACACAGGAGGTCAGAGGTGCGGAGGGCTGCAGGTCAGGACAGCCCCGTCTCTGCCGTTTTCAGGTCCACTAGCTGCTCGGGGGCCTGTGTCCACTGAGACGCTCTCTAAGGATGCATCACGGAGCACGGCCCTGCGCATCTGCAGGACTTTCTGCAAGGTCCCTCCCCGAGCCGTGGCATCACAGCCAACCCGGACAACCAGGTCACGCACGGCGAGTTCCTGTGGTGGGCAGGTCCCTGTCACTATGTGAGCCTGGCTTTCTGAGCTGCTGCCGTCTCGGGAGCAAAGCTGCAGCCCTCACTTCCATCCGGGCCGCCCTCAGAGGAGCCTCTCAGCAGACTCCTGCTCTGCCGTCACCATCTAGAAACGCCCAGCGTTGGAACAGAGCAGCTGACACTTTCACTTTGCCCCTATCCTGCAAATTCTGCTGCCAGCCTGTCTCCCTCACCCTGGGGGAGCTGGGGCATCAGGCCAGACTGTGCGTGGACCAGCACTTGGTACTGGGGAAGGTGGAAGGTCAACAGAGCCCTGTCTTGCGAGATTCTTGGGGTCCAGTCTGCAAAGGACACTCTGTCACCCTGTCTGCCACCATCTGGTGTTCTGAGAGCTGGGGGGGGGGGCTGTGACAGCTGGCTTGATGCCCCCAAGCCTGTGATGTGCGGGTAACACATCAGCCCCGGGCATGAGCTGAGGACATGAATGCGGGACATGTGTGCAGATGCACGCCGAGGACCAGGCAGGATGGCTACTCCCTGCCTTGTGCTCCTTCTGCAAAATTATTTTCAGTGGCTGATAAATTCAAACACAAAGTGGGGATGGTAAGGCCTTTGCTGACTGCTTGTTTGGCTGTGGTTGACTGGCCAGACGGATGTTTGGTTGCCAGTTTTGTCCAGTACCTGCTCTTCTCTCTCCTGTGTGCCCTGCTCCAAAAGGGCGGACCCCAGTGGACCACCCTGCCCAGCTCTTCCTATACCTGCGCCTTACGGGTGCCTGGCCTGAGAGGAAGCCTGTGTCCACCTGAAGCACACGCTGCGTCCTACCCAGAAGCGAGATGAACGTGGTCAGCTTTCCCTGCCATGTCCCCCTGGGCACGGTGTCCAGCTCCTGGAGTCGCTCCATGATGTTTCCGTAGCAGGTGAAGCCGTTGCTGACGTAGCCTTGGGGGCAAATGCACCTGCAGAGGGGAGGGGTGCATGACAGTCACCGGACTGTCACCGGCGCTGAGGCCACAGTGGGCAAGGCCTTGTTTATTCTATTTTATATAGGTTTTTTTCTCTTTTTTTTTGAGACAGGGTCTTGCTGTATATCCCAGGCTGGCCTCAAACTTGAGGAGAACCTCATGTCTCAGCCTCCCAAGTGCTGGGGTTACAAGTGTGCACTACCATGCCCACCTCCAAAGCTTCATTTAAAGGACTAGGGAAACAATGCCCCCCCCCCCACACACACACAGAGAAAGAGAGAGAGAGAGAGAGAGAGGAGAGAGAGAGAGAGAGAGAGAGAGAGAGAGAGAGAGAGAGAGAGAGAGAACAAAGCCAGAAAAGGAGCAATCACAAGAGTTCCAGGGCAGTACTTAGATTCAGGGCGTGACTGAGCTACCCCACGAGTGATTAAATTAAAAAACCATTATGGGAAGAGACACAGTGCGGCGGCCCACCCTCAGGGTCTTCCCCTGGATTGATCACTCTCAGCTCATCCTTCTTGCAAATTCCAGAATTCCTCTTTCCTGAGTATCTTTGTGAAGTGTGACAAAAAAATTTATATCAGCTATTGCTCAGACAGAGAACAGACATCTAACACACAACTGATGTCTTTGCTTGTGAACAGTTTGGTTTGCAAACAAAATAGGCGACCTTTCGTCTTCGTTGGCAAACTCTGTATTGGGTGACAAACACGACTGTGCCCTGGGCTCCCTGCACAAACATTAACAGGGTCGCATTTTCCAAAATCATGGAACGAGGAAACCACACTGCACAAGGAACTCAGAAAGATCAGATCCCACAGATAAAAGGCCTGTTCAAAACAGGGCAAGTGAAATAAAGATTCGTGTTGCTGAAGAAGTACAAATGGCCCACAAATACATAAAGAAACGCTCCATGTCTCTGGCCGTTAGAGAAACGCAAATTAAAACAACCTGCGGTCCCACGTTATGCCAGAAAGGAACGGGCACCATCAGGAAATCAAACAACAACACACGCGGCAGAGGCCGCGGGAAAAGCCCTTTTACATCAGTGGTAGGAGTGTGACTGGTGCAGTCACCATGGAAATCAGTGCGGAGCTGTCTCCAAAACCTAACATGGGATTTCTGCTCAGCCCAGCTGTGCATCCTCTACGGTGCTCCACGCATAGCTGTGTTTTTGGCTGCACAACTCACAAGAGCTAAGCACAGGCAGAGGCCTGCGTGTCCATAAACCCAAAATGTATTCCCACGCAGTGGAGCACCACTGTGCCCTAAAGAAGATAAACGTGAGCCACGTGAGGATGCACTCGGAGACCACGACGTTCAGTGAAGTAAATCAGACACACACGTTGCGGTATCCTGTGCTTTCTCTCACGGGGGAGCCCACAGTGTAAATGAAGAGCAAAGGAAAAGCTGGCCGATAGGAAGGAGGGAGGCAGATCTCGTCAGACGGGAACGGGAGCAGGGGGAGGAGGGAGGGCAGGGCAGGAGGAAGGAGAGACCTGCGCTGTGTTCGGGGCCAGCTCCACCCCAGGACTGAACATGATGTCTGCACGCGTGTGCCAACAAAGAAAAAAATCACCTTAAGATAAATTAAAAAACCCACAAAAATCAGACATAAACCGCAGTGAGTGCTGCCGCCCCGGGCCATCGGAAGCAGGCGGCTCATGAGCGCAGGACGCCGAGTGCCCCTCGCCTTTCTCAGCGGATCCGGCACCACACGCCTTCCGGGTCCTCTGCAAAGGGACACGGCTGTGGACAGGAAGTGCTTTCATCTGCTTCGGGACACCGAGGAGCCACGAGACATGCAGAACTCGGACTCCAGAGCAGCTTCAGGAAGCACCCAGGAGAGGGGTGGTGTATCCAAAGGACGGGGTGGGATTTCCAGGGGTGGTTAACGCAATCGATTTTTAAAAAATGTAAGCCTTGATAGCTTTTGATCACACTGCATCTGGTTGGCCTTCCGGAGCAAGCTAGCTCATAAATTCCCCCATCTATAGACACTGGATGTCTGAGTCTTTTTCAAAGTGTGGTCAGGAGCCCCCACGCAGAGAATCGCTTGGTGTGTTCACTGCAAACCCAGGCCCACGGCAGCAGCCTGGGCTGAAGGAAGCGGCCCAGGCCAGGCCAGGCCACGGGACAGCAGAGACCCCGAGCTACCGATCTGCTTGGACTTCCCTTCCTCGCTCTCTCCTAGCGCCTCCTCCTCCAGGCGCCTTCTGTGACAGACCTGCAATAGATCGACAACCCTCAGGGCATGCCTTCAAGGTATCCGGTCGCCCTCCTCTGCAGCTGCCATCGCAGCTCTGTCCGGTTAGGTCACTAACATCTGCTTCCCTTCCAGCTTCTCTAGCCCTCGAGTGAAGGAAAGGATGGAGCCTGCATTTGTTCCAGGTTGCAAGCCGGGGATGTGGCACACGGCCCGGTGGGTACTTGGTTGACAGTGGTGTGACAAACAGGAATGTAATTCCTTGGATCATGCACACAGTGAATTAATATAGAAACAGTGAAAGCCTGAGACGTTTATACACTAGTGTCAGAAGACAGGAAGAGCCTCAGACCGCTATCGCTAGGGGGAAGGTCCTGAGGGAAGAGGAGGTGACAGCTGGCTGATGCTGACGGGCTGTGGGGAGGTGACATTCACCAGGATCCCAGAGCTGAGGGTGGGGTAGGACTGTGTCAGGCACGGAGTTAAGGGGATCAAGGGGCGCTGGTGGCATTGCAGTTTTGTGGTGGCTGCACTATGCCGTGCACTCGTGTGTGTGTGTGTGAGTGCCCTCCAGGAGGCATCACTCTCCTTGGTTCAGTTGCGATTCTAAATATGGTCCTTTGGCCAACTGTTGTCACCGAGCTGTGGGACAAACCTGGGCTGTGGTGCGGCCCTCCTGCCTGGTCTCCCTGCCCTGTGAGCCACAGGTCGGCTGCATCACCAGGGCCGGCGGGGTCCTCTTCCTGCTGGCAACCTCCAATGCTAGCAGCACAAATGCCAGGCCACTCTGCGTGGCTGCCAAGGTTGAGGTGTCTTAGGCCGCGTGCCCCTACTGAGGATGCTGCCGCCCTCCCCTGGAGGCTCACGTATGTCCTGTCCTGTGGCCTCTCTGACCTCCTGGCCCTCCCCAGTGGGTACAGCACTGCCCAAGCATCCTGCCCATATGTCCCTCCCAGCACTGCCCCCCAGAATCGCCTCTGGAGACCCAGTGTCTTCCCTGGGTGCCCCTCTCCAAGAACACGGGTTTCCCCTCTCACCCTACCTGGGAAACTAGGGCAGCCCTCAGTGATGAACTGGGTACTTACTAAACACCTACTTAATTCTAGGAACTGCGCTGAGTAAAGGGCCACGAGGTGATAAACGTCACCTTGTCCTTTCATGTCCCCATGGTGGCACATAACTAATTATAGCAACCCTAAGGTTAGGCCACTTAACCTCCCAGAGCCCCAGTTTTCTCATCTGTAAAGTGGGTTTAACAACAGTACCATTGGAGTATTGACAGAAAAGATGATGAAAGAGAACAATCACACCGGCAAAGTTCAGTGTTTGGAGGTGACGACGCTCACGGTGATCAGGTGCCCGTGACAGTAACAACTGTGACCCACAAACAGGTCACCAAGTGCCAGAGTGAGCTCTCACAGGAGGATCCCAGGACGTACGGATGCGTGTGTTGGGGAAGAGACTGAGTCTTCCCAGGAGAAACTGGGCGCAGTTTTGGGAGAAAGCAACACGGAAGCCACCGAGTCTCCCGCTGGACGGGAGGTGATTCCCTGCCTGAGCCTTCGGGGACTGAGCCTCCAGGATGGCGTGCTGTGCCAGGCATAGAAGGAAAGGAGGAGACCAAGCCAGGATGACGGGGGACCGGCCTGCCCGCTCTGAACACTCGAGCTTTGCTGAGAAGACGCCGTTAACTTGGGACCTTCTCCAGCCTCCAAGTTTACCCTCCCTCCGAGTGTCCTGTCCGGAGGCCGGTGGTCTGCTTTGTGTAAAGTGGGAATGGCATTTAATGGCTTCAGGGCCGAGCAGGATGCATGAGGACAGAAGTATTTCTGTGTTTATTTTATGTCTCAGTCTAAAGCCTGAGAATTTATGAGACTGTTTTCTGACTTAAATAGTCTCTCCTAGGGCTGCGTACATTCCAGCCTGGAGTCTTTTCCAAGCTGTTTTTTTTTTTTTTTTTAAATTAGGAGGCCTGCTGTCTTCAGGTTTTAAGAACACCTATGAGGCATTTGCACCATATAAGTTATGGGTTGGAGACGTTATCACCACGTGAGATTTAGTGTAACAGAACGTCCCCACTTCTGACGGCTGCCGCTTTCCCGTATTTCTACACTGATTGGCAGAAACAAATCGCTGGCTGATTTGTTCCCTAGAATATCACTCATTTCACTGCTTTGATCAGTGACGGTGGCTAGGAGGAGTGAGACAGGGTCCCTCACATGTGGGACTGGCGCCCTTCCGGAAGCGACCCCAGTATGTCTTCTCACCATCATGTGATGGCATAATGGGCACGAAGGTGGCATCTACGGCCCGGAAGGGCCCTCACTGGAAACTGCCATGCTGAACCCTGATCTCGGACACTCAACTGCCAGAACTGTACCGGTCTAGTACAAACACCGAGAAAAATCAATGTCGCCAACCAAGAGTCTAAAAGTCACTGTTGCTTACGTACTTCTGCGTGGCTGGCATGTAAGCCTGCCCAGTCTGGGCCTGTTTTCTTTCCAGTTTAAGGAAATAAGAGAGCTGTCCCCTTTGGGTCCCTGATTTCCTCTCTGCACTTCTCATGAAATAGTAAAGGGCAACCCTAGCATGCAGGAAGCCAGCTGGGCTTCTCGGGTCAGCGTTCAAAGGCAGCTGATGGGCATCTACCGCTGGCTCTGCACAGGAAAGTATGGCTGGTCTCCTGGCTTACAAGAGTTCCAGGCTCCCCCTGGTGGTCTTGCATAACCCCGCACCTCGCAGAAGAGAAAAGAAAATACATGTTTATCCTAGGTGGGCTCGGTTACCCGCCACTCCCCGTTTTGCCAGTCTAACTTAGCCGGACTTTTTACTGAGGCCTCTTTCCAGGTAGAGAGAGCCACTTTTATTACATGATTTGGGGAGAAGGTCACAGTACACACATCCCAGAGCTCTCTGCCCCTTCCCCAGACCTGTTTGGATGAAGTGTTTGCGACCCTGACACTCTATTGCCTTTTTAGATTTTTATCTTTTCCAGTAGGACGGGAAGAACTGGCTTAAGGCATTCTACGCACACTTTCTCAGAGGGTGGTAAGCTAGCGAAGACCCTGATTTCTTCTGTCGTCTGTGTCTCTAGAATGAGCACTCATGGGCTGCAGCGTGTTGGGGTGCATGGCGGTCCTGTGTGGGAGGATGCCCCTGTGTGCCCCGGGTGATTTCCGCATGGCCCGTTCTGCTCTGCAGTTGAAGAGAGACCCCTCATTTAACCCTCATCACAGCCCCAGTAGAAGGGAGAATCCTCCCCCTGCAGTGGGAGAGCCTGGAATCAGAACCCCTGGGCAAACACCTGATGTCTCAGGACTGGTGCGTCCCAGCCATAAAAGCGGGGAGCAAGGCGTGACCTTCACGGCTGCTGGAGCAGGAGCTGCGGGAGCACACAGCAGCTCTGTCACCGTAGGGTCCAGTGCTGCTGTGATTCCGAGCCCACAGGGGTGCCCTGAGTCCCACAGGACCCTCATGGCAAGAAATGATGTGGAGCAGACAGAAAGACAGCCTGAGATCAAGCACCCACGTCCCCGCCTCGGTTCAGCGCTGGCCATAGCACGACACAGCTGCCTGCTGCCCCCACGCCGGCATCCCTCCTGCCGTGTTCACTGTGGCACTGCAGGTGGGCACCACAGAGCTCAGGCCACACTCGGAGAAACCGAGGTGTGGAGAGGCAGCCACTTGCCCAAGGTCGGGCATCTGGCACGGACCAGGCATCGCCCCCACCCCTGCATCTTCAGACTCCGAATTCGCACTTGCCTATCACGTGAACGCCTCAGGCAGAAGCATTTTTACACAAGTATTTCCCCTCACAGCTGCCCCGGGTTTTGTCACACACTGCTGTCAGGCAGTCTTTCACCAGTGAGGAAGCCGGTGTGGACGTTATCGGTCAAGGTCCCACAACCTCAGCAGCCACGCCTTTGTGTTTCCCCAGGCACAACGGTGTCCTGCTCTTCTACTCTGAGCATTTATATCAAGGATTGGGCAGGTGTGGGGTGGCACACATCTGTAATTCCAGTACCCGGGAGGCTGAGGCAGGAGGGTTGCTACAAATTCAGGCCAGCCTGGGCTACATAGTGAGTTCAAGGCAAGCCTGAACTACAAGAAAAGACCCTGCCTTAAAAAGCCAAAACCAAACCAACAAAAAAGTCAGGGTCAGGGATGTGGAGGGCTCTGATGTTTTTCACAAAGGAAATAACTGCCTGGAGATTCACCGACTAAACCCAGGTTCCCTGAGGACCTAGGAGGCTCCTCACTCCTGCTATGAGGGGTGAGGAGAACATAACAGTGGACAGCACACGTTTCCTCCCTTCCAGGAGCTGGCAGCGTTGACTGGCCACCACTTCTGCCACTTGGAAAGTCAGAGCTAGAACACGCGACACTTACTGGGTCTGGCCTGGCGCCGCCATGGTGCAGTTTGCGTTCCCATGACAGGGGTTCTTAGTCTTGCAGAGGTCGGTCATGCTGCAGCCAACTCCTGGCAGGAAGCTGTGGAAATGCTCCTGACACTCGCAGTGAGACTTCAGCGTGCGGGAGAGAAGCAGACGGGATCCCGGTTAGCACAGCACTGGGGCTCGAACTCAGGGCAGGTGCTGCCCCGCTGAGGGTCACCTGCAGCCTTAGCTACATAGGACTCTGCCGCAGAGGCTGCGTCCAGGAAGGGCTCAGCTGTACCTTAAGCTGAAATCTTCCCAACGGATTCAGGAACGGAAATCGCGGTCTCGTACCTTACCTGTTGGGGAATGTCCTCACCTTCTGGGTAAAATTTAGCTTTTCAGCTTTCTTGTTTCCTAACGCTGAACCTCCTTGACTACCTACTTCTTGTTGCAGACTGTCTACAGGTGAGCAGATTGGTGTTCAGATGAGGGGTGTTATTATTATTATTGATAACAGAGATGGAACCGAAGGCCTTTGCAGTAAGTGGCAAGCTCGGGTATTTTTAAAATTTTCTTATTTTGAAATATGATCTTGTGAAGTTGTATAACCTGGGCTGAAACTTTTTAAAGAAGTTTTTTGAGACAGGGTCTCATTAAGTAGTCCATAATGAGGTTCAAGTTTGGCGGCATGTCTGTAATTCCAGTACTTGGGAGGCTGAGGCAGGAAGTTGCTGCAAGTTCAGGCCGGCCTGGGCTGCATAGTGAACTTATATTGGCCTTGAATGCATGGCAATCCTCCTGCCTCAGCCTCCCAAGTGCGGGCAATATAGGCGTGTACCACCACACCTGACTCTGGGCTGAGACTGTCAGTGCTCCTCTGATGGGAGGTTTCACTGCTCTGGAATGATGGGTTTCAACTGCAGGGCTCAATCCAGTAGTACTGGAAGTTGTTTGGGGACAATTTTTATTGTCACCAGGGAGGAGGATAGGACTACTAGAGGCTGGAGATGCTGTCACACCTCCTGCAATGCACAGAGAGCCTCCTCCTCGCTGGGTCAAACAAAGAACAAGGCAGTCAAAGCACCAGTAACTTCGGGGTTGAAAAGCCCACCCAGCAAGGGCTCAGAGGGTAGTGGAACTGTGCGGGGCACTTTTCTCTGGAGCGCAGGCAGGGTGTGTTCTCCGCAGGACCCCAGGAACGCTCCCTTTGCGGTACTGATGAGAGTGCGGGGCCCCTAGCTGTGTTTAAGCTGCAGCCTGAGCCTTGCTCCTTGCTTCTGCTGCCCAAGACCCATCTCCTCCCCTGGGACACTGGAGGCCCCCACTAAATGCTTGAGGGTGAATGTCAGTCATGGACAGCGCACTTCCAGCTGGACCCCGTGGCAAGGGCCCCTGTCCACGAGGACTTTCACCAGTCAAGGCCACGGTGTGAGGTAGGGAGACAGTGGTTCACCCACAAAGTCCTCACGGATCCCCAAGATTTCCCAGAGCTGACATCCTTTGGGGCAGGGTATTCCGGGCTCCCTCCCTCTAACTTAGAAGCCGGGAGAGGTGTAGGGTGTAAGGTGAAATCCAGTCACACTCCCCTGAGGCAGAGCGAAGTGGGCACGGAAGGCAGGGGACCCCAGGGGCTCGGGTTCACTCCCAGCAGCTTCGTCCCGCCCCCACATGCCTGCTCAGCTCACCTTTCCAGGCCCGTCATACTTGCACACTGTGGACTCGGGCGGGCACTTCCCGAAGTCGGCCTGGCAGGGGTCCTCCGGGAGACACACCAGGCCGTCCCCGAGGTAGCCCTCCCCGCACATGCAGCTGTGCTGGTTTGGTCCCAGGTAGTTGCAGCGGGCGTGAGGGCCGCAGGGTAGATGTAAGCATGGGTTGATGGCTTCAGAAGCAGCGACCAAACAAGAGGCAGTCAGCATGTGCAGGGACAGAGGAGGAAGAGGACAGCTTAGAGGGAACCACGGCCACAGAAACCAAAGCCACCCGCAGCATCAAGACAGGAAGGAGATCCCATTGCTTTCCACCTGACACCCCCCGGCGCCATCAGACTGGCCCAAGGCCACCAGAAATCACAGCTGCCGTATATCACTGTGCATTATGGTGGGCGAGATAAAGTCGCATGAAAGAAATCTTCATGTTTATAGAGTGTATATGACACCCGGGGCCCTGTTCCAAGCATGTGCCACGTATTAATGTGAACTCATGTGATGTGTACAGTAATGTTACAAGGCAAAGGTCCATTTTGTACGCCCACTTGGTGGATGGGAAAGCAGGTCCTGTGGTTCGTAAAAACGGATCAAAGGTTTGAACCCCGGTGGTCTGGCTTCAGATTCTATCTTAACAAAGGTACCATACGGTTTCTCTGAAGGAGAATAAACTCACAGAGAAAATTAAAAAAAGAAGCACCAGATTTATACTAATGTTGATGCAGATGATGTAAAGTGTGTAGAGTTGATTCATGAGCTTCCATCATAGAAGGAGAGGCTGTCACTCACTGAGGCCTGTCGTGGCCCGAGCCCCTTTTGCCTGGCACTCTGGGTATCCCTCCCTCAGCTACACAGGGAGGAAGAGGCCTGGTTCCTGTCGAGCGGTGGTGAAGGAGGCTGTTAAGGACCGTAAGCAGCTCGGTGAGGAGCCCGGCAGGACGGAAAGTACTCACGGTCACAGTCTTTGCCGTTGGCTCTGTAACCGGGCAGGCATCGGCATTCTAGCTTGGTTCTGTCTTCGCTCTGAGGCGAACATCTGGAATTCTCTGGGCAGAGCAAGCTTGCACATTCCGGGACAGCTGTGCAGAAAGATCACTGAGGTGCTCGCACCCCCCATTGCATAGCCGGTCCCCAAGACACCCAAAGGGCTGGGTTTCCTTTTACTAAAAAGCAACACAGGCCCACTGCAATGATTTTAAAAACATCGACTACGTAGAGACTAAATGGGCTGTGAGTCCCACTCCTCTGTCCCAACCCCAACAACCAATGCAATGTGTTTGCTTCCGAGCTTATCTGTATGAGGTTTTTCACCAAGGCTGTAGCTTGTGCAAACACTTAGCAGTCTGATGTTCATTTAGCAGCATATCATGGAAGTCCTGAAGGCTGTGCTATTTACTGTTTAAACATGTCGTTCAGTCATGTCATGGGGAGAAGTCGCTGAACTTCTCTGATAGGGAGAGCTGCCGGAAGTCTGCTTTCTTGGGCACCAGAGAGGGCTATGCACCAGGCAGGCACCAAGCCCACAACTCACTACGTGCATGGAGCTGCTGGTCCCTGGGTGCTGCGAGGCCAGCCCTCCCAAGTGTCCTGAGCTTTCTTGTGTGGCCTGGACACCTCTGGATAGGGTGGGTAGATAAAGGCGAGGTGGCCAGTTCTGGTAAAATCCACCTGCAATGTCACTGATCAGGCACCTAGGGCAGACGTGGAGCTGAGAGGCCAGAGATTCCTTACTGACTCGGGGACTGAGGGTGCCTCCTCGTGCTCCTGAGGGAGATGCCGTGGGTCCCACGGCTATTCCACGTGCACAGGTTCTTGCAAAGTCAGCCGGGAACAAGGCTAACCAGCAAGGAGACGCGCACAGATCTGAGGCCCGTGGAGAATTATTTCCCCGCGTGGCCGGCTGAATCAACGACTCAGAGAGAATTCCCTCCCATTCCCTCCATAAAGCAGAAGAGGCACAGAAGTGGCTGTCCCTCCAGGGCTCCCTGCCCACTGTCCCTTGGATCCCTGCAGGGAGGGTAACAAGCAACTGCTTCTCTGCCCTCTCATTTCCGGCCCCTGGCTTAGGCCGAGCACTCTGAAGAGCTGCAGAGTCATGGGCAGAAAGATCCATTCCCGGTAACAAGCCGAGAACGCCCACCCGGACAGGCGCATGCACGAGGACTCCACCTTTGTTTGCAAACGCAGAGGACCCCAGAAGTCTCGGGCCGTGGTGCCTTTGGTTTTTACGGCCTCTGTGGTCCTCTGGTTCCCTAAGATGTCCCTAGAGGATCCAATTTTGGTTTCTAAACCAAAGAACTCAGTAACCACTTATGTCATGGAACTTAGTAGCCATTTGAAAAAGTAGCATGATCAATAGAGAAATATTTCAAGTTCCTTCTTAAATTACCACCTTTACTTTGACATGAGTCATAGGCGGCTGTTGGACTCGTTATTCAAATTCCCAAATTCTGGAATCAGATTGGGCTGAAATTCTTATGCCGGTCTCAGTGATTTCTACCTCACTGCTTGCTTTTTATCGTTGTAATCCTGGAAATGCAGCGAGGCAGAGACGGATGTTACTGGATGGGGCTGAACTTCAGAACCTTAGTGAATGAATTTAATCGACCTCATGGTCCGGTGGCATCCAGCATGCATCCTCCCTGGACAATTTAAAATACCCGGTGGTACCCAGTGGGTTTGATATGGTTCCTGGGGCCGTCTGGGTGTGTGGTGTTAGAACCACAGTGCCAACCACCGAATCTTTGCCTTTATTTCTTCAGCCGCTGGCATCACCCTAACCAGTGCAGCCATTCTTAACTGGCAAGTTTTCCTGCAGCTGATTTGCTTCTCACAAGCGGTGTGCGGTGAATTCTTACGGCTGGTCTTCAGCCCTTTCATCCTCTAGGGTAAATTCCTAGAACCGGGGCCACGGCAGCTTCTACATATCCCTTTAGATAACTCCCCACCTAGGCTGTGGGGATCCACCTCATCCCTTGTATTTTTCTCAGATCTACAGATACTACGCACTTTTTAAAGTCTGTGTAATATAATCAGGGAAAAAACCCAAAAAATAAAAAACGAAGCCAAGGCACAACAGAAGCTTAAGAGTCCCTAGCCTGCTTTGGGATGGTTTGCATTTGTGTTTGAGAGCAGTTACTTGTGGGTTTATTGGCCTTTTTGTGTTTATTTCTGGCTTTTGTTTTTTATTCCAAGTCTTGGCTTCTGCTAGGTTTATATGGGATCATGGACTTTATACTGTTATAAAAATTTATCTTCCATGTGAATTGCAATTTTTTTTTCTTTTGCCCTCACTTCTTGTGTATCTTCTGGCAGGATGGAAGTATTTTTTCACTTGGAAGCAAACCTGAGTGTGTTCTCTGTTAGTCTGGCTTCTTACCAAAGAGGCCTTGCTCCTGACCACTGGGCAGATGGGGGTGACTGGGGAAGGCAGTGATTGGAGTCACCCCCGTCTGGATTGGAATGGGTGGTTTGCACCACCAGGTCCCCTGGACTCACGAACAGCGTCCACCTGCAGCTCTGTTGTCTGTTTAGGGCCCTCTGTCCCAGCTGTGTGCCCAGATGCACCATCCCTGGGGAACCCCACATCCTGGCCAGGGCCCTGTGACCACCTTCTCACCTCTGTCCCCATGTAGACTCTGTGTGCCCCAGGCTGCACCCCCACTTCCCACACCTCTGCTCACCAGCCTGCGCTCGCCAGGTCCTGGAGTGCCCTTCCCTGCCAGCCACTGTGGCTCAGCGTTGGCCCTGGCAAACAGGCAGCATCTCTGCCCCTAGGGGGCTGTGGTGACATAAGCTCCCCAGCTAGGCGGGCTGCCAGCCTCCGGACTTGGTGTTGAGGAAGCCGCGGGACTTACGTGTGTCACAGTTGGGGCCGGTGTAGCCCGTGTAGCACTCACAGGTCCCATCGCCCTGGAGGCCGCTGTTGCACAAGCCGTGCACACATTTACACACTGTGGGTACAAAATGGGGTTGTCATTCCCCTGCAGAGACAGCTTGTGAAGGTCCTGGGAGGGAGGACCCCCACACCGCCCTGCCTGAGGATCTGCAGGAGGGCTGGGGAACCGGGGCTTGGAGGTCCTCGAGGCCCTGGTTTGAACCTCGGCTTTGCGTCCTTTCAACAGCCGCAGATTTTCCCGCCTGCGACCTGGTGTCTGAAGCAAACCTGGCCGACCAGGCACATTGGAAATCTTTTTATTTTCAAACTCCTGGCTTCACCTTTGAGTCCCTGTCCTGAGGACTAACTTCCCGTCTTAGTATGAACAGCCGCTGGACTTCAAAGTAAACAGCTATTGTGGGCTCAGCCATTGGTGAGTTCAGGGATTGAAACAGATAAACCTAACTTCCGGCAAGAAGGGGGACAATCAATAAAAACAAAATGCAGGGCTGGGGGTGCCTGTGTCTCCGCCTGGACACCCGTTATGTTCTCTTGTTTTATATCAACGGATTAGACAGTCCCATCGGCAACCTCGGCTCCCCTGCCGAATCACTCAACATATTCACGGGGACAGGAGTGGGACGTGGCACTCTTTAGGGGTGCTGTCCTGCCCGCCGAGCTAAATTTAGCACAGCAATCCAAATGAACAGAAACTCCAATGAGACCTCATTAAGAAGACAGACTTGCTTAACACCCTAACCAAAACTACCAGGAGAGCAGGGCCCCCTAAAGCTGAAAGAATCCCGAAGTCCAGTAGCCCGCCGAGTTCTCTGCAGTACTTTGGGCACTCTTCCTCCGATCTTCGTCTCCGCCGGCTCCAGCCCTGCTCGGGTCCTTCTGTGCGTGGCTGGGACCACTGAGGCAGCACATTCCGGCTGGTCTCACCGTCTCCAATTTCTTGCCTTCCCACCGCATCCCTTTCATTTGCCGAGCGGTGGCATCAGGGTAAATTCGCTGAAAATATCTCAGTGGCTTTCAAATGCCAGTCAGATTAAATTTAAATTCCTCTCTGGCCAACAAACAGCGCTCCAGCCTCACTCCAACCTTGGCAATTCTTCATTTTCATCCCCCACCACTTCATTTTGTACGATCTTCAATTCCTGACCCTGGGATCTAGTTCACGCTATTCGCCTGTCTTCCTTCTTGGCACTGACGCAAAACCTACCACATTTAGGCTACTGAGCTGAGATTAGCTGTCCCAATCCAAATCCTGTCCTCGGAGCCCACTGCGCAAGGGCAGAAAAAACAGCCAATCACAGGCCATGTGATAAATGCTACAGCACAATGGACCAATGGGATTTGGCCAGAAGGAAGCTGGGTGGGGCTGCTGATGGAAGACAAAGCAGGGCTTCTTGCATGCTCCACCCAGGTGCCTGCTCCTCCCCTCCCCTCCCCTCCCCTCCCCTCCCCTCCCCTCTCCTCTCCTCTCCTCTCCTCTCCTCTCCTCTCCTCTCCTCTCCTCTCCTCTCCCTTCTCCCTCCTTGGAAGGCCTGAGACCCTGCTTCTGGGGCGCCATCTGGGAGTTCCAGCGCAGCATGTGTGCCCCTCGGTCACCTCAACCCTCTCTTCCCCTCCCTAGCCTGCTCCCTCACTTCCTTTCATTGAGCTTTTTATCCATCCAGCGGTTTACTTTGCCAACCACCTACAGTCTTGCCATCAACCCCTTGTTGTCATGGTTACCCTTGTCTTACAAATTAAAAAAAAAGGAGCCGGCCAGCCTCAGTGCTCACTCCCAGGATGGAAGCCCGAAATGGAGTTTGCAGTTGCCGTGGCCCCTTCCAAGCCCAGCTGCCACTGTGCCTGTTGGCGAAGGACTCGGTGTCCACTACCGGCTATGGGCGCCTGGAACAGACAGTCCCCGGAGAAGTCAGCTTGGTCAGGGTGCTAACTGGAGTGCGGAAAGGAGTGCCATCTTCATGGAAACTATTCTGAGTTACTCAGTAATATTTACCCAGCTCCTCCTGAGTCGTGGGCACCGCCTTAGGCACCGGGTTTATAAATATGAATGGGTAGCAGCGTCTCAATTCTGGAAGCTCAGAGCAGCAGGGAAGCCTGACCTTGTGATTCATGTCCTAAGTGGGACCACACAGCCACAGAAGAGGGAGAGGGGCAGGAAGGGATGTGAGGAGACCCAGGCTGCCTGTCACTTTGTTGTCCAGCTTGTCCCTCCTGCTCCTCTGCAGTCCGGCCCTGGCAGGATCCTGCCACTGGGCATCACTTCCCAGAGCTGCCTCTGCACTGCAGGGTGGCCAGACACGGTGTCAGAGGTGTTCCCAGGTGTCCCCAGAAGACCTCGGGACTTTACGCATGCACCTTGGCAAATCTCTGAGGCGTGCAAAACTTGGGCAGTGTGGCTTGAATGTAGCTAAAGTCCTGGTCACTCCTGTCACAGGGCTGAGGGACAAGTGCCAGGCCCTCAGTCCCCTGGGGACATGTCCCATGGCACAGCAGGCTGCACCCTCTCCCAGGTTTCGGGTCCCACACAGGCTGTACACATCCTGCACCATCGTCCCAGCTCACATTCCGGCGCCTCGTGATCTTGTCTCATCCCTTGCAAGGTCCCACTGCCTGTCTGGGGTGTCATTTGTGGCAGGTGCTTACCAGGAGCAGCCGGTGCAGGCTTGGGACCCAGCTCTGGAGTCAGACACTGGGGCCAAGTCCTGCCTCTGTCCCATCACAGCTGTAAGAACTCAGAGACTTCTTCACATTGTCACCACAATGAGGACATTTGCTTCATTAAAGAGGTGCATGGAGGGCTTGAGAGATTATTCTGGAAGCCTCCTGGCTCCCTGCCTGGCACGAAGTAGGCGCTTAGTAAATGCAGGCTGTTCTTAGGAACCCACGTGGCTGCGGGAAGGTGGGCTTTGCATTTGCACTGGCTGGGAGCGAGGCTCTGGCTGGGGAGAGGAAAACAATTGGCCAGTGCAGCTCTGAGCCATTCGTAACCCACGCAGCAGGGCACTCTGGTAGCGGAGCAAAGTCGGCATTGAAAATGGGCCGCCCCAATTCAGCTGACCAACGCAGTCAGTGGCTAAGAGGCAGCACCTCTGCAGCAGGGCCTGGAGATGAGGATACAATGGTACTTTCCCATCACGGACCAGAAGGCGTCCAAGCCACCAGCCGCAGAGAGGATTTAATTTGGGAGTGGGGCGTCGGTGTGTGTCGGCTTTATCGCAAAAAATACTTGAGTTGGAGTAGCCTATCAAATTCCATTTTTTCTATAAAAGCCAAAACTAGGATGGTATTGATGGTGAAAGATTGCCCAACAGATTCCTTTTGGAGGGACATGGACCCGGCAGATGCAGTCTCTGTCACCTCTGCCTTCGTGAGCCTCGGTGAGTCTGTGACTCAGTCAGCTCCCAGCGTCCGCAGCTGTTTGCACGTGGGTTTTGTGTGAACCTTAGGATGGCTCCCAGCCTGAGCTCTTTGCTCCTGGAAGTGCCCAGCCACCAACTGTCCCCTGTGGGTTGTTTGTGTTCCTGTCCTCTTGCTGTGTTAAATCATCACAAGCTTATGCTGTGGTCTGGATGTGGTATAGGTTTGTCCCTCCGAGGCTTGGTCCTCGGTGTACTATGTTAAGAGGAGGTAGACCTTTAAGAGGTGGAGCCTGGCGGGAGGTCATAGGTCACGGGGTGTGGCCTTGGAAGGATCCTGTAGTTCTCCTGGGACCCTGGTTAGTGCCTGGGGGAGAGACTGCTGCAGGAGGGCAGGTGGCCGCTGCTGCCCTGGCTGCCTGCCTCGCTGTGTGATCTCTCCTGGAGAAGGTGCCAGGCCCTGTGAGGGTCTTCCTCAGAGCCTCCATGATTCTGTGAGCAAAATGAACGTCTCCAGAAATTATTCAGCTCCAAGTATTTTGCTACAGCAATGGAAATCACCAGGGTGCTGGGGAGGCTGGGAAGGTTTCCTTTGGAGGCTCCAGGAAGAATCTTCTCGCTTCCCCAGCTTTGGAGGGCCGTGTTCATCGGCCTATTGCCTCTTCCACAGCTGGCGGAGTCTTTCTTACACCGAGTTACTCCGATGTCCAGTCCTTGGCCCCTCTCCTCCATGTTCATGCGGACCCAAATCATCCAGGAAAAGCTGGAGATCAGCCGACTCTGCTACCTTGCTTACCCTTCGCTGCGCTCCCGGAGACTTTCCCTGGTCTCAGGGAGCAGGATGTGGGCATCTTTGGCTTGGCTTCTTCTGCTGCCCCTTGGGGCTCCCTCTCCCCTGGGTAAGATAACACCCAACACCCGTGTGCCCTCTACCTTCTCCGTGTCACCCCTCACATCCCAGTGTTCCTGGGACCACAGCTGAAGTAAGCGGCTTGTACTGAAACCCAAGTCTCAAGGTCTACCTCTGAGGGGAACCAGATACCAGAGAGTGGATGAGCAGGCTTTGGGTGTTTGTAAAGTCTCCAGCCAACAGTCTCTGACTCTGCAGGCATTTTTTTGTGAACTTCTCCAAGTAAGGGAAACATCAGAATGTGGAGCACCCATGATGGAATTAGAGGTCCCTAGGTCTACTCTGAAATCAGAAAGGCTTCATGTAAGGGTGGGGGGAAGAGGCAGCTTGGATCTTGGAGCCTGCAGAGAGAGAGGAAATCGTGTACCTCTCAAGCGCCCCAGCAAGCTTTCGTGCGCCCAGAGGTACTGAGAACCACACAGACACCATTGGGCTTTCCGAGATTGCGGTTCACCAGACTCAGGGTCATCTCTGTTTCCCTGTCCCTGGTCAGTTACACTTAGCATCCAGTGTCTCCTCCCAGGGGTTTCTCAGGGGACCCACATGCACTGGTGCATGCACATACCTGAGGTACAGTTGGGTCCAAATACGTTGTCCTGGGTGCAAGTTTCGCAGGCTGTTCCACTAAAGCCCTCCTGCAAAACACCCCAGGGGGCTGTCATCAGACTCAGGGAGACCCGTGTTCTCTTAAGGAGACCCTGCTTGACCTCTTGGTGGGTTTGACTAGCTTCCCCACCCAGCCATATCTTCCCCCAGGTTCCTTTCTGGTTCCTGCTCTGTTCTTACTGTTTTCTGTGTGGTGAGGGTTTGTGAATCCCCACATCGCTCTGCTGAGAGGCTGGGCTTTGCCGAAGAGACTGAAAGGTGAGCCAGAGATACAAATAGCACCCAAGGGTGAAACAAAATTCTTCTAACCTTGCAGTTCTCAAGGCAGTTAAGCTCAGTGTCTTTCTGAAGGATCTCTGTGCTGAAATCCCTTAAGGCTGAAAATTTGCAAAAAGTCACTTTCATGAGAAAAGGAAACCCTCCAAGTGGCAGCCAGAGTAGCTGGTGAAGGATAGTAAGAGTCTGATAACAGTAATGATTTTTAACGGTGATAGTAAGAGCAATTTCTGTGCCCTGCAGAGTTCCGCAAGGCATCTTTGTGACACATATAGTCACATTTTACTTCTTTAATAAATGTTATTACTTGGATTTTACTTCGGCCCCATTTAACAGATGGATCAAGTTAAGGCTGAGCAGTGAATTACCTTGCTTCAGGGACCCCAGCCTCTACGAGTCATGTTGTTGGAGCGAATGTATTTTTTATACCAATACACGAGCCACCGCCTCTTGGGTGTGTGGGGGGCGTGCTGAGGGGGACCAGCAGGTAGGAAGGGAGGAGCCCGATCGCAGAGGGAGAGAACGCATTTCTGAACTCACCAGGCAGGAGCAGCTTCCGTTCCCCTCAATGCCTTCTGAGCAGTTGCCCCGGCCGCTGCAGGGTGACTTTGCTCCTCCCGGGCACTCTGGGGAATCAGACAGTGGGGTTCGGTCACTCAAGGCTGCACATGGCTTTCTGCACTGAGCCAGCTCGCACGCTGAGGGCCAGCTCGTGTGCTGGTTGCCAGGGACAAGAGCTCCCTGGAGACCCTGTTGGTGGCCTGCAAGGGTCCCAGGGGAGGCAGGATCTCCGTGTGCCCAGGTGCTGTGATAGGAGACATCACTGTACCATTTCTTCAGCACCTGCTACACATTTTGCAATGATCTGGCTCAGTGATTCCCTCTGACACCCTCTGCTGTTAGCGGAGGGGTGCCGTCCATCCGTAAGCTGCCTGAGCCTCGCAGTTTTTAAAGTTGCAAAGTTGGGAAGTTAGTTCAGCCCTTAAGCATGAATCAAAAGCCAGACTCCTGAGTGTACTAGACAGGGCCTTGTGGGGGGAGCTATTTATACTCCCAGACAAGTCTGAGAGTGTCCTCAAGGAGTCATTCAAGCTGGAGTTTTGAAGGTGCTGTAGGAGCTGGTTGTGCTTCAGGGAAGAGGATTTCTGGAGGAGGGAATGGATGAAACTCTCGGGGCTGTAAAGGATTGTGGGCTCTTCTGTGGGCCATGAACAGTGGGTGGGGCTGGAACATGGGTGACCACGTGTGGATGAACCCCACGACTGAAGTGCTTCTTACGATGAGGAAAGGGATTCAGCTATCACACAGAAGCAGCCTACAAAGAAGCATGGATTTTGCCCTTCTGAGGTGAGCGAGACCTGAAACACGGCTTTTACTGACTTTCCCTAGAAGACCCCACAGTCTTGCTCTGAACAGTCGGGAGTAGCTATTGCGTGTCCTTGGGCAAAGAGCCAAAGAGCAAGAGCACCCCAAACCGAGCAGGGGGGTTGCAGGAGCACTGTGACAGGCCCTGAGACTCCTCTGTGCTCAAGCGGAAGAGGTCTCATCTACACTCGGTGAGCGGAGGCATCCAGGGCCCAGTGCCGGTTTGAGGGAGGTTGCACAGCTGTGGTCAGAGATCCAGATCCGAGCTGAAACCGTGCAGAGGGCTCGCGTGCGTCCCTGTGAGCGAGGCGGGATCGGGCGCCACCTGCTTGCAAGTTCGTGAGCAAAGTGTGCCAGGTGCATGTTGTAGCCTGGCAGAGCTAACGCCATCTTGTGCCCTGTATTTGACCCAGAAGAGTGAACAATTACTCAGGGTACAAGTCCCATGAGAAAAGCAGAATGAGCTGCACCCACAGGAGAAAAAGTAACCTGCTCAACAAAGAAGCAGGATACAGGTGTCAGCCAAAAAGGAATGTCAGAGTCTAGGTGAGTTGTTTCCGACAGGATGCCTTTTTGTGGTTCTCTGTTTTAAAAGCCTTGTAACTTTCCAGTCCGGGGCCACTCGGTGGGACTCTGAAACAGGCGTCCACGCGAGCGGTCACTGAGCTCAGCTAATTAAGTCCCCAGTTTATCAGTTTGGCTGCTGGGATTCCTATGTTGTTCATGAACCCACATCAGTGCGGGGGTTCTGGGACTGACGGGGGTGCGGTGCTCGAGGCTCGAAACAGTGCCTTGCAGTTCTGGTGCTGCCCTTAGCCTCACTTTCAAGAGGCACAGCCTGGCCAGGGGCTTGCCCAGAGTCACCCATCGGGAAGGGAAACAGGCGACTCCTCATCCCTCCCGCTGGAAGAGCCTGCCTGTCCCTCCCCTCCTGCTCCCCGGGGCAGATCTTTGCCCAGAGCTGTCTTGAGCCACACCCGCTGGCTCTACCACATTCTCCCAAGTCAGGAGAAGTCGCCACACACAGCAATTAGACTTTGCAGACTGGTGACCTCTGAGTGCAGGGCAGGGGGAGCCCGAGAGGAAGTGCATTTAAAGCAGAGGGGGAGATTTTTAAGAGGGAATAATGGCAATGTGACTTTTTCTGCAATGCATTTTAAAAAATGTAACAGTCATCCTAGTTTTTGATTATGGCTCCTATTTTTTGATCCTAACTGGTATTAGGGTGCATAACACGTATCTGTCCCTGCTTTCATGGTCCTGCGGTGGGGGGGGGGAGACAGAGTCATGGACTGACAGGTAACCAGAGTAGCCTGGTCTACAGACAGGGGAGAGGGCCGTCTAGGGGTTGGGAGAGACCTGGAGCTCTCCTCACTTCTCACTGGGGGCTTTCAACATTTACTAAACACAGCCTTGTCCTGCATGGATGAAGTGGCTTACCTCTGCCCCCAGCAGGCGGCCACAGCCACCTCTGTGAGGTGGTCTTGTTAAAGATTTCTGTCTTTGCCTGAGGAGGAGCAGCAGGAGGTGAGGATGGAGATGGGGAGATGTTGGGAGCCGCAGCCCCGAGCCCGGTCGCCTCACTTGGCGGACGTGAGGCCTGTAGTAAAGAGTAAAGCCTGAGGTAGATTACCCCTCCCATCGAGCACGTTAGTTTCCTGCTTACCGCGTAAGCAACCCGCTCAACAATATAGTCTGCCTGGCAACTGATGATGTTAGCCAATCAGCTTGCCTTGCTTACTTTAACATGATTGGACACTGTACCCGTATATATACTGGTGCCACCCCTGGGGGGGAAGAAGAAGCCCGGAAGTAGAAGCCCAGAAAGAGCCGCGGGGAGCGGACCAAAGGAGGCTTCGGCTGGGAGCGATCCCAGGGCAGGCTGTACGGAGAAGAAAAATAAAAGAAAAGGTTGTCCACTGCCAGACTTTGTCGTGTGTCCTTCCTGCCGGCCGGGAGCGGACATCGACATTTGGAGGCCCGCACGGGGACTGATCACCCCCGAGACGTGACAGTGGACAACGCTCCAGTACAGAGCTGCGAGACAGGTGAGTTGGGGATAAGCCTGGGCTCTGGGTGGCGCGCACCTACAGGGCTTTTAGACTCCCCTCAGGCTCACGCGTAAGTGGCGGATTCCTTGGGCCTCACGCGGTGAGTAACATATTAAAAAATGGGAAACATGCTAGGTAGTAACATTAAGAGTGAGGGTGGTTGTGGAGAAAGCTCTCAAGAGCTTACAAAAGTATGCAGGGTATTTGAGCAGGCCCAGTCAGGGAGCTCCCGAGAGGGGCCCGTCAAGGGGAACAAAGATGCTAAGGAGAAGGACGGGGCTCTAGCCTCGGAGTCGTCTGACTCCGAGGACGAGGGAAAGTTGAATGGCAAGGAGGCCAAAGAGACCAGCTGTCAGGAGCCTAAGTCGCTCGATAAGGAGTCGCAGGGTTCTTTCCCAGTAATTCAGGGTACCACAGAGCCATTTGTTGACTTTGTGGCCCGAATGCAAGATGCTGCCGATAAGATATTTTCTGATCCGGGAGTGGCTCGACCGCTGGTAAGGCAGCTGATTTTTGAGCAATGTACAAAGGAGTGCAAGGCAGCGATAGCTCCTCATAAGAACAAGGACCTCAACGCCTTGATTAGGATATGCAGAGAGATAGGGGGGCCGCTCTCCAACTCGGGAGTGGCTGCTCTCCTGGCCGCGGCTGTACAGCAGAGGGGACCTCGCGGGTTAGAAGGGGAATGTAAGGCTAAAGGGTGTTTTGCCTGCGGGGAGCCAGGACACATTAAACGTCATTGCCCAAACAATGCAGATGCTAGGCCTCACCCTAGGAATGAAGAACCATATGTTTGTGGGCGATGCAAGAGGGGATCACACAAAGCTGAGGAGTGTAGGTCGGTCTTTGATGCTCAGGGCAACCGTATTTGTGGACGAGATGCTAGAGGGCCAAAAAATGGCCAGAGGGGGCCCCCTTCACAGGCGGGCCCCCGCCCCAGAGACAGGACAGCTCAGGATGGCAGCCTTCAACAAGGGCCACCCCTGGGTCAGCAGGTGTGGACCTCAGTGTCGCCTCCAGACTTATATTAGTGCCTGATATGGGTGTTCAAGTGGTTGAAACCACCTTTAAGGGACCGTTACCCGAAAATTCCGTGGGTCTGGTGATCGGGAGATCCTCCACGGCCCTTCGGGGTCTCATAGTAGTCCCGGGGGTCATAGACTCAGACTACACAGGACACATTAAAATTATGGTTCAATCTCTTGTGGGTACTATGGTAATCAATAAAGGAGACAAGATAGCGCAGCTCTTGCTGCTCCCCAGTCTCCACAAGAGATTCCCCTCAAAGCAGAAAATTAGAGAAAGTCAAGGTTTCGGTTCCTCAGGGGAAGTCTTCGAGGGACTCCATATAATACTTGATAAAAGGCCCATGCTCTCACTTAAGGTCAACGGCAAGAGTATAACAGGGCTCCTAGACACAGGAGCTGACCGTTCCATTATCTCTAGAAAGGATTGGCCCTCCAACTGGCCCACCAACACTGTAGATAACACGCTGCAGGGCCTGGGGATGGTGTCAGCTCCTCAGGTTAGTGCTTCAACCCTGCTCTGGTGCGATGAGGAGGGTCATCAGGGCCATTTCCAACCATTTGTGTTGCAGTTGCCAGTGTCTCTATGGGGAAGGGACATCCTCACTCAGATGGATGTCACGCTTACGTCAAACTGCTCCCCCCAGGCTAAGGATATACTCAGGAACCAGGGATATACCCCCGGCAAAGGCTTGGGCAATGCCCTACAGGGTCGGACATCCCCAATACCAGTAGAGAACAAAAAAGGTAGGCAAGGGCTGGGTTTTTCTTAGGGGCTGCTGAAGAAGCTCTCCTACCCACTTCGATCAAAATCACCTGGAGGTCAAATGATCCGGTTTGGGTACCTCAGTGGCCCCTGCCTAAGGAAAAGCTATTAGCCTTGTCAGAAATAGTCAGTACACAACTTAGATTAGGACACATTAAGCCGTCAACCTCCCCATGGAACACCCCCATTTTTATAATTAAGAAAAAGTCTGGCAAGTGGAGGCTGCTCCATGATCTAAGGGCGGTCAACGCGCAGATGCAGTCCCTGGGGGCGGTCCAGAGGGGGCTGCCAGCTCTCTCAGCCATCCCTCAGTCCTGGCCAGTTTATGTTATAGATCTTAGAGACTGTTTCTTCTCAATCCCCCTGCATCCAGAGGACACTCATAGGTTCGCCTTTACTTTACCCACCATTAACCAAGA